TCAGCTGCAACATTAAAGTTTTAATATGGCCTATTGGTATTGCAAAAGAACAAAGTCTCTTAGCAGAGTACAGTCAAAGACATTAAAGATTTTTAGATGAATGTTGACGTTTTATTATTCATAATTATTCTATTTACCATTTGAACAGATCTATGATATCAATAGATGATGCACTAGTATCATATTTGACAAATTGTTAACATTTACACAAAACAATAAAATGCGTTTCGGGAGTTTATTTATCCGTGAAATGTTTGCATTATTATTTGACTGTTAAAATGTCTGTGTCTATTTTCTGGTGACTTGTCCAAAAGGTTGATTTTTAATTCTAACAATTTTAATATAATGATTATATTATAACCCAAATAGACAACACATTAGTACTGATATGATTTAAGTTGTACGTTTTAATTTTGATTTTTTCCCCTCATAAATCATGAAAAATGTACAGGGTTCCTGTGTTCAAGGGACAAACTAGAATTAGAGGATTGTGTCAGTTCTGTTATGCATTTGGTTTAAATTCGCTTTCCCATCTTTTGGTTTTAAGAATGTCTGTCAAATGATATTATTTCTATATTTGTAATTCCCAACGAAATCAATATTATGTTTATACTGACAGACAAGACAAGGATTCAACTACAACAATGACTGTTGTTTACCTTCTAGTAGTTATAGGAATCTCTGGTGAAAATATTGGGATTAGTTTGAATAATTTCAAATCATATTTAGAAAAAAAATGTTATAACAAAATTACAGAATTACAAGGTAAATTCAAAAAGGGAAAGTCCATAAAAACTGACAAAACCAAACACTCGACTATATCAATTAACGACTGGAAAACAACTGTCATATCTCTGACTTAGTACAGGCATTTTCTGAAGAAAATGGTGGGATACATCTGGTCTTTATTGATGATAGTTGTATGTACGTCCATCATATTGAAAAATTGTGTGAGGAACGCACACAGACAAAATTTGTTCACTTAACAAGAATTGGGACCCAGCCGCCAAATGTTGTGGACAAAAAAATCCCCTTAATATAACACCATTTAAGACGGTTGCATTTAGCCTGAATTTTTTTAGAAATATAAGTATTTTATTAGTGGATAAAATGAGATAAATGAGAGTCAATGACAGTGGGTCCATTAATTTACATAACAACTTCGTTTACATTGCAATTTCATATGTTAATCAATTAATGTACCAAGTTTCATGTTGCAGGTATAAATCTTTTGAAACAGAAGAAATAACAAATAAAGTTGCTTCCATTAAAGTTAATCAATTACCCTTGTAGGAAATTGGATCAATAGTTAGACACGAAACTAAGATTTTGTCCCCTAAAATTAACCTGTAAATGCTTTTTTAGGGCATTTGTAAGTTCAACCAAAGAAATGCTACTTTTTCTCCTCAAAGATTGCTTGTTGATTTTGAAAACAATTGTATTGCACTGAATATGAATAGTTGGACCATAGCAAAGAGTAACTTTCATTTCCATACCCTTATAAATGTAAAGTAAGTTATTCTATTGTCCACAATGGAAAATCTTTTTTTTTCGAGGCATATTCTTTTAATTTTTCAATTTTACCAGGTGAACTGATTTGTTGCATGCTCTCTTCACATTTGTCAATAATTATTTGATATGGATGCTAAGACGATTTTCAAAGGATATTATAGTGTATTTTTGTTGAATTTATAATTTCATATTTTGCATTGAAAATATGCTTTTTCAACATAAAATAAAATGCTCCGCTGGGCGCAGCTTGATACGAACCCTGAACAGTTGGGGTAAGTATGGACACAACGTTCAAGCTTGATACAGCTCTGAATTTGGATTGTGATTAAATATTTGACACAGCATAGGTAGGTTTCTGACACAGAATGAATGTGGTCTAAGAACTTAAAATTTTTTAATTTACCTATTATGGTCCAATATCCGAAATCTAAATACATACACGGTTAGATTCAGCATATCAAAGAACCCCAAGAATTCAAGTTTTGTTAAAATCAAACTAAGTTTAATTTTGGACCCTTTAAAGCTTAATGTAGACCAATTTGAAAACGGGACCAAAAATTAAGAATCTAAATACACGGTAAGATTCAGCATATCAAAGAACCCCAATATTTCAATTTTTGATGAAATTAAACCATATCATTATTATTTGCTTTTATATATAAATAAAAAATAACCAACTTAAAATGGAAAATTTTAAAGAAAAAAAGGAAAAAAAAGAAAGAAAAAAAAGGAAAAAAAAATCCCTCCCGCCAATTTTTTGAACCCCCTTATGATTCATCACCCCCAAACTCAATCCCAGCCTTCCCTTTGTGGTATGGTACCTTGCAGTACAATTTCATAGAGATCCATACACTTGAACACAAGTTAATTGTCTGGAAACTATAAAAATGCTTGTTTTTTTGGCCCCAAATTCCTAAACGTTTAAGGCAATTACCCCCAAACTCATACCCAGCTTTCCCTTTGTGATATGGAACCTTGTAGTACAATTTCATAAAGATCCATACACTTACACACAAGTTATTGTCCTGAAACTAGAAAAATGCTTGTTTTTTTGCCCCCTTTTTGCCCCTAATTCCTAAAATTTTGAGGCAATTACCCCCAAAATCAATCCCAGCCTTCCCTTTGTGGTATGGTACCTTGCAGTACAATTTCAGAGAGATCCATACACTTGAACACAAGTTATTGTCTGGAAACTAGAAAAATGCTTATTTTTGGCCCCTTATTCCTAAACGTTTTGGGCAATTACCCCCAAAATCAATCCCAGCATTCCCTTTGTGATATGGAACCTTGTGGTACAATGTCAGAGAGATCCATACACTAACACACACGTTATTGTCTGGAAGTTACAAAAATGCTTATTAACCCCCAAAATCAATCCCAACCTTCCTTTTATGGTATTGAACATTATGGTAAAATTTCATAGAGATCCATTCACTTAAACTAAAGTTATTGTGCGAAAACCAATGTGTTTTCGGACAACGACAACGACGCCAACGTCATACAAATATACGACCGCAAAAATATAAAAATTAGATAACTAATTTTATGAAAATAGGGTTACATTCTTCATTCCAAAAAAAGACACTTTCTGTATTAAAAAATAAAAAAAACCCATACATAGCTAAAGAAATATAATAGGGAAGAAACACAAACAAATATTGCTTTGCTCAGGTTTTGAAACATATTGTTTCAAGCAAATCACTGATAATTGTAACCTAAATTATGGATTAATCACAGATAATTATTGCACTGATTTTACAAGTAAAATATAGACCCCACTTGAATATCTTTACTTTGTACAGATCATGTATATTTTGTCTTTTGAAATAAGTAGATGTTTTTAATCCTTAATCATTCATCATTCAGACATTTACAGAAACCTTTTGTGTAGTGTAAATCAGAAGTAATGAGTAAATTAAGGAGACAGTAGCTTACCGATGATCAAATAAAAGGTAAAGAAGAGAAAAATTAAGGTAACAAACAATAAATTGCTTCGCCGAGCGCAGCTGGATACGACCCCAGAGGTCCAACCCTGAACAGTTGGGGCAAAAATGGACACAATATTTGTGCTTGATACAGGTCTGAATTTCAAAGAACTTAGAATTGGTTATATGATTTGAATTTATATTCAAGCTTTTGTGCAATTCACTATGCTGTTGCGAATTGCCCCCCCCCCCCCCCCCCAAATAAATTTACCCCCCCTTTTTTTTGCTATTGTGCTAAACACTATGCTGTTGCAAATTGACCCCCCCAAAAAAAAAATTTCACCCCCTTTTTTTTGGCAAAAATTTTTTTTTTCACCCCACCCCTTTTCGTTTGCAAAAAAAAACTTAATATTTGAAGTAATTTACTTTTTAATTTCTGAAATCTGTAATGAGAAAAAAAATTGTTCCCCCCCCCCCCCCCCCCCCCCCCCTTGACAGCTAATCACCTCAAGACAATACAAACTTTATACATAATTTTAAAGCAGTGTAAGGGAGGTAATCCAAATTTAACATTGAACTTATAAGTGATTGTCCATTAACAAGGTAACCATTGTTTTCCCCCCTAATTCCTAAACGGTTTGAGCCATTACCCCCAAAGCCAATCCTAATCATCCCTTTGTGGTATGGAAACTTGTACAATTTCAGAGATCCATACACCGTTCCACAAGTTATTGTCTGAAAACTAGAAAGATGCTTATTTGGGCCCCTTTTTGGGCCCTGAATTCCTAAACTGTTAGAACCATAACCCCCAAAATCAATCCCAACCTTCCTTTTGTGGTTATAAACCTTGTGTTTAAATTTCATAGATTTCTATTTACTAATACTAAAGTTATTGTCCGGAAACCAAGTGTCTTCAGACGACGACGTGATACCAATGTACGACCACAAAAATTTTTTGCGGTCATATAAAAACTGAAGAAATTGCATGAACTCCCAAAAAGAGCAAGAGCTGGTGCCTCAACACAGAAAGCTACTCGTGTGGTACCAAATCTATAAATTAATAAATCTATCATTTCTATATACATTATATAGAGGTCAAGATTTGTGTATTGACAATATGTAATAAAGTGTCTCCTAAGTTGCATAAGACTTAAATAAGGCAATTTGGTCAATATAATTGGCATTAAAGAGAATGGGAAATTCCAATTAAGGCTCCACCTTTTCTCTGATTGTTTGTTGATCATGACAGCTGTCAATCATTATTGTATAATTTATATCTTACCTAGTAAAATAACCGAAATAGTCAGCAAATTGACAAAACTGAAGACATACATACTTGAATGAGCTACTTTACAGATATAACCCAAATTTTTCACAGTTCTTTTGTGCATATATACACAGACATGAGAATTGTTTGGAACTATATTTCACTGTGTATATATTTAGTAGCTAATCTGGCTTTATTCTGTTTATGAGGTTGGTGCTTTAAGAAATTTTTCCAAAATCTGTTATGATTACTTTACAGAAATATTCTGCTTAATGATATAAAGGAAAACAACAATAACAATTTCAATCATTTTATTTCCCCAATAACAAACAATAAATATCTTCATTATAAATAAAATAGTTATAAAATGTTATAAATAAATCTCATTGACATAAATTGTATATAGAAACTCTCCAGGCTACAGGCTTCAATAATCAAAATAATATTATTTGAATAAATTGTAATGCTACAACTCCAAACACAATGCTTTCTTATATTAAATATAAAACAAATATCAACTAGTATATAATTTTGTTAACAACAAAAATTCTAAAACAACTTAGATAAGTGTGATTTCTGTTGTGTTTAAATATTGAGGAGCTTCTTTAAGGATCAAGCACTAGTTGAATTTTGGTAACTCCAATAAAAAAATGCAATAAAGATCTACATATTTTATCAAAATTCAATTCTTGAATATATTGTACATTGCCTATCATTCTACTGAAAAAAATTAACGAATCAAATGCAATTTAAAGAAAAATATATTTGTCATTTACCACCACTTCATTATAAGCTTCTAGTCTAGCTTGTTTCATGATTGTTTTATCAAATTTAGCCAATTCTCTTTCACTCGAAATAGGGGAGTTAGAGGTTATCAGCACTATACCCCCTTCCTGATCTCAGCTGTATAATCCAGTAATAAGATTAACAGACACTTTGATTTATATAAGTCATTTTGGACAGATATTGTTTATGTTATATACTTTCTTATGATATTTTCCTGTATGCATCATCATGCATCTGAACTTAAATGTACCAGTGCACAAAGATTTGTGGCATCTCAAGGTGGAAATTTTCAGTGAACAGAGAATTTCTTTTAAACCTGCATAGAATTAATTCCACAATACTTTATTCCTGTTCATCAAAAACTTTATTTTTTTAATCGGGGTAACAAGCAATTAATGCATTTCCTTTGGTAAATGATTAAATCAATACTATATGCATTGGCATGTATCTTCAAAACTGCTCGATATAGACTTTTTTTTCAATTTCACTTTTCCTTATTCAGATTAGTAACCGAAATAAAAACATCATTTTTTTTTTACTTCATTCATGAAAAAGTAGTTTTTTTAAAATCACAGTTTAAAACTGATTATAACAAAAAACAATGTATTCTTGATGTCATAAAAGAGTGTAATGAGTGCAATATCTTGTCAACAAATGAAAGTAAATCATTACTTCAAATTATTCATAGCCATTAATTGATTTCTTCTATAAAATAAGTTCCAACATTTTCACTTGATATAATTTATTTGGATCCTTTGAACCAATTTGATATATCAGACATACTACTCATACTGCCGACTTTACTGAACAATGAACTTGTCATGTCACTTTGTAATGATGATTGTGGTAGGACAGCTGCAGCTGTCTCTGTTAAACTTCTTCCAGAATCAATTGGCTGTAATAAACAATCAAAATTTGTTAGTATTAAAGACAAAAATATTAAGGGTAACACTTTTCTTAAATAACCATACTGTAATTCAAAATGTATTGATTTTCAATTCATCTTCCTTATAAATTCTCAACCTTATTGTAGTCGTGAAGATTATTTTTTCTCTTCATGTTTGATTTTAAAACATACAGAGGAGACCTTTGTCATGTTTGTTTGAAGCAATCATAGTGTTCTGTAAATAATTGGTAATTGTACAGTCAAACATTTCTGCCTGCATTTATCATTAAAATTGTTGAACAATGGAAAAAATTTGAGATTAATTATAACGATTTCAGGAAAAGCTGCATAGGGCTGTTCCATTAAAACATACATGGTACCCAGGGAAGGCACTTCAAAAATGGGGTAACCACCTATAGAGGCAAATTAAAATTTCACTTACATTTCCACTATGCAAAAACATATATGACACCCACCCATCACTGAGATTTGGAAGTGCCTTCCCTGGGTCCCATGTATATTTTTATGGAACAGCCCTTACAGATAATGCTATTGAAATTTTAAATTGACTTTTTTTTTAAAACCTATGCTATCTTAATTTTTGCAACAAAATATTTCTGAATTTACAGTGTGATAAGCTTTTCTTGACGGCTTTTCTTACAATACATTGTTAATTCTTTTACTTATTTTGGTAGAGCTATGGCAAGAATAATTTTTATCAATTTAACCCTGATTGTGGCAGTTATAACACTTCCATACTGACCTTTTGTAATGGTTGTTTTAACCCTGATTGTGGCAATGATAACACTTCCATAATGACCTTTTGTAATGGTTGTTTTAACCCTGATTGTGGCAATGATAACACTTCCATACTGACCTTTTGTAATGGTTGTTTTAACACTGATTGTGGCAATGATAACACTTCCATACTGACCTTTTGTAATGGTTGTTTTAACACTGATTGTGGCAATGATAACACTTCCATACTGACCTTTTGTAATGGTTGTTTTAACACTGATTGTGGCAATGATAACACTTCCATACTGACCTTTTGTAATGGTTGTTTTAACACTGATTGTGGCAATGATAACACTTCCATACTGACCTTTTGTAATGGTTGTTTTAACCCTGATTGTGGCAATGATAACACTTCCATACTGACCTTTTGTAATGGTTGTTTTAACACTGATTGTGGCAATGATAACACTTCCATACTGACCTTTTGTAATGGTTGTTTTAACACTGATTGTGGCAATGATAACACTTCCATACTGACCTTTTGTAATGGTTGTTTTAACACTGATTGTGGCAATGATAACACTTCCATACTGACCTTTTGTAATGGTTGTTTTAACACAGGTTGTGGCAATGATGACCTTGAGGGTTGTGTACTGAGTGGAAGTAGTGTAAATCTGTTCTGACAAACAGTCAATGGCAATACATTATGTTGTTCTTGCTGACTTGATGATGTTCTACCTCCTCCATACATACTTAATCTATCTATATTGGTTACTAGACCATACAGTACCTGTAAAAAATCATTTCAACAATATATACAAATTACTCCAAAAATTGTATTCGTCAACAAGCATCAATCAAAACGGGTCTTTTAGTAAGTATCAAAAGCTGACCTCTGCATGTTTAACATGCTACATGTATTACAAAGAACTCCAAAAATTGTATTTGTCAACATGCATCAATCAAAACGGGTCTTTTAGTAAGTATCAAAAGCTGACCTCTGCATGTTAAACATGCTACATGTATCATTTTTTTCTATATTCAGTTTTAAATGCTTACAAAATCTCTTCAAAATCTAAAATATCCCCCAATTATGTATACTTTGCCTAGATGGCATTTTTTTTAGATTGGTCAGTTATCCACTTCAACTTATCATTTCCTGATACAATTTATAGCTTTTCAAATGCTGTGGGTGTCTGTTCATGATTTGTGATATATAGATGTTTTATGGATACTGTTCTTGCTTGATTGCTGTATCACTGAATCAAACCATTTTTTTCTCATTTCTTAATAAAAAATAATTATAAAATGTAACATACTGCAGATCTTTGTGCCTGTTTCAATAAGTGAGATTGTATATATGGAGTAAACACATCTAAATCAAAAGGATCAATCTTTTCTTCTAATCCTTCAATAATCTGATGCATTCTTTGTTGATAAAGTTTATTTTCCTGAAATTAAACAACTTGTGTTAAAAATTAGACATCAAAATGGATATACAAGCAATGGCTAAACTTATATATCTAATCAAAGTGCTTGAGAGCACTGAAGGGTAAAGCTTGCTTTCATTTTGCAATTTTGTGAATTTAAAATAAAACATTGAATTGTAATTAGATAAATATATTATAAATTTGAGTTGGTGTTATCTTCCTTTGTTCATGATAGTACATTTTTAGTTGAATCTATTTTTAAAACAAGTACATTTTTAGTTGAATTTATTTTTAAAACAGATTCATACATCATGAATTACTTATGTAATTTTCAATAAAAAAAATGTTTTCTTGACAAGTATGGTAATTACAATACACATCATATTGTAACTTGAATATCTAAGTATAACATATCATTAATAAATTGCATGACATTGACTGAATCTTCACTTCATTGCACTTTTTTTCTAACTATCAAAGGTAGTAATAAACCTATGAAGATTTAGATATCAAGGCAGTACCATAGGGTGTTGATTGCATTTCATGCAATCTTTACCCAAAAATCTAAAAAATACAGAGCTGAATTTTGTATAGTTTTGAGGATTTATTGTCTGCTGCTATGACAATCTTTTATCTATATTAACTGGATTGTAAGATTAACAAACACAAATTCATAAATTTAACTAAAAATTTGTGCACATTGTATTATAAAACATTTAAACATCAGAATATTAGTAAACTATTTCAAAATCATAAGTGGTTGAGTAACATTGCACCCATTGTACCAGTGATGACCACTGGTTTTTTTGTGGGATTCATATTGCTCAATCTTTTTTTTCATGTTGTGGTTTGTAAACTGTTGTCTTTTTTGCTGTTTTTCCTTTTCTTGCCATGATTGTGTCAGTCTCTCTTTGATTTTAGTATGAATTTTGATTCTCCTTTTGTATCTTCCACTTTGTTTTTATTGAAATATGAGAAAATGAATAAACTTCATTAACCATTCCTTGTAACAAGTCTAATTACCAATGTATGGCCCATACCTTTGAATCTTCCTTCCTTGGGAATATAGACAGAACAAATCTAACATCAAACAATAACTGTAACGCCCTCTGTTGGGGTAAAGGGACATAACCTTTTGTTTTAGGATTTTTACTATTATGTATAATCCCTAAATAATTGTCCTTCATTTCGTCTGAAACTTTGTTAACAAGCTTTTGTAAAATAGACCTGAAATAAAAAAGTATAATTCAAACAAACATTACTAGTGGAAATAGATGAAACTCCACTTAAGACTAATGACCCATGTTTTGGCAAAGGAAATCTCTGAAATCAAGGTTAAATAAACTGTTGACACAGAGATATGTCTAATCTATATATAATTTTGATAGTATAATGCAAATGTTGAAAACAAAAATTGCAATACTTTAACATGTAAACAACGCAGAACATTCAAAGTCAATGAACTACGATTGAAGGTGCAGAGGAAAATATTATCTGTGGGAATAAGAAATCCCAATGCTTATACAGCTGCATACCGATTGCATCATAAGTGGTTAACTTTTAACTGAACTAAACAATATCTTGAACATGTAAACTATGCAAAAGTTTCAAGCTCAATGAACTATGACTAAAGGGCATGGCAATATCAATGTCAATGAAAATGAGACATGCAAATGCTAATACAACTGGATACCAAATAGCATTGACTTTTCATAAGTAGTTCATCTTAACCTGACCTAATCACAAACTTTAAATAACTGCAAAAGTGTCAAAGACAATAAATAGACCATGACTGAGGGACAGGGACAAATAATCTCCATGGAAATGAGATGGGGAAATGCTAATACAACTGCATACAAAATATAATTGACTTACCATTAGTGGTTCCCCTTGAACTGACCTAATCACAAACTTTAACATGTAAACTAAGCAAAAGTCAATAAACCATGACTGAGAAGGTGGTGCCAAATAATCTTCATGGAAATGAAATGAGCAAATGCTAATACAACTGAATACCAAATATCATGCACATACCACTAGTGGTTCACCTTAAACTGACCTAATCACAAACTAATGCATTGTTGATGCTGTTGCCACAGACTGAAACAGCACACCTTCGTCTTGCCTTTGCAACTTCACTGAGGCAAGACAAAAACAGACCTGAGAAATGTGAACAATATAGATTGCAAGAATGTGTTATCCATTACATTACAAGGGAGTATAAAATCAGTTTTTCTCTATTGATAGTACTTAATGTAAGATATTTCAGCAATTAAATAATAATTATGAATTATCTCTGTGGATTGGAGTACTCATTTCATATCCTTATAATTCTAATATAATAATACACTGGCTTTAGCAACAAATAAGAATAAATCTTTAAAAAAAAATATATAACCCTGTGATTACCTTGTAACAGCATGGCCTCCAACTCTGTTTATTTCTTGACATAATGTGAACACCAATCCCTGAACATACCATGATGGCTGAAATAAAAATATAAATAATTAATGTACAGTACTCTCAGCCACATTTTTAATACTGTAAACCAACTAATTTTCATGACTTTCGTGAGCAGAAAAATAATGCATTTTGAAAATCACAAAATAAAATCACCACGAAGTTGGATAGAAAGGGTTAAACGCTACAATAAAGTATCCACCATAAATAAGTTGATTTACATGATAACATGCCTAACTTACTTGAAAAATCTTGATAGGGGTGTCATTGTCTCTTTTTTTTTTACAACTTAGAATTTGGTTTTGATATCTGTTGAATTCACATCTTGTCTAGACTTCTACCAGAGATTGACATATTTTCATACTCTTTTTTTGACAACTTAGAATTTGGTTTTGATATCTGTTGAATTCACATCTTGTCTAGACTTCTACCAGAGATTGACATATTTTCATACATGTATGGTTTGAGGTTTTGTCTGCATATCTTGTTTAGACTTCTTAAGATTGAGATCAGGTCATACATGTAACATGTGGGGTCTTGTCTAGACTTGAGGAGATTTATATCATATAGCTAGTGTTTTGTCTTCACCTCTTGTCTAGACTTGAGGAGATTTATATCATTTAGCTAGGGATTTGCCTTCACCTCTTGTCTAGACTTGAGGAGATTTATATCATATAGCTAGGGTTTTGTCTTCACCTCTTGTCTAGACTTTAGGAGATTTATATCATATAGCTAGGGTTTTGCCTTCACCTCTTGTCTAGACTTGAGGAGATTTATATCATATAGCTAGGGTTTTGCCTTCACCTCTTGTCTCGACTTGAGGAGATTTATATCATATAGCTAGGGGTTTGCCTTCACCTCTTGTCTAGACTTGAGGAGATTTATATCATATATCTAGGGTTTTGCCTTCACCTCTTGTCTAGACGAGGAGATTTATATCATATAGCTAGGGTTTTGTCTTCACCTCTTGTCTAGACTTGAGGAGATTTATATCATATAGCTAGGGTTTTGTCTTCACCTCTTGTCTAGACTTGAGGAGATTTATATCATATAACTAGTGTTTTGCCTTCACCTCTTGTCTAGACTTGAGGAGATTTATATCATATAGCTAGGGTTTTGTCTTCACCTCTTGTCTAGACTTGAGGAGATTTATATCATATAACTAGTGTTTTGCCTTCACCTCTTGTCTAGACTTGAGGAGATTTATATCATATAGCTAGGATTTTGCCTTCACCTCTTGTCTAGACTTTAGATTTATATCATATAGCTAGTATTTTGTCTTAACCTCTTGTCTAGACTTTAGGATATTTATATCATATAGCTAGTGTTTTGTCTTCACCTCTTGTCTAGACCTTAGGAGATTTATATCATATAGCTAGTGTTTTGTCTTCACCTCTTGTCTAGACCTTAGGAGATTTATATCATATAGCTAGTGTTTTGTCTTCACCTCTTGTCTAGACTTGAGGAGATTTATATCATATAGCTAGGGTTTTGTCTTCACCTCTTGTCTAGACTTGAGGAGATTTATATCATATAGCTAGGGTTTTGCCTTCACCTCTTGTCTCGACTTGAGGAGATTTATATCATATAGCTAGGGGTTTGCCTTCACCTCTTGTCTAGACTTGAGGAGATTTATATCATATAACTAGGGTTTTGCCTTCCCCTCTTGTCTAGACTTGAGGAGATTTATATCATATAACTAGGGTTTTGCCTACTCCTCTTGTCTAGACTTGAGGAGATTTATATCATATAGCTAGGGTTTTGTCTTCACCTCTTGTCTAGACTTGAGGAGATTTATATCATATAGCTAGGGTTTTGCCTTCACCTCTTGTCTGGACTTGAGGAGATTTATATCATATAGCTAGGGTTTTGTCTTCACCTCTTGTCTAGACTTTAGGAGATTGATATCATATAGCTAGGGTTTTGTCTTCACCTCTTGTCTAGACTTTAGGAGATTGATATCATATAGCTAGGGTTTTGCCTTCGCCTCTTTTCTAGACTTGAGGAGATTTATATCATATAACTAGGGTTTTGCCTTCCCCTCTTGTCTAGACTTGAGGAGATTGATATCATATAGCTAGGGTTTTGCCTTCACCTCTTGTCTAGACTTGAGGAGATTGATATCATATAGCTAGGGTTTTGCCTACTCCTCTTGTCTTAGACTTTAGGAGATTTATATCATATAGCTAGTGTTTTGTCTTCACCTCTTGTCTAGACTTTAGATTTATATCATATAGCTAGTGTTTTGTCTTCACCTCTTGTCTAGACCTTAGGAGATTTATATCATATAGCTAGTGTTTTGTCTTCACCTCTTGTCTAGACTTGAGGAGATTTATATCATATAGCTAGGGTTTTGTCTTCACCTCTTGTCTAGACTTGAGGAGATTTATATCATATAGCTAGGGTTTTACCTTCACCTCTTGTCTAGACTTGAGGAGATTTATATCATATAACTAGTGTTTTGCCTTCACCTCTTGTCTAGACTTGAGGAGATTTATATCATATAGCTAGGGTTTTGTCTTCACCTCTTGTCTAGACTTGAGGAGATTTATATCATATAACTAGTGTTTTGCCTTCACCTCTTGTCTAGACTTGAGGAGATTTATATCATATAGCTAGGATTTTGCCTTCACCTCTTGTCTAGACTTTAGATTTATATCATATAGCTAGTATTTTGTCTTAACCTCTTGTCTAGACTTTAGGATATTTATATCATATAGCTAGTGTTTTGTCTTCACCTCTTGTCTAGACCTTAGGAGATTTATATCATATAGCTAGTGTTTTGTCTTCACCTCTTGTCTAGACCTTAGGAGATTTATATCATATAGCTAGTGTTTTGTCTTCACCTCTTGTCTAGACTTGAGGAGATTTATATCATATAGCTAGGGTTTTGTCTTCACCTCTTGTCTAGACTTGAGGAGATTTATATCATATAGCTAGGGTTTTGCCTTCACCTCTTGTCTCGACTTGAGGAGATTTATATCATATAGCTAGGGGTTTGCCTTCACCTCTTGTCTAGACTTGAGGAGATTTATATCATATAACTAGGGTTTTGCCTTCCCCTCTTGTCTAGACTTGAGGAGATTTATATCATATAACTAGGGTTTTGCCTACTCCTCTTGTCTAGACTTGAGGAGATTTATATCATATAGCTAGGGTTTTGTCTTCACCTCTTGTCTAGACTTGAGGAGATTTATATCATATAGCTAGGGTTTTGCCTTCACCTCTTGTCTGGACTTGAGGAGATTTATATCATATAGCTAGGGTTTTGTCTTCACCTCTTGTCTAGACTTTAGGAGATTGATATCATATAGCTAGGGTTTTGTCTTCACCTCTTGTCTAGACTTTAGGAGATTGATATCATATAGCTAGGGTTTTGCCTTCGCCTCTTTTCTAGACTTGAGGAGATTTATATCATATAACTAGGGTTTTGCCTTCCCCTCTTGTCTAGACTTGAGGAGATTGATATCATATAGCTAGGGTTTTGCCTTCACCTCTTGTCTAGACTTGAGGAGATTGATATCATATAGCTAGGGTTTTGCCTACTCCTCTTGTCTTAGACTTTAGGAGATTTATATCATATAGCTAGTGTTTTGTCTTCACCTCTTGTCTAGACTTTAGATTTATATCATATAGCTAGTGTTTTGTCTTCACCTCTTGTCTAGACCTTAGGAGATTTATATCATATAGCTAGTGTTTTGTCTTCACCTCTTGTCTAGACTTGAGGAGATTTATATCATATAGCTAGGGTTTTGTCTTCACCTCTTGTCTAGACTTGAGGAGATTTATATCATATAGCTAGGGTTTTACCTTCACCTCTTGTCTAGACTTAAGGAGAATTATATCATATGGTATAGTAGCAGGTTTTCCACAAGTTATTTTTTCTAGATTTGTCCTTAATTTTTCATATATATGAGAGAATGAAAAGAGATGCCTGGAATATCTAAACAAGTCAGCAACCCTCCAACACATAACACCAAGAGCTATCTGGAGGCCAACGTACAGTCTTCAAAAAAGATACAAGTGTCTTTATCTCATCAAGTTTTATACGACCAAGAGTTTTGTACATATCTGTCCAGAATTTCACTTGTCCAGACTTAGCGATATTTTTAGGTTATAATGGAAAAACAATGGAGGCATAGATCTTTAGCTAGACTATTTATCCAAACAGAGACGCATTTTTCCGTAACAAAAGAGCCATGAGGAGCAGTTATTGTAAAATAGTGCCTTAACTAGATACCCTGTTGTTAAAGCAGTAGCAAACAACGGCTAAACATGTGGCAGACTGTTACAAATCACCTGCTTACCTGACAAAGTACAGGTAAACTATTCACCAGACAAAGTACAGGTAAACTATTCACCAGACAAAGTACAGGTAAACTATTCACCAGACAAAGTACAGGTAAACTATTCACCAGACAAAGTACAGGTAAACTGTTCACCAGACATCTACCTGACTAAGTACAGGTAAACTGTTCACCAGACATCTACCTGACAAAGTACAGGTAAACTGTTCACCAGACATCTACCTGACAAAGTACAGGTAACCTTTTCACCAGACATCTACCTGACAAAGTACAGGTAAACTGTTCACAGACATCTACCTGACAAAGTACAGGTAAACTGTTCACAGACATCTACCTGACAAAGTACAGGTAAACTGTTCAGACATCTACCTGACAAAGTACAGGTAAACTGTTCACCAGACATCTTTCTATCTTTCTGAAGGTTTTCCTCTTATTTAAGTAGTTTCCAGTGTCTAACATCAACGTCACAGACAAAGAAATAGTGTGTTGCAGACAGACAATAACTATTTCTATGTTTTCCACAATTAAAAGGTGCTCTGATAAAACTGATATTAAGGTAAAGATGAAAATTTATTTGGTCATTTGTAAAAAGTTTCATATAAATTTTTTTTTTTTATTACTTGAAAAAGTTCTTGGATATATATATGAAAATCCTACCTGCATTGGAACACTTATTTTAGACTTTATCTTTTTTCCATCTTCTGTTTCCTCTTGTATATCAACCTCATCCCATCTCTACAAATGATATATATAAAATTGTATCAATTTTTTGTTGGCTTTATTTATGATTTTTTTCCCTGTGCAAACATATCATTTCTGTGATATATAGAATTGAATTTGCATTATTCAATAATTTAATTTTGGATGTAACGCGTCTTTTGATTGGCTGACGTTGTTTTGTTTATCAGCTCATAGACATAATTTTGTCATGTGACCGTGACGTCATCAACGTTTTTTCATGGTTTACTCCGGTTTAAAATGGAATTTAGAATTAAATTATAAGAAATGACTGTAATATTTTTTCTGTCTATTCGAAATAACATAAAAAATGTGGTGCACACTTAAAAATAACCCGCTATGCGGGTTATTCAGTGTGCACCACATTTTTGATGTTATTTCTTCATAGACAGAAAAAATATTACAGTCATTCCTTAAATAATATAGAAAAAATGTATTTCTTTTGTCAAATACAACTGTACTTCATCTTTTCTGTCAATAAATTAAACAACTGTTGGGCAGAACAGAATTTAATACTATATGAAATGTAAATAAAATAGCTAAAGAAAAAATCTGGCAATTTATATTCATTAGTTCATATTATATGTTATACTGAGTAATACAGATAACGCAGAGAATAGGTGTTTTATGAAATGCAAATTATAAGTTTCATAATGAGTGAGATTTGTATATCACATGTTATCAACTTGATTTATTAAACATCAATATAATAATAATCTTTGGCTCTTTTTAGGAAACAGCTGTATTGCTTGTTAAGTTTGGCCTATGTAAAATACAGTTGTTTTCAATTCTAATGCAAAATAAAGATATCATTCCATTTTAGTCATTATGTTGGTGTAAAAATATAATAAATAATCACTTCCCCTAAATGTTAGTCTTTGACACCTTAACAGTTAGACATCATAGTTGTTCTTCTGGAGTCAAAAGTTAATATCAGACATATTTAGGCTTTGTGTACCCTTCAGAGTAAAAGAAAAATTGACAAAAAGAATATTTCTATGTGAAAAATATGCCTATTTTGTTTATTATTGACAAAATTACATATCTACGTTGTCAGGGAGGAAAAGAAGTTTATTGTGACCTTGGTTGTCATCATTGAACCAACAAATAGCCATGTGACAAGCCCAAATTAGTATCCCATTGCAGAATAGGATTATTCAATTACAGCATTTGGGCTTGTCACTAATAGAATAAGAAAGTTTGACTTACAGTACAATTAGTAACTATATGACAGTTCTGATCTGTTACAAGTCCTCCTTTGAACTCCTTCAATACAACATCTGATAGATGATCAACCCAAATTCTATTAAGTTAAAACGGAGAGATAAAATCTCAACATAGATATACCAATTATATACATAATACAATAACTGTTAGTAATATCCCTAGTAAACCAAACTGGTTATGTTCACTCCTTCTAGTTGTCTCCATTCATTCATTTTTTGTTATTTCAATAATGGTTCAAATCTTATTAAATCTAAATTTATATAATTAAAATAATTTCTTGTTATATTTTGGCATCTTATGAATATTACTTTCCTCACTTTTTAGTCTTTGTTTTCTTTAACCCTTATCTTGGGAATTTATAAGAAAGCACAAAAACTATAATATGTGTAGATGTTCATACATTTGTTCATAACGTAATGCACATAAACACATTAATCTTGTGTGTAAAACAATTTCCAAATTCCTAAATCTGTTATTTGTAGATATAATAAAAGAAATTGAGAAATCCAAAGAATTCTAACATATTAGGATTATTTTTTTATCAGGGTACCTTAGTTTAAAAAAAATTTTGAGAACATAAAATCTAAAAGAATTAAAAACAATTTCATACACTATTGTTTTTTCAAAACATCACTGAAAAGTTTTGTTATTTGTCTGATAATTCTTTAATCATGTCACAGAATCATTGTTGGAAAGCATGCATATAAAGTATCCTGAGGTCTGATAAAATTGGGTTGTTTATGTGATAGGTCAAACTTATTGTAAGCATTACCTGAAAGCCTCTAGTTGACAGTTAGCTAACATCTCTTTGACCTTTGTCCATACTGGTTCCTCAACTGGTTTGCTTCCCTTTGGCGTCACCTTCTTAATTCTTTAAAGTAAAAACAATCAAAAAACATGTTTGACATATTTCAATATCAGGGGAGTCTACTTGCTTAGTTGCTAAATTTCAGAAAGCTGAAGGATATTCTAATACATGTTAAGGCATTATAGAAAATAAAACAAATCTCATGAGGGAATATCTGGTGTCACAATTTAAAAGTGATTCAAAAAAAATTATACAACCAATTCCAATAAGGCATGCTGTGTGATGGACTGTTGGTATGTTCATGAAATAAAATCGCCTGCCCTTCATCCGAGTCCACCCACTTTGCAGGACATTGCAATTGGATTTATTGTTAAATTCTTCTCTTCATGAATATGCATGACATATCTGCCATTATATTGAACAGTTTTAGGCAATATCTATTTAAATACTAGAAGTTTTTGAAAATATTTCCTATATATTTTAACCATTATATTGTACAAACTGTTCTGGCATTACTTGACACTAGAACATCTTGGGTATTACCTGCAGTAATATGAAGTGTGAAAGTATCCATAAAGCTGCCAACTTGGGTGACTAATTTGAAAATGGTAAATTAATATCTATTTAATTTGCTGTTTTATTTAGAACAATTCACTGTAAAATTGAAGAAAAAAACAAATTGAAAAAAAAAAAATTATGTTCAGCATTAGTTTCAAACTAAAATGGCAAAATTCTCTAGATCTTTATTTAATTCTGTTCGCTACTTTTCTTCTTTTTATCTATTACTCAAATTAGGTGTATAAAATGCTAATAAATTAAAATAGAAATTTTAACTTTGTATATTACATCTTCTATCAAAGTGTTAAATGACTGGTCAGGATATACATAGCGTCAGGGATTGGAATCAACTTCCATCTAAAGTCACCTCAGCCAATACAATAGAGGGATTCAGAGCTGCTCTGAAAGCAGGCTCTGAAAGGTAGTAGTCAGCACAGCCTGTATATAGTTAAAATTGTACATTGGATAATGTTTAAATGTTTAAAGCTTTGAGAAGACTAGCTGTAATGCCTCGCACTGGGGATTTTTGTGGGGCATACACATTCATGATTGAATTCGTTTCCTTATTTGGAAGAAGAAGAGGAAACATACTTTGCCTGATCACTTTGTCGTAAGATACAGTTTTGGAGAGATGGTACCATATCACACAGAGCTGTACATAGTCTGCCTACAAGTAATACCCTATAAATAGAATAGATCAAACTACAATTAGTCAAATATATTAAACATAAATTTTCTTATAAAGAAAAGCCAAAATCTGTCAAAAAGCAAATGCATCTGAGAACTGTTACACAGGTGGTATTTAAAATATGTTAGATATTATTTTAGCCATATTTAAGCCATCATTCTCCACTGAATTTCTCCTGGCATTACACATTAAGAATTGCTACTACTTTATGCAATGCCTTGCATTACTAAAATTATCAATTCAATATACAGATATAAAATTATTTATATATTCTATATCTATAAACAATCCAATATTTTAATATGTGGATCCTTTTTAGTTGTCACAATAACACATTTTCAAAGATATAAATATTCCTTATGTGATCCCGTCTTCAGAAGGTTTTCTAACTTCAAGCAATTTCTATGACATGAATTATTTCTTATTCTCTTAATAAATGGTACCATACCTGTTTTTGGTTATTGTATTTGTAAAGGCATCGGTTATTTCTTTCAATGATTTCTCCCACAACTTCAACTGTTCATTTAAATGTTCTATCAACCTGAAAAATGATCAAATTTTCTGTATTTTCTCTCTTTTAAAAAAAACTTTAACGGGTAACTGAAGGAAATATAATTAAGGAAACAGTAGTTTATTGATGTTCAAATCTCTTAAATTGATATGCAAATCAAGGTACCACCAAAAACTAAGAGAAGCACATGCACTTCAAAAGGAGGAAGACTAGGTGGGAATCACATGCACTTCAAAAGGAGGTAGACTAGGTGGGAAGCACATGCACTTCAAAAGGAGGTAGACCAGGTGGGAATCACATGCACTTCAAAAGGAGGAAGACTAGGTGGGAAGCACATGCACTTCAAAAGGAGGTAGACCAGGTGGGAATCACATGCACTTCAAAAGGAGGTAGACCAGGTGCATCATCAGGGTAAGTATTTCCTTCTATGCATGAATCACCTGCCAAGCTAATCCACATTCTGTCAAAATGTATTAAAAATGTAATGATATCAAGGACAAAATTGGTAAAGTTACAGACGACAATTCTGGAATCTAATAATCTTAACTGCAAAAACATGTGGCTAGTGAATTTGAGACACAGACATATCGGTAAGATATCCAATCCGTTAACCAATTTATCATGGTAACGGTAAAACTTATGTAGTGTCACTTTCAGTTGTCTTCCTCGTAACTCTGTTGGAGCAGTTTTTGTGTAAGGAGAACACCCCTGGTAATAAAGTCTGTATAATGAAAACACAAAGGATCGTAATAATAATTCAGATTTGTAAACAACAAACATACGATGGAGCAGAGGGGTATGTAAATGCTGAGAAATGGGAAATTAATAATTAGAAAGTTTTCTTTTAAAACTCGTAATCCTAAAGGTATTTAGTATAGGGGAGATAACTTCACTGTTAGTTTTGCATGTTTTGCTAAATTAAACTTACCCTTTAACACAATCATGACATGATGACTTTATATGAAGGTATATATTGTCAGTGTCAGAATATTTATCAAAAGCCATGTCATCTGTCTGTTTTTCATCACTGGTCTGTGTGTATGTTGTAGCATCATCAAGCATGCTTTTTAACTTCTCATCAAAATTCTTACATAAACTATAAAGACATCAAAATTACACTTTACATTACATAAAAAGCAATCCAAAAAAGCAAACCTGAATGTGAAAAAGATTCCTATTTGAGTGTTTCACATAATTTATTTTCTATACTATTTACTTCCTGGTAACTTACAGTAATAACTTACATTCATTTGGAAATCAAGTATGTTGAATGTTCAAGTTTTCTACTTTGCACTTATATTTTGCAACTCTCTCCTTAGTATTGCATTAGAAGAAAAATATGTGAAACCCTATTTTTCTCTGTAACAATTTAAAATATGCATCTTCAATACAATGTTTTGTAGTTCTCATTATTCTTTCTTAACTTTTCTCATATTTTTACCTTGAATTCTCTAAAAAAATTACACATTAAAAATCAAGACATTATCTTCGATCAAAAATCAATTTTTTTAGATGTCTTTTTGCTATGAATTTGTTTTGTTGCATAACGTATCTGGAAAACATTTAATTCAAGGAGATGTTATTATTATGAATATCAACACCTGATATCTTTTAATGAATGAATGATTATATCAGTTTAAGAATATGATTATTATATTAGAACAGTTTTGAGGCAGTTAAAATCTAATGCTCATTTAAAATTTTTCTAAAATGTTAAATATTAGTATAGCTTTGGTTTAGTCTTTAACTTCATTATGGTAGCTGACTGCTGAAAATATGAAAAGAAAGCAATTAAACAAACGTAAAAAATAAAATCAAAACTGATGTTAAATGACTTAAATAATGAGTAATGTGGATTCTTCAACAATAAAATTTGTCTTATCTTTACCTCTGAACAACAGGAGTAAAGGCTTTAGCTTTCATTATCAATCCTCCAGGGTTATCTGAGGTTGACCTTGCTGTTGAGGGGATCCATGCCATATTAGGTGCTATATCTCCAGAGGTCTCATTCCAAACATACCAAGCCAGGTCTGTGTCAGCAGTTGCAATACTGTTAAAGATAACACTAAATAAATATTAAGGTGTAATAGCTTGAGCAATGTTCTGATGTCATGCCTTTAATATCTTTATTCTCATAAAGCCAATGCATAACATATGTACAAAGATACAACAACAATAACTATTTTTACAATATATACAAAACAAGGGAGAGAGGTTACAAAAGACACTAACCAGGAGGACAAACCAGGGCTTCCAAAATTTCCTGACGACAGCCGGACATTTTTCAAAGAAATATTTTTGACGGTCAATGATCAGCTGGATACTTAAATGTAACTGAGAGGATGCATAAATTGATATATGTGTCTAAATAATTAGTAGTGTTATATGTAATAAAATTGTTTATAACTGTTTTGTTTTCTTCATTCTAAAAATAAATAAAATATTATCCTCGGTATTTTGTCATTTTTCTGTGTATCGTAATACAGTAACCATCATTGCATCAATCAGCTTCAGTACCTGACTGTTCTCATGTTTTTGTTTCTGTTTATATAATCTATCTTCTCTCTGTGAGTACTTAACACTTTGTAAATTAAGGCCATCTTATTTGAAACTGTTGATGTTGGCTTTAATTGCAGTACAACTTGATCATCAATACACGTGATACTTTTATTTTTGTGTATTGATTACCTGACCACGTGACTTTTACAACTGATGCGGTATTTATAGATAACATTGAGGAGGCCCAATGAAGGATATTGTTTTAAACCGTGTAAAATCTACTGAACAGTGATAACATTTTTCTTTGTACAATTTCCCCACCAGATTTAGAAAATAAGGAATAAATAAAAACATACTCAGTTGATAAATAATTTAATGAATAACAACATGATATTTTATGTAAGCATATAACAACAATAAAATATCAGAAGAGCACAATGTTGACAAACACAAGCAATAAATATTACAATGAGCACATTGAAAAGAAGCACAGATCACAGCACAAGATTAGAGTTCATTTAGGCTAATTTAAGATTTTACATTCATGAGCTTGCTAAATGCATTGTTCTGATAAACACAGCGGTTACGAACGGATTGCCATTTGCGGATAGCAGGAACAGGGTCAAAGTCTTTAACATCTACACCTACTAAGCTTATCCTCATAAGTTGATCTAAAGCGTCAATACCTAGACTACACCTTAGTTTTGTCTTGATAATGTTCTGCCTTGAAAAACCCCTTTCACATTTAACACTAGAAACCGGCAAAACACGTGAAATTTCCATTAGCGAAATTGTATTTGGGAACTGGTCTTTTCTTGAAATAATTGCAGTCAACAGATCGGCAAACGAAAGTCCCTTGTAGTTGTTGAAGATCAAATACTTAAGTATGCCCCATTCTATTTGTAGTTCTTCTTGGATGACTATACTATAATGGTCTCCGAGACACTCTAACTGTTGTTCACCGTAGCGAGGAAGGTCGTCAACACTACAAGGAAAGTTCGACGGTTCAAATACAGAGAATGCTTCGAAAATTTTGTTGTCTGGAAATCGGTCACGAATGTTATCATGTATCAATTGGGCACATTGCACGGCTCTTGTCTTTAGATGAATGTCACGGTTGTTACGTTTAAAGGTGATAGTGTTGAAGCTGTCAGATTGGTCTGTTGATTTTAGAAATTCGGCACATAATGGTCCAAATGAAGGAATCTCGGTTAAGTACTCGGCCTCTATTGCCATAAGAAAAGAGTCAACTAATTGTTTCACGGTGGCATAAGACAAGTCACGTTTTTGAAGTATTTAACAAGATGTACAGTGTTAAATAAAATAATATATATCATACTTATTCATTTATAAATATCCTTATTTGAAGAATAACTTTTAAATATCAGGATACTTTTTTAAACTGAATGCTCATTTAAAATAATATCTACAAAGCGTAATTAAATAGGATGTTGTTCCATACACGCTTACATGTTTGACCTCGTTTACCTGATTACCTTTATGTACATTGTTATGCATCATTAATTCTATTGATAAAGACAAGCTAAGGACACCTCATCAAAGGTAACAAACCTGTAATCAGTGAATGATTTATGGCTTCAATATAACTTATTGAAGGGATAATTGTTTGACAGCTTGTTGTTATTTAAATAAAAGAAAACGTGTTTTTTCTACTTTTTATTGATGTACACAAGCTAAAGACCAAGCCGTACATTTATGTACCCAGAGGATTAGACTAACTGAGACACTTCAAAGTATCTGAAATATGCTGCTTCTGTTTTATTAAACCCAATTATGACCGAAATATCTTTGTGAAATAGATTGCCACAATTATAAACTAAAATGCCCAAACGGACATGCCCAAAGCCCCAAACGGACATTTTTATCGATCGATAGTTGTTAAAAATTGAAATGACCGTTTCATGAAAATGCCTTGAATAACAAAATGTGGCACACCAATTCTATTTGACCGTTTGAGGCTGAGAGCAACTGGTCTTTTTATGAAAGTTTCGGTCAAGTCCGGAATATATGACCGTTTTGGAAGCCCTGGGACAAACACAAGTAATAATATTTTTTAAATAAATGAACACCCTAACCAAGCTGTGTCAGATGTAATGAAGCTAAAACTAAACAATGATATTTAAGGTCAAGAAATAGGTCACTATAACACATATGTTAAAGATTTGTCAGATGAAATATCAGTGTGTTATACACTATCATTGATAACTTAAAATGTTAAGTCTCCATTGTAAAGAAAACAGACAATCAATCACTGGAGGACTTCTTATTACACTCCACTTGTTTCATACTAACAACTTTTCACTAGCAGTTGGCTAAAACTTTCCATAAATTGATCAGTTTGATCAGATGTTTTCAAGCTGCAATTAGGAAAACAATTTGGCCAATTGGTATTGTAAAAGGACAAAGCCTTTAGGATATACACAGTGATCCTTATCATTCCTCAAGGAAGCTTCTAATATTCTCCAGTGAATCCAAATTTTGAATACTGGTAAATTAAATTAGACTCATCAAAGATCAAATGCAAATAATAAAATAATGCTTTTAGGGTTCAGGAACTTGATCATAATGGTATAAACAAATGACAGGATTGAGGGGCAATAAAAAAAATATAATATATAGTTTAGATTAGCATCTTCATCAGATTTAAAAAAAAAAACAGTAAACAAGTTGGAAACTATAATAAAAGTTAAAAGTGCAATGTCAATAACTGAGTTATGAAAAAAGATCATTTACAATTATCAAATATTTTTATACCTAAAAGCTATATAGAATACTGAGGAATAATCTTACCTATCTTCTGTATTAGCCATTTCCATGACAACCTTTGATACTTGACGTTTTGTCACTTCGGTGGATGACTCTAGCTGATATTGGATGAGAGACTGCAATACAAATATTTTTGCATTATAACTTTAACCCTACCATATTTCTTTGCCAGTAACGAGTCAGGCTGTCTTACTTTTAGAAAGTTTTTGTACTCGTGTGATTTATTCACTACTCATTGAACGATTTCAGCAATTTTTGTGATTTTGTGTCACTGTTTCATTGTATTTTGTTTGAGAGTCATAACTGGGTTTATCTCCATCCTTTTAATTATGTATTTAAAGACAGCTTATCTAATTCCATTTTTTATGTGTTATGATTTCCAATACTGATTAAAATAGCAATTTCAACCGCCTGTAATGAAGATATTTAGTATATTTCTGAATTTATATTCCATACATGTCCTGTCAAAAAGAATAATAAACATGCCTGAACACATGCATTACAGTAGAACACAGGAATTTCCAAATTAAACTTTATGCTTGACAAAATATTATCACAATTATATAGCATTGAATATAAAAAAAAAGAAATAAACTATATGTTCTACAAAACATCAAATTTTCTTTTAAATATAAATGTTATTTTAACATTGTATTTATAGTAAGAAGTTCTTTAATTTTCAGGAAAAATCTATCGTAGAGTGCCATAAAGCTTCTAAAAAAAAAACCAAAAATATTTAAATGAAAAAAAAGAAAAGAAATAGAAGATGCAGAGCATTGGTCTAGTATGAATTAGGGATACAAGATGCCTACACTTTAGAATATATGGATATTTGCCACGTTCTGGAAATAGAAAACCACCCAAAATTTACTTCTAAAACCTAGACTTCAATAGAATTATATGGGAGAAAAAACAACAATAAGAAGAACTTTATGTATTTCTCTGCAAAAAAATGTGCAGATGTGGAGAAAGATTCATGTTTACATTTAATTCATTTTTGCTGAATACGAGTGTATAATATAATGTAACAAATCCTTAGTTGTTACAATATCTCTAACCTTGACTCTGTCCACAAACAAATTCCTCAGTATACCATCCCAGATGGAGAGTTGTCTGTTCATGATTCTGTTACAAACTGTATCCCAGCCAATCATACTCTCATCCTTTTAATATAAAGTCTTTGGTATCAGTACATTGTATCCATCAAAGTTCATAGCTGTATTCAAAGCTTATTTTGAAGACATATTCATAAAAGGTTATAAGCACTATTCTGATAAATCTGTGTACCTTATACAAAAACTTAATCTTATATTTTTTTTCAAATAATAAGCTATTTTTTTAATAAACCCCAAAAAATCAATTAAAGTTTGAAATATTGTTGAAAGATTTAGAGCTTGACATTTAGTAAAGACAGATGTCTATTGTTAAAGACTGTATGCGGCAGTATGGATGTCTTATGGTTATTTGTGTTGCTGGGTTGCTATCTCATTGATGTATACCCTACACCTCCATAAACTCATATTCAACAAAATCTCTCTAAAAGTTTAGAATTGAACTGAAGTCCTTTAACAACAGTATATTGGGTCTCATCTGTGTATAAGGGATTCCCCTACACTGCATTCTCACCTTCTTGTATAAATTATGATATAATAAAAAAAAATTGAAAAAAAACTCTTTAGTGGGCTATTTGTTTACATTAAATAACAGTCATCTTTAATTTTGTGGAATATCAAGAGCAAGATACAAAAAAATAGTAGCATCATTTAACTACTGTTAGTTTGTACTGAAAGTCTAGTATTCCAAGGTTTTTCATTAAAACAAGATATCTAACCTGGGATAAAAGTTCCCACACAGCATCTCTTATGTCTGCCAGACGTTTTACTGTGTTGATAAAATTCAAGAGTTTTCCCACACCAGTTGTCACATCTGATATACACCTGTTATTAAACAAACACTTGGCAATTTAACTAAATATTTTTTTACAGACAACAGTGTTATAGAATGTTTACCAGAATATGCAGTAAATGTCCAAGATTAGGTGAAAAGAATTAACCCATGTTAGGCAGCATTTTAACAATCACATCCTGTAAGTTTTAGATTGGTTGGTTTTTGGTTTCTCCTCAATATTTTATCTCTTGTCTATAGTAAAGAGTTACAACACAACAAATCTAACAGACAAGAGAAATATTTTGAATGACATTAATGTAAAATGAAGGTAGCAATTTGCTTTAACTTATACTAATAAATGAAAATAACATGTACTTTACCCTAAGCTATATGGACATGGGATAGGCATGTAACCCCATACTTACGTGTTAATCCATTGTTGACAATTATCCTGTAAATGTTGCTCTGAAACTGGATTGGCATGTGATCTCAGACTTGGACAAAATTCTGTAAAAATTTGAAGTTTTCATTATTCAAATATTGAAATTTCTGCTTTTCCGTATTTAGTAGATTACTATAATGAAACATTGCTGGTAATAGTTTAAATGAATTTTCATGTCATATCTAATGAATACAAACAATTAGGGTTATATTGAGAGTAAATATTCATCGCAGATATTATTGTTAAAATTATTGACACCGACGAAGGCTATTTGTTAAGCCGAAATATTTGTCAACATGATTTAATAACAACATCTTCGTATAATACCATCTTATATTAGTATCGTTGTGCAAATTTTTAGACTTATATATATATATATATATTTTAATTAAGATCCATTTATTACATCGGTGATCCGTTTATTTGGCAATCGCCAATGGCAGTCAGTAGGGTTTAAGAACATTTGTTGTTCGACCTGTTAGTCAAATGCGTTATGTTAAAATATACTTTTTCACTTTTTTGGTCTTTTGGAAACTGTTGTTTGTGCTGTATTTAGACCCCTCTAACAAGAAATTTGTTTTGCATGCACACGTATAAAAATTGCAATTTTTATCCAACGCAATCATAGGTTTGAACGTTGTTTTCAATTTAGACTTGTATATATATATATATATATAAACAAGTCTAAATTGAAAACAACGTTCAAAAAAAGTGACAAAGTATATTTTAACAAAACGCATTTGACTAACAGATGTAACAAAATGGATCTTAAATATTAATTTTATATCAAACAGAAAACAATAAACTTGCGGAAAAGATGGTATACCGCAAACAAAAGGTGCAAAAATTAGTAAACCATATCCGGATTTCGACAATTAATGTCTCTTCAGTGATGTTAGGAATCAAAAATGTATTTGGAAGGCCATATAATTTACCTCAATTTAGGATAGACTCTTGAATTTTGAAGAGTCGAAATAGGATTGGATCATATAAACCCTTAGGCAAATATAATACCAGCCCAAACGAAAAAATATAAACAAGTCTAAATTGAAAACAACGTTCAAACCTATGATATATATACAATAAAATCAATACAGTATGGGTTGACAAATTGCAATTTTGATAATTCAATTTAGATATAATTAGACTAGAGTGTATTTTTTGGCACTTAAATGCAATGAAATCACTACAATTAGATGTAGCTGATTCCATGTCAGATATAACATAAAAAGACAAACTAAAAAATTGCTTTCATCTTTCATATATCTTCAACCCTCACCAGAATTTAAATCAGCTTATTCTATTATGGTCAAACAAAATGCACCTAAACTTCATTACTGTATAAGAGAAAGTGAATGAATTACAAAAAATAGGATATGTCTGATCTAATAAATGAACTACATTTGATATTTTGGTAAAATATAGTTGTCTGTAAACAAAAGTCTACATATCAAATATTAGTGACATTTGGCTAAAAACATTATATTTACCTGTGACAGACTTAGGTAGACATTTAGATGATATTGATGTCTGTAAATCAAGCAGTCCAGTCTCTGAAAAACATGTGACCAATTCATGCTTTTGAGATTACCATTCATATTAGAGTAGACTTTCTATTGGTATACATAAAATGTAGTTATTTTATCTATCATAGCAAGAATTTGATTCTACTTTGATAAGGAGCATAACTTAATGCTTTTAATTAAAAGTTGTTTTTTTTTAAATCAAAGAAATATTTAACTCACTACAAGATAAAAGTGACTTCTGCACATAAAATGTTTATGAGAAATGGCAAAAATGTTCAATCATCAATTATATGCTATCAATATACATAAATAAAATCATCAGTTGTTTCTTTTTCAGAAGTGTATATAAATGGTAAGAACATAGAAAATATCAATTTACTTGGTTATGGTGTCCGGTCTCACAAGATATATATACTTACCATTCTGTTTTTTTGTTGTTACCTCATTCAGTATAGACAGCAGCAAGTTATTTTGTACTGAAAAATAGTTTAATATTACAATGATAGGGTAGTAACAATAATTACATTAGCCTAAAAACTATACATTTGACATAAGTATGGCAGTCAGACTACTTTCGTCTGTAGTGCTGCCCCCAACATAGAAAACACTATGTACATAATGACTATAAGATAACTTCCTTATATTAGAAAACTGCCTGTACATAAAACACCATGTATCTGATAGCTGCTAGTTGACTTACATTTATCAGCAGTGCTGCCTCCGACAAAGAGCACATAATGTACATAATGGCTATCAGTTGACTTCCTTTTATCGGAGAGCCACCCGTACATAAAACACAATATATCTGATAGCTGTTATGACTTACATTTATCAGAAGTGCTGTCTCCTACATAGAACACACTGTGTATTTGATGTACAGTTTTGATAATAAGTTGTACCACTGTACAAATCTGGTCCTTTATACTGGCTGTTTGTTGACTGGAGTGGAACAGTTGTTGTACTGCGGTCTGTAACAGAAATACTTCTCATTAAGTTTAATTTAGTATGTTCACTTTTTTTGAAGAATCAGTCTTAATTATCCAGTAGAAAAAAAGAAGAAAAAATTAAAATGTCAATATACATAATTTATAATTTCATCAACGTAAAAAGGGTATGAATCATAACTGTAAATCAAAGTACCGTAAACTATTATTGATGGGATTCTGTCGTGCATATCACATAAAGGTATATACTTTTTAAATTTAAAAGCATATGAAAATTTACCTCTGAGGTAAAACTTAATCTGAGTCAAAAAAGCACAAACTGAAGGTCAAATAGACTTGTCACAAGAGGCTGTTGTGTTCCTATACATAGATGTTTCCATATATCAAATTATAGCAAGCACAAAGACTTAAGCAAATGATCAGAACACAAACAGCAGGCAAAGCATGAAGAATAAGTTATTTCATAATTCTTCCACCGAATGTTCATTTCTCAGCATGAGTAAAATGTCATATTTATAAAGTGGCAATAGTTACACAGGTATGCCATGTAGATATAAATTTCCAATAGTTACAGAGTTCACTTTAAATATATTTCATGTGATACCATTGCTGCAACATTTTATATTCAGATTTTGAGCACCAAGTTTACTATAATGAATAAAGGGCCTACTTTAATACACATATAACTTTAAGATACAAACTTACAGTTCTTGCAAGGAGAAACTCATTGAAGACTTGTCTAGGTGTACTATCCTCTAACAGGACAATGGCACATAAACACTCAGCAATAGACTGTAAGATAATATCACTTGTATAAATGTTTAGTAACAGAAAATAATCAATAATCATTACATTCCCCTTCTTCATATGAATATTTCTATTCCTCTTCTCAATTGAGGATAAAAGACGATAAGTTATATTGCAAATTGTTAATAAAACATAGCAAAAACATTTCATTTGGTCTATATCTTTAATACGAATATTCAAAGGTTTATTGAATAAAAGCTTATTTCACAATTAGGTGTTCTGTTAAGTGTGTAAGCTGATTCTTTTTAATAAAAAAAAATTGCAATGCCAGTAACAACACTCTTTCAGTCCCCAGTAAAGACCGTCGTTTATATATAAAAAAAAATACTTGTCTTAAAAGTTCTTTAAAAACAGAGAAAGTTGATATCCTTATGCTTTTTGAATTCATTACCAAAAAATAATTTTAGACATTTCATAATCTTTGTCCTGACTATATGGCTGCCAGTACCTACTTTGTCATCAGCAAATGTTTCTTTGAGTGTTCCTCTACATCCCTGAAAGGTATGAATAAAATGTGATTATCATATTATAAAAATAATATGTTCTGAATAAAGGTATGAATGAAATAGGATTATTTTATTATAAAAATCATACTGTTGGGAAAAGGCGGCCTCCATTGTAAGCATTTTCCCATGTAAGCTAACCATCTTGACATCCTGTTTGTTCTATATGTATTTCAATGTAATGGTAAACATTTTAACTGCCTATTGCATATTCTTAACAAATTTTATTTGTTCTAAATGTATTACAATTAAATGGTAAACATTTTTATTTCCTAATTTCTAAACAAAATTTTCCAGCTTGCAAGAATTATTATAACACACTATACTGTAGTATAAACACAAAAGTATGAAATACAGATGGAAACTGGTTAATAAATTTGAAAATTGAATCCTGTATATAAAATTCAACATAAAATTGTGTCTACACTAAATCTACATATGGGGCTTGTTAAAGATACAGATATCAACTTATATATAGCTTACAGACAGAATGGTTGATCTAAAATGACTGATAGCTGCCCACTGTCTTGTGAGAACAGGAAACCAGCTCAGAAGGTCTGAAGAGTGTTGGGATTCCAACTGTAAACTGGTATGAATGTGGCGAGATAATAGGTAATGTCGGGTCGCTGTCAGATAATCCTTGTCATCTAGAGAACTCCAGATCTATAAAATATAAGCAATACTTATATAAAACTGAGAAACAACATACATGAATTCATATCATTTCAATACTTTTATATCTGCAATTTATTGAAAGAGGATAATTGAAAAATAGAAATGTACTTCTACAGCTAATTCAGAATATGAATATCACATTTATTTATTTTTCACCAAAATCTTAATTTTAAATTAAAAAATAAAAAAATATCAATTTTAAATATTTATTTATACATGTATATCTAAAAATAAAATTAACCATTAATTTCTAAAGTTACAATATTTTATAATTGGAGTTGGTCCATCAAGCGGAATGTCTACTGTTTATTATCACAAAAATGTTTGATATTTAAAAGAATAACCTCTTTTGGAATAACTATTTTAACAATCACATAGGGCTTGTTCACAAATATGGACATCAATTTATATATAGAACACAAATATTTTTAACTTTAGTATCTATAGCTTTGGTTATCACAAACCTTTTCTGGCATATCTAACAATAATTTAATTTGTGAGGCTACTCCATAAAACTTCACTTCTTTCTTCCTCCTTAAATATATATAAATCATAAATTAATAAATGAATCAAATTTAGATTAAATTTACTGAAGTAGTAAGGGTTTTTGCTATTTTTAATGATTTTGTTTTTTTTTACTTTACCGGTATACGTCATATAAATATTGTCCAACTCTGACCAAGTTACCTTCATAACTAATGGCAATTGTGTGTGTTCTGTTATAGTCCAGTGTTATGTTCTTCTAGTAGTCATATTAGTTACACAGTGTGCTAGTGACCTAATACCATATATATGGGGTCAGTAAATTCCATATGGGGTGAGAGTAAAGCTTGAACGCTCAGAGGTCAAACCCTGAACAGTTGGGGCAAGTATGGACACAACATTCAAGCTTGATACAGCACTGAATTTGGATTGTGATTAAATATTTGACACAGCATAGGTTTCTGACACAGAATGAATGTGGTCTAAGAAATTAAAAAAAATTAATTTACCTATTCAAACCATATCATTATTATTTGCTTTTATATATAAATCAGAAATAACCAATTTTAAATGGAAAATTTTAAAGAAAAAAAAGGAAAAAAAGGAAAAAAAAATCCCTCCCCCAAACTTTTTGAACCCCCTTATGATTCATCACCCCCAAACTCAATCCCAACCTTCCCTTTGTGGTATGGTACCTTGCAGTACAATTTCAGAGAGATCCATACACTTGAACACAAGTTATTGTCTGGAAACTAGAAAAATGCTTGTTTTTTGGCCCCTTTTTGGCCCCAAATTCATAAACGTTTAAGGCAATTACCCCCAACTCAATTCCAGCTTTCCCTTTGTGATATGGAACCTTGTAGTACAATTTCATAAAGATCCATACACTTTCACACAAGTTATTGTCCTGAAACTAGAAAAATGCTTGTTTTTTGCCCCTTTTTGGCCCCTAATTCCTAAAATTTTGAGGCAATTACCCCCAATATCAATCCCAGCCTTCCCTTTGTGGTATGGTAGGTTGCAGTACAATTTCAGAGAGATCCATACACTTGAACACAAGTTATAGTCTGGAAACTAGAAGAATGCTTATTTTTGGCCCCTTTGTCAAGTATTTTGCCGCTATTCTTTCACGGACTGTAACTAACGTTACCTTTGTAACGTCAACACGCTTATTACGTTATTGTAGTCATACAAGCAAGTAGAGTCATTAAAAGCAATTAGAACTGTTCACACGTATTCTATTTACACAAGCGAAGTACTAACCAACTAAACCCAAACATTGGTGCCGTGACTCATGGAGAAGCTGAAAGCAATTCGTGGTGGACACAGAAGCGCCGTCACAAGACTAATCAATAGAACTAACCAGAAAATTTCAGAAAATGAAATCGAGAACCAAGAACTTTCGGCAGCCACAGACACTCTGATGAAGAAGAGGAACTTACTCGAAACTTTGGACACACAGATTTTAGATGGAACAGAAGTTGGAGATATGGAACAGGAAATTTTGGATAGTGATGAATTCAATTTACATTTGGAAGTGTCAATTCACAAATTAAAGGACATTACATCAAACTCAAGAGCTAGCGTTCTAAAACCTACGGTGAGTGATTTTTTAAATCAAGGTCCAGCAGCACATATTTCAACACTTCCAACAACAAGCAATATTAGTCACAACACAAATCAGACACAGGATGCTTTTCAAAGCACTTTTGTAAATCACGGAGCAAACGCAACTTATAACCCTTCTCCGAATTTCTATCATAGACTACCAAAGTTAGACTTGCCTTCATTTTCGGGAGATATTTTACACTGGCAGACATTTTGGGATTCGTTTGAATCAACCGTACACCAGAACCCTGCTCTTACAAACATACAAAAGTTTAGTTATCTAAATTCACAACTCAATTACGAAGCAGCACAGTGTATTACAGGGTTAGCCCTAACCAACGCAAACTATGATCAAGCAATTAATTTACTGAAGGAGCGTTACGGTCAACAACAGAAAATTATCAACGCACACATGCAAAATCTTCTTGATTTACCAAGTCCTTCATTTACCCTCAGTAGTATTAAGTCATTTTATGACAGATTGGAAGCGAATATCAGGGGACTTGAATCCCTAGGTCAGACGCAAGATACATATGGATCCCTTCTTGTACCCATAATTTTCGGGAAACTACCCGCAGAAATGAGGAAAAACTTAACACGGGAACACTGAAAAAATAGCTGGGATATAATATCGCTGCGTGAAGCTTTAGCAAAGGAGATGTATGTACAAGAGGCTGGTAATGTTAATACATGTATGTCCGATAATATGACATCAACTGCGTCTTTTCACACGGGAGCCGTTCCTAAGACAAGCACAAATAAACAACAATTTAGGGGAAATCAGATCAAGACCATGAATACACGCTTGACAACTAAACCATGTGTATATTGCAAACAGTCGCATTCGTCAGTAGATTGTACAAACATTGTAGACCACGAAAAACGCTTTACCATAGTTAAACAGAAAAACCTTTGTTTCAATTGTCTCGGAAATCATAAAGTTTCAGAATGCCGTTCTAAATTTAAATGCCGTAAATGTAATAACAAACATCACACAAGCCTATCAGTGTTCCAGCTAGGATTTGAAAATAGAGGGGCGCGTTTTTAAAAAAGGGCACTTTAGCGCGTTCTCCTGAAAAAAATCAAATACATAATATTACCACATAATGACATATTTTTAGCAAGCATGTAGCTAAGTTAAATTCTCTATACTATTACATACATTGAAAATTGTGTAGGTTTGGTTGTGAATTTAAATAAGAGTGCCAATGAGACAATTGTCTTTATTTCGATCTTGAGAAATAGATTGATTCAACAAATAAGTTTGTTAATTCAACTTTGAAAGTTTATTATCAATTCAACAAGCATCTCCGTAAATTTCATGTTGAGCGTATCTAATAATATCAATAATTTTGTCAAAACGGATTTCAATAAGAAAATTGATACAAAAATCGGATTTTCGAGAGCTCCGTAATCGGCACAATAATAAATAAATTCGACTTTGAAAGTTTTTTATCAATTCAACATGCATATCCGTATATTTCATGTTGAGCGTATCTCATAATATCAATATTAAAGTTAGTCAAAACGGATTTCAATTTAAGAAAAATGATATAAAAATCGGACTTTCGAGTGCTCCGTAATCGGCGGAATTTACAATAGAAGAACAATTGCGATATCTGATAGAAACCTTTCTTCTTCTCGATTTTTCATAAAGGTAAAGAATTAAATTATTTTTTAACCTTTGATGGTCATTATTCTTGAATAAAAAAGATGTAATAGACTGGCATGTCTTTGATATTTTCTTCTTGTCATTTTCTCGAGTTGGTCAATTTTTCTTTTTTTCGTCGGCATTTTGCGTGTTGATGATTTACAATATACTATTGGAATGATTCTTTTTTAATGAACGTTATTTTATAAATAACAATTACAATAGAAATGAACATCGTTCACTTTTATTTTATAAATTCTATTTTGCATCGTCAGGTGTTAATGAATCAATTCATTTAACTTGGATGTTTGGTGCTTCAGGGCAAAGGGATTAGACAAGGTCGTAAATTTCACCTGATTAAGTAATTGACTCTTATCAAATAGGTGATTATAATACAGGTAACAAGTGTTAACAATTTTAATCTGTTGTCTTAATGAAGTGTGTGTATAAAGAACTCAACAAAATGGCGACAATATGAGGAAAAAAGATCGTTGTTTAAACTTTTTTCAAAAGGGCACAGAGGGGCGCAGGGGCGCTTAAAAAAGGCAGAGGGGCGCAAAATTTCGGGGGCGGGGCGCGGCGCCCCTCCATTTCATCCTAGCTGGAACACTGCCTATGTAATAAAGACAAGACAAAATTACACGATGAGCAGACAACCGCATCTGTAAATACAGTTGATATTGAAGAGGGAAATAGTAACACATCTATATTTTACACTTCGTCAACATTGCCCATGCAATCTAGAACTGATGTACTACTGAAAACAGCAATTTCACCAGTTTGGACAGGAAACCAGACCGTATCCGCAAATATACTGCTAGACGAAGGCTCACAGAAATCTTTCATTTCAGAAAATTTAGCTACAAAATTACAAATTACAACAAAGGGAACCACCACAGTCAGTCTAGCTGCATTTGGAGACGCAAACAGGAACGTACGTAACCTTGATAAAGCGGTTATTGAGATGGAAACCCAACAAGGAGAAAGAATACCAATGGAAGTGCTTATTGTACCCACAATAGCTGCCCCTCTACAGACCCGAATGAATTACGAAGCATCTAAACTTCAGTATTTAAAAGGTTTAAGATTAGCACACCCCGTATGTGAAGACGATAAATTTGAGATTTCTTTGTTAATAGGCGCAGACTATTATTGGGACATTGTTGAAAACAATATAATCCGCGGAAATGGTCCAACAGCTGTGAAATCAAAAATTGGGTATTTATTATCGGGACCGATGATCAACACAACAGGTATTACAGTTGCAGCTTCAATGATGAATATTTTGGTACAACATAAGAAGGAGGAGATTGATTTAGAGCGTTTTTGGAAACTGGAATCCATGGGAGTTACAGCAGACGATGAGTCAACACAGACAGACATAGATTTTTATGAAACATATCAGAAATCTAGTATTATGTACAAAGATAATCGATATATTGCCAAATTACCGTGGAAAGACGATTTTCAGGACTTACCAACTAACTACAATATAACAAAACGTCGTACTGAAAATTTAATAAACAAGCTCAGTAAGGACCACGACATGCTAAAAATATACGGAAGTATAATTAACGATCAAGAAAAGCGTGGATTTGTTGAGAAGGTTAATGAGGAAACCGACAGAAGTACAAGAATTCATTACATTCCACATCATGCTGTTAAAAAAGACTCAACAACAACACCAATACGCATAGTTTACGATTGTAGCTGTAGAGAATCACCAGACAAAGCCAGCTTGAATGATTGTCTCATGTCAGTTCCACCACTTATAAATGATTTGACAGGAATTATCACAAGATTCAGACTACACAAGTTCGCAGAAACAACGGATATCGAGAAGGCGTTTTTACAGATTCAATTAGACGAAGAAGACCGAGATGTAACAAGATTTCTTTGGTTGATCGATTCGAGCGACCCTACTAGTCCACTAATCACCTATCGTTTCCGAGTAGTTCTTTTTGGAACAACTTGTTCTTCATTCATGTTGAATGCCACAATCAAAAAACATCTGAAAAATAATTTGTCAGATACTGCTAGAGCATTGAAGAGAGACCTGTATGTGGACAACGTTTTGTCGAGCTTTCATAGCGAGGAGAATTTACTATCATTTTATAAAGAATCACGTCAACTTTTATCCAAAGGAGGATTTAATCTTAGGTCTTGGACATCAAACAATAGGAAACTGCGCAATATGGCAAAGTCGGAGGACTGCAGTGACAAGAACAAAACTATTAAAATTTTGGGACTTCGATGGAACACTGAAACTGATACGATATCGTTTCAAAACAGCATTAAAATTGATAAGGAGAAATCTGTTACCAAGAGAGAAATTCTTCAACAGTCGTCAAGGATATTTGACCCGTTAGGAGTATTAAGCCCAATCACCGTCCGAGCTAAGATTTTGATGCAGACTATATGGGAGAGGAAATTTGACTGGGATGAGCTCTTACCAGATGATATAAAGAGTATATGGTACGCTTTATTGGAGGACTTACAACAAGCAGTCACACTTGAAATACCAAGATTTTATTTTACCAATGAATCATCTGCAAATATCAACACCAAGGTAAGGAAACTACATGTATTTACCGATCAGCACAACATTATTCAACATTTTCGACGAAGATGGAAAAATGAATATCTTACATCATTAAGGGAATACCACAAGACTTTAGGACACAATAATCAGACTATCAAAGTTGGTGATGTGGTTAAAATACATGAAGATTCGCCTAGAATTAATTGGAAGCTAGCCATTGTAGATGAACTATTGGTTGGCAAGGATGGACTCGTTAGAGCAGTGAATTTGCGTACAAACAATGGACATACAAATCGTCCAATTTCAAAGTTATACCCGATAGAGGTTTCTTGCGATTTGTTTCAATCAACACTTGACACCAAAGAACGTAAATCGAAGAAGGACGCCAGGGAAAAGATTCGCCAGTTGATGTCTTAATTTTATACTTATACAGACTTTAATTTTTCAAATGATTTTTATTTTCTACATACATTGACTTTAAGTTAAACTGTGAATATTTGCGATATCTATGTATTTATTAAGAATTTTTATCATTTTCACTTCTCGGCGCCCCCAGTGTCAAGTATTTTGCCGCTATTCTTTCACGGACTGTAACTAACGTTACCTTTGTAACGTCAACACGTTTATTACGTTATTGTAGTCATACAAGCAAGTAGAGTCATTAAAAGCAATTAGAACTGTTCACACGTATTCTATTTACACAAGCGAAGTACTAACCAAATAAACCCAAACACCCTTATTCCTAAACATTTTGGGCAATTACACCTAAACTCAATTCCAGCTTTCCCTTTGTGATATGGAACCTTGTAGTACAATTTCAGAAAGATCCATACACTTACACACAAGTTATTATCATGAAACTAGAAAAATGCTTGTTTTTTGCCCCTTTTTTGGCCCCTTATTCCTAAAATTTTGAGGCAATTACCCCCAAAGTCAATCCCAGCAATCCCTTTGTGATATGGAAACTTGTGGTATAATGTCAGAGAGATCCATACACTAACACACAAGTTATGTCTGGAAGTTACAAAAATGCTTATTTTTGGCCCCTAATTCCTTAACTGTTGGTACCATAACCCCCAAAATCAATCCCAACCTTCCTTTTGTGGTATTGAACCTTATGGTAAAATTTCATAGAGATCCATTCACTTAACTAAAGTTAGAGTGCGAAAACCAATGTGTCTTCAAAATTTTTTTGCGGTCGTATAAAAACAAATGCAAAAATTAAAAATTTGTTAGCTTTAATGTGTTTTCTGAATTTATTTTTGGTATTTCATCATCAATTTTTTCATCTGTTGTTTAGGCAAAAAGTTTCAGATTTTCTTCCACATCATGTTTTTATAAAGGGATGTAACACTGCTACTAACCATATATTAAAATAAAACATGCCCACAAAGTTGCAAGCCCATATGTAGTCTTTGATAAAGCATTAGGAAACTACTTCCTGTCTATTTCTAGTAACTAACAAAATTCATATAGTTATACTCCATTAACAGAACATTGCATATTCAAAAAGAATTCAGCTATAGCAATTTAATACAGATACAGTGGCAAAATATGTTGATCTTTGAGAATCCTGACAAATTCTTACTTCTGAAGTTGGTCTGGCTGTGACCGTGTATGGTAAGATGATCCTTTAACCATGTGGTGTTCCTTCAACTGTTTACACATATCTTCCATCTTAGCAATAGAGCTCATAACCTATAATATAATAAGTTTGTTCCTTTACTTCCATAGATGAAAATGCATTATTTGCTGAAGTAAATTAACATTTAAGTCAATTATCCTGTTATTCAAAATTGTAATATGTTTCACTAAGGGTTTTTAAGAAATTAAAAGCATTAGGGGCATTTGAGGCACTATTTTAAGACCCTGACCACCCATAAAATAAATCTTTTCCTTTTACTAATAATTTTTCATAAAATTCATGGGGAAATCCAACCACCCATATTTAATTGCTGATCATTCACCTCAACTGATAAATTTTGGAACAGCCCTAATTTAAATTTATTAAAAGTTTGTCAAAATGACACTAATCCAGGTGTTTCCTACATTTATCAATTTATTAATGCCATTCTTAAAGCAATCAAGCACCATAACTCCTAAAAAGCAAAAGTGAAAATCGTTAAAAACCAATCCTGACCTGCATTTTGTCATGAAAAAACAACATATCAAAATTTGAAATGGATTGGATAAGTGTTCTCAAGTTTTGGCACAGAATTGACATAAAGTGCCATTTTCCAATCAATCAGGGACCATAACTCCTCAAAGGAAAAAGAGAAATCCTCAATATCACACTAAAATCTCCATTTTGTCATCAAAAACATCATATTTTCAAAAGTAATGTTTAACTGAGTCTCATACACATCATTTATGCAAATATACATAGATGAAATGACAGAATTGATCTGTCGTTTAACCAGTAACTCTACATAAGACTTTAACACATACATTTTGTGCACTATTCTTCATGTCAGTGATGGTATCTGCAGCCTCTATCAGATCTCTGTATCTTTCTCTGTAAATATATAGTTTTATTGTCTGTGTACCTATACCAATATCTTAAGTATAATTTTCATACTGAATGGACCAGCATATACCTTCTTTTAACCTTTTCCCTAAAATAACTGTTTAACTTTTTATGAACCAAAATGATAAAAAAAGCAGAAATGTTAGCAGCAGTTGTCGTTTGTCATATATTAATGTTTTTTTGTTATTTTGAGGATTGGGTGTTGATGGAAAATATTTGATTGTTTCTGTTACATATTTATTCACAACTTTTATAGACTCAGGATTATTAAGAGCTTTACATATTGTACCTGTCTTTTGTTGAAGATTGAATGTTGCACTCCAGATGTCAGAAGTTTTTTGTTGTTGGATTGCTATCTCCTTGATGCATATTTACTTTAATTCATATATATATATATATATCATGTATATATAATGTAGATGAAACAAAACAATACTATGAAAAAGTGGAAAATAAAGTTTTATAAAAGATCATTCCTATCTTCAAAAGTACAGTCAGACTATTCTTCATGTTTCAATATCAATATTTTTTTCTCAACTAATAAAACAACAACTGATGAGTTATAAAAATCATAACGGTGATGCATGCTTCACTCTGTTTTGCAATTAAAGGTGATGCTAGTATTTTTTATCAAGTACACCTTGTTGTTCTTTCTTTAACTCTAATATAATAGCTGTCATGTGTGCATAATATGTACCGGTACGTCATATATCAGCTAAAAAAACAAAGTTATACTCCAGATGTAGAAATGTTATTTATCAATGCTATTTCTTCAAAATAAAATAAATAAAATTTCAAACACAGTCATTAGTTAAGTGCTACCATTCATTCTAAATACAATCTTTATCATTGTGGATAACTGTCTTACCCAACCATAGTCCTAAGGTCTTCTTTTTTTCTTTCAATGTCTGTCCTATTAAAAACAAAATTGGAATTGGAATGAGAACAAGTGATCACTAATAGCAATGAATCCAAAGTTTTGTTTGGAATTGATATTCAGTATGAACAATTACAACACAGACTAAGAGTTGTGTCCTTTATGAAAATGCTTTTTTCTGTTACTCTTTATTAATAGTAAAAACAAACATTTTAACATAGTTTTAATTGAAATACAACAATAGTTTCCTACATTATTAAATTATCCTTTTCTCTAAAATCCATAAAATAAAATGCTCCACTGGGCGCAGCTTGATACGACCGCAGAGGTCGAACCCTGAACAGTTGGGGCAAGTATGGACACAACATTCAAGCTTGATACAGCACTGAATTTGGATTGTGATTAAATATTTGACACAGCTTAGGTTTCTGACACAGAATGAATGTGGTCTAAGAACTTAAAATTTTTAATTTACCTATTCAAACCATATCATTATTATTTGCTTTTATATATATATCAGAAATAACCAATTTAAAAAGGAAAATTTTAAAGAAAAAAAATGGGAAAAAAATCCCCCTCAAATTTTTTGAACCCCCTTATGATTCATCACCCCCAAACTCAATCCCATCCTTCCCTTTGTGTTACAATGTATGGTGCCTTGCAGTACAATTTCAGAGAGATCCGTACACTTGAACACAAGTTATTGTCTGGAAACTAGAAAAATGCTTGTTTTTTTTCCCTTTTAGCCCCAAATTCCCAAACATTTAGGGCAATTACCCCCAAACTCAAACCCAGCTTTCCCTTTGTGATATGGAACATTGTTGTACAATTTCATAAAGATCCATACACTTACACACAAGTTATTGTCCTGAAACTAGAAAAATGCTTGTTTTTTTGCCCCTTTTTGGCCCCTAATTCTTAAAATTTTGAGGCAATTACCCCCAATATCAATCCCAGCCTTCCCTTTGTGGTATGATACCTTGCAGTACAATTTCAGAGAGATCCATACACTTGAACACAAGTTATTATCTTGAAACTAGAAAAATGCTTATTTTTGGCCCCCTTTTGGCCCCTTATTCCTAAACGTTTTGGGCAATTACCCCCAAACTCAATTCCAGCTTTCCCTTTGTGATATGGAACCTTGAAGTACAATTTCAGAAAAAGATCCATACATTTACACACAAGTTATTGTCATGAAACTAGAAAAATGCTTGTTTTTTGCCCCTTTTTTGGCCCCTAATTCCTAAAATTTTGATGCAATCACCCCCAAAATCAATCCCAGCATTCCCTTTGTGATATGGAACCTTGTGGTACAATGTCAGAGAGATCCATACACTAACACATAAGTTATGCCTGGAAGTTACAAAAATGCTAATTTTTGGCCCTTTTTTGGCCCCTAATTCCTTAACTGTTGGTACCATAACCCCTAAAATCAATCCCAACCTTTCTTTTGTGGTATTGAACCTTGTGGTAAAATTTCATAGAGATCCATTCACTTAAACCAAAGTTAGAGTGCGAAAACCAATGTGTCTTCGGACGACGACGACGACGCCAACGTCATACCAATATACAACCACAAAAATTTTTTTGCGGTCGTATAAAAACCAACAACTAAACATAAGGCTTACATAAGAGAATGTATATTTTTTTTTTATTTTTTTATGTACATCTGTGTTATTTTAATCATCAGACCTATTTCCTTAAGCATAAACTTAATATCTTTAATTATTTTGTGTATATAATAGTTTGAACTGATGCATGGATGATCTTTTATTAACGGTATTTTTACACATATTTTTACATTGTCTTTAAGTACACTACCTTGTTTTCTTCTCTATAGATCTTATTTCTTCAATAGTAAACTTTTCAAATAAAATGTTAGTATCCATTTCTTCAATGGGAACACCTTTATAAAATAAACAGGATAATTATTTATTTACTTTACTATAGTAATAATTAATATAAAGTAGAGGCTCCTAGGAGCTTGTACATGTATAGCTCACCTGGCATTTTCACATAACATTGGCACAATGCAACAAGAATATTTCTGTTGAATAAAAACTGTGTAGGCCAAACATTTTCTTGTTGATTATTTTTGTGTTAAAAGTTTCAGCCTATCTCAACAAGTTCAAGATATTAGCGAAAAACATTTAAATCATCATTTTAGGGTTCCAATTTTTATAAGGAGTCCACTAAAAGTTTCAATAGTTTATATGTCTCTGATACATGATCTTCAAATTGGTGCTTTTCCAGTAAAAATTTGACATCACAAAGCAAGTGCCTTTAAGTCACATCCTAGGACCAGGGTTTGAACTTTAATTATTTTTCAAGCAGCCATGTGGACCCCTAGTAAAATAGATTTTGGGGCTCACAGTTAATCTTAATACACGTTAATAGCCCACAAAATTTATGGAAATTAATATGATTCTCAATACAAATTTTGGGATACCTATGTTTCCTTTTTAAAGCAGTCTATAAAACTGAGGACAGGGGACTCCTGAAATATTTACTTTCCTAATGTATATAAATTATCTTGTTGTTATTGTTTTTCATTTTGTTATGTTGTGTCATGCAATATGAAATGTTGTGCCACATGCAATGAAATGTAGTAAATGACAATAGATTTGAATTGACTTGAATTATGTAAAAGATATATATATTTTAGAAATTTAAGCAACTTAAATCAATAAATTGAATCAATGCTGTTAATACTAGCTTTGGTGTAGTTACTAAATATTTAGTGCTTGTTTTGTTTTGGAATAGTGCATGATTTGAATGATTGTGTGAGCTGTTGATCGATGTTTATGATTGATTCAAGCCAGCTGAAGTCCGCCTCCGGGTGCAGGATTTTCTCGCTGTGTAGAAGACCTATTGGTGGCCTTCACCTGTTTTTTACTCTTTGGTCGGGTTGTTGTCTCTTTGACACATTCCCAATTTCCATTCTCTATTTTATTCAATGTTATTGAGACGAGTTTGATGACTGTTTGACTTGAATATCTTTCGTCTATCTTTTAAAAGTTTTAAATGAATGACTTGGCCTTTGAACACCATGACAATATTCATTATTCATTTCATCAAAATAAATTCTCAAAACATTTATAAGAAAGCTGTTTACGTTTTTAGAATGTTGCTTTATTTTAAAACAATAAAATCTTATTATCTTTATTTTAATGCATTACCCTAACAAAAACAAAAAAAAACACTTTAAAAAAGATGCGAATGTGTAGGGTGCAAACGTGAAAGAGGGTGAATGGGACTTTATTATGGGAGTGAACATGATTTTGGGCAAACAGACCTATATTCTGGGTTCATTGGCCCAAAATCATGTTCCATCCTTTCACTATTTAACGTTTTCACAAGTAGTCCATTTTCTCCCTTTTAAAAGGTTGTGTGTTGAATAATTGTTTAATCGTGTTTTAGTTGTATTGCTATAAAGTAAAAATAAGTATCCTCGTCTCATGGGTTTGCGTGCTATTAAGAATGCATTGTGACGTCACAATTTCAATTGAAAAAGCATGCATAGTACGAAATCATATGACGTACGAAAACATATGATCTGACCATACTATTATATATGGATAGTCGACCAAGTGCTGTGATTTTGAGCGATTGGTCCCAACTGTGTGCAAGAGCCAAGAGGGACATCAAATCATAATGATACAAATGTAAAATGTTAAAACTGGCTTCAATGATGTAATTTTCGATTATGAAGTGCTTTGCTATTTGTCATTATTTACTTTTAGGGTCGATTTTTGACATTTTCTGTTGTTGGTGTTGGCATAAAAGGGAGGTAACTCAATTATGCAATAAAATCTTAACCAATGTCGGATGCGGAAATAAGAGCATTCGGACTGAGGACATTGAGGTCCGCATGTATGTATCACTATCTCTATATGATCATCCTGTATAACTTAAGGCCACCCCGAGAGTAAATGTATCCCATAAGGATATATCTTGATTTCACAGATAAATCCTGTTTTGAAAAACTTCACTTAATTTTTTTGGAAATATATTTGATTGAATTTCTCTATTCTACAGTATCTAGCAGAAAAAGAAAAAAATTGTTTCTCGTGTTGCAGAACTTGTTTTTTTCTCGGAATTTTTAACTTGTACTGAAAGCCGTTATCATATACGTGTTAGTAAATAATTCTTTATAATTATAAGGACCTATATTATTTTACACATTTGCTGTCTTAGTACAGTCAATGATTTATATATAAGTTTTTAATAAATCATTGGCACGGTATCTACATAGACATATAATACAATATTATAAGATAAGATAAGATAAGATATATTTTATTACCAATTAAGGGCTCACAAGGGGCATAGAGAGAATACATGTATACGGAAAAAGAATATTATATGTCTCTGGTATCTGATATATTTGGCAAATCTTTAGATGAATTTTGTACTTGAGATAGACCGTCTCGGTATTCTTCTATTGCGTTGCCGTGTATGAAATCTACTCGGATGTTATTCCACCAATATTAATTAGAGTATATGTTTGCAAAATTTCTTCATCAGCATACAGTTTAAGTACCCTTAGCTTGCTTTCGGTAACTGCACCAGAGACATATATTCTACTTGTTTTTCCCCTTCATAATACTGGTATTATAGAGTTAACTACCCTTTCCGAATTGATTTTATTCTGTTGCAAATTTTTCTGTATTCTGTTTGTTATTCCACTAATATAAATTAAAAGGGTGTCGAGAGCTCGTTTACGCTACTATTATCACCGTGCATGTCCACGTCATGTACCCTTTCGTTATTTCTTAACTTATATCATTATATGTTTGTCCATCAAGAAATTTGGTTTTGATCGCAGATATTTGATAGTCATGATCTGTAAAAAAATATCCACTTTCTTGTCTAGAATCTGTCGATTTAGAACTTGACAAAGGTATACAGTTCCGATAGACTCGGAGCGATTTACAATATTATTAAAATACAGATCCTGTGTCCAAGCTTTGCTTACAAGGATATGAACCGCTCCGTTCTACTTCTTGTTTCAAAAACCTTTTAGGGACCCCCTGGTATTGTCTGATTAATAAATACCTTCAAACATTTGAAGGCTGAGATTTCATTGGCTGGTGTAATTATTACCAGAACAGAAAGTAAAACGTAGTGTTTTCAGATCCTTGTAAGCAAAACTTGGGACATAGGATAGTATTTAAATAAGATTTGGGCGATTTATAGCTTGAAAAAGTTATAGACGGTAGACTGCCGTGATTCAGAGCTTAACAACGGGATATACGCTAGATTTGGGCGATTTAGAGTTTAACAAAGGGATATACGCTAGATTTGGGCGATTTAGAGCTTAACAAAGGGATATACGCTAGATTTGGGCGATTTAGAGCTTAACAAAGGGATATACGCTAGATTTGGGCGATTTAGAGCTTAACAAAGGGATATACGCTAGATTTGGGCGATTTAGAGCTTGACAAAAGTAGAGACGATAGACTCTGGCAATTTTGAAAGGAAATATGGGGCACATAAAAACAACAAATATACATCTAGAGGTCAACATTTGGTTTTCCACAATAGACAAGTGCTGTAACTTTGTCAATGTATAAATTGTCCGAGTCTAACGTCTATACCTTTGTCAAGCTCTAAATGACTCGAGACTAGCGTCTACACCTTTGTCAAGCTCTATACATTGGCCAAGTCGAACGTATATACCTTTTTCATGCTCTAAATCGCCCAAGTCCAACGTCTAAATTGCTGTGTGACGCTCTAAATTGCAAGAGCCTAACGTCTATTCCTTTGTCAAGCTCTAAATTGACCGAGTCTAGGTCTAAACCTTTATCAAGCTCTAAATGGATCGAGTCTATAGCGTCTAAACCTTTTTCAAGCTCTGAATCGCCAGTGTCTAGCGTCTATACCTTTGTCTAGCTCTATATCGCTCGAGTCTAGTGTCTGTACCTTTGTCAAGCTCTAAATGACCCGAGTCTAGCGTCTATGCCTTTTTCAAACTCTAAATATATCGGCGTGGGACGTTTTCGCTTTTCTAAATGGACATTTGCGCTTTTTTTAATGGACATTTGCGCCTTTTTGAACTCGAAGGACATTTGCGCCTTTTTTAAAAGGACATTTGCGCTTTTTCCACAGGTCTTTTGCGCTTTTTTGCAGGACATTTGAGCTTTGTTAACACAACATTTCAGTTATCACGGTTAAAAGTTAAACAAAAAATAATATCCAAAACACAGTACATTCATATATATATATATATATATATATAGACTTGTTTATATTTTTTCGTTTGGGCTTGTATTATATTTGCCTTCGGGTTTATATCATCCGTTCATCCTATTTTGACTCTTTCAAAATTCAAGAGTCTATCCTAAGTTGAGGTAAATTATATGGCCTTCCAAATACCGTTTCGATTCCTAACACCACTGAAGAGACATTAATTGTCGAAATCCGGATATGGTGTACACATTTTTGCACCTCATGTTTGCGGTATACCATCTTTTCCGCAAGTTTAGTGTTTTCTGTTTGGTAATAAATTAACGATAAGATCTATTTTGTTACATCTTGTGATCCGTTTATTTGGCAATCGTCAATGGCAGTCAGCAGTCATCAGTTGTTCGACCTGCTAGTCAAATGCGTTTTGTTAAAATATACTTTTTCACTCATTTGGTCTTTTGGAAAATGTTGTTTGTGCTGTATTTAGACCCCTCTACCAAGAAATTTGTTTTGCATGCACACGTATAAAAATTGCGGTTTTTATCCAACGCAATCATAGGTTTGAACGTTGAACAACGTTCAAACCTATATACAGCTTAAAGTTGTAATTTTATTTCTTAAGTTGTTGGGTTACTATTCCACTGACATATACCCCACGGGATTCTCCTTTGGGGGAAAATGAATTTCAGTAACTCCATTAGAATTTTGAAAATTACCTAATATTCAGTACGTAAAATATAGTTGTGTACGTGCCCGGTACGTGTGTTTCTTGAATCTATTCTAATACAACTGTATTATAGTATATCTTAACGTTAGCTGATCAGTATGTTAGACTGGGCAATTTACAAACCAATCAAATCAATAATCGTTGTCTACAATTATAATGTGTTTAATATAAAAATACGGAGATGAGGTATGATTACCGATGAGACAACTATCCACCAAAGTTCAAATAAAGTGGATGTAAGCAATTATAAGCAACCGTACGGCCTTCAACAATGAGAAAAACCCATACCATATAGTCGGCTATAAAAGACCCCGACATGAAAAATATGGAACAATTCAACTGAGAAAACTAACGGCCTAACTTATAACAAAACAATAAACGAAAAACAGATATGACAGACATGAACCAATGGCAAACACTGAACTACAGGCTCATGACTTGGGACAGGCACATAAAGAATGTGGCGGGGTTAAACATGTTTGTGAGCGCTCAACCATCCCTTAACATGGGACAGTGGTATAACAGCACAACATAAGAACAAACTATAAAAACCAGTTGAAAAATGCTTAACTCATCAGATCGATAAGTTTGTTTTATTAAACTAGCCTCAAGGAATCTACATTTGGCAAAAACCATACCGTACAATATGCAATATAAAGACCCGGCACGACAGATTGTGAAACAACTCAAAAAAAGAAACACATAGGTCTGATTTATGCTAAAACAATAAACCTATTCAATGCATTTCTTACAGACCACCGAAGAGAGAGACTGCTCATCTAGGATTCAATCGTGTTTTGGACTGAAGATAATATAGTGAAATCCAACATAAAAAAATGAAGATATCACACCTATATACCTTTAACGGTGCTTCGGACGCAACAAATTCATTAATGTTATTTTCATTTTTATACTCGCTCATTGCCATGGCAAATTAAGATTATATATACCACAGGCTAAAACTATTCCAACTAACAACAATCTATTTGTCCTTTATCATAACATTTTGAAATTGTACTAATATTTATTCAACATGTCTTTTAGATTACAATTATTTTAGGTATACCGTTCAATAATTAAGTTTGACACTTTCGTCACCGCGCTTTGTAATGTAAATCGTTTAAAGTTCACAAAGTTAAATTTATCATGTCTCAGGCTTAAACCTATGGATAAACATTTGAGATTTATTGTTACTTTAAATTTAAACGGGTAAACATAAAAACTTAATTAAATTTTTCATGGAACATTAATGATAATTCGGTATAACGCCGTTTGTTTCACTTGTCTCAAAATGTCTAGATTCCTACCGATAATTACCTAATTACCACTTGTGTATTGAACCGTTTTCTATGTACTGGATTTCTCAGGTGAAAGCGTAATTATTTGGTATTGATTTGTAGATAACAAAATATCTTATATCAATATTCTAAACAATTTGAAACACCGAGAACAATAGCGCTGACTGCATGTGAATATCGTTGTAGCAATTTTGATGTAACGTATTCTGGAATTTATTCTATATGTTAAAGTCGCAAACGTATGTCACAGTTGAATTTAAACAATCGAACTTGAATTTATAAGTCCAGTATGCCTAAGTTACGCGAAACAAAACTGTATCAGTATATTGCAACGAAAAGTGTAGATGAATTACGAATAGAATGTTACAACCACATCAGCAGTGGGAAAGATGTAAACGTAAAGGATAGCGACACTGGAGAGACATATCTACATTGTCTGTGTGATCAAATTGAACGGTTTATGGATGAAAATGGAGTATCAATAATCTATATTTTGGCCTGTAAAGGAGTAGATCTTGACATACAAGACAATGTAGGAGAAACTTTCTTACACAAGATTGTCAGGATCCCAGGTGCATATCGTGCACTTATTGCTGCGGTCAGGTAAATTAAGATACTGCACAAAAAATGCTCTTTTCAGTTACTTAAGTGTTGGGTTCATAGTCTTCTGTCATGGTAATAACGAGAAAATACGATGTTTCATTTCATACTATAAGACAAAGTAGGTAACACTGGCGTTGTCGTCGTTTTACATTTTAAGTACTAAACCGAGATTCTCAAAGAGATGACAAATTAGCATACGTTCACACCTACTTCTTCTACTAAAGAACACATTTCAGCAGCTATTAAATTGAAAGCTTCTAAAACCAAAAAGTTCCAATTATGTATTATGTATAATTTGCTACCTAAATTCTACAAACAACCTCATAAATTTAGTTTTTTTAGCTGGATACAGTCAAATGTTCAATTTCAAAATATTTCTTTCTTCCATAGATACATAAACATCATGTTTAGTTAATTCATATACATCTATAGTTCTTCTTACTAGTACATTAACAACCGTTAAGAAGATCGTTGTCATATCTCGCAAAAGGCTTATGCTAACAGCGGTATTGTGTTTAAGATTAATTTTGAAAGTCTGGATATAACTAATGCATGAAATGGGTTTTAACCGTTACAATATTTTAGTAATAAATTGATAATTGATATGCAAAGAAATGATTAAAGTTGCTTTATCATATCATGTCAGGTTCTTCTTGTCAAGTGATTGGTATTCCGATGTTGACTTTCTGTGTCCTTCTTATCACAGATCTCAGGGGGGATCCAGAATTTTTGAAAGTTTATAGCAAAACTCCATCAATAACAAACTTTTGATCAAATATTGCTTGCTTTACGCCCACTGACGAACATATGATAAATATCCAGGAAGAAAATACCCAAAGAAACACCACTTGACAGATTTTTAAACAATTGTAATACCTGCAAATGTTTAGACAACATATTTCCTGAAAGCAATCCAGATTTTTCCAAAATATATCAAGTAAATGTATCCACCCAAGTTTTCCTAACTTGATCGAACATTAAAAGTTACCGTTGTCCCTTTTAGACCTTGATATTAGAATTTGTCATGACATTCTTCATACCAACATTTATGACAGTCTTGGCGAGTTTCTTGTTTTTTTTTTCCTATTGTTTCTTTTTCGTTCCTTGATGTCGATGATCCGTTCGATGCTCCATATATGGAGTGTATACTTCTCAGACGGCGATTCGTTATGCATGTTTGCAGTAACGTCCTAGATTTAAACGAACGTAATGTTTTGTCTGTTGTGGTTCAATCATTGTGTCCTTTAATTTGATGGACTCACGATAACATACAGTGTTCTTAAACATTAGTTATTAAATCTATAATTTTAAACAAGACCATTGGCAAGATGATTATTTTTTTTTCTGTATTGAAATTTTGTACAAATTTACTCTGGAAATTGCACTAGAACGTGTCTTCATGTTTTGTGTGGTCGTCGCTATATGAAATCTACACTAATTACAGTCACCGATATTAGAGAGTAGAAAAGCAACATATCAGCAGGTTAAGTTTCAGTAAATGTGGACATTCTTTGGTGAAGTATTGTTTAATATTGTATTGCTGTACCTAGGTTGATGGTATATATTATATCGTTATTACAAAGAGATTTCAATGCACGTGCTCTTCCATTTTCCTGTTCAGATTCCTTGATTTTGGGATTTTAATCTCGTAATTTGATAGTAACCTTTTAACATGTTCATGTGCCTAACCCAAGACAGGAACCGCATATCAGTAGTTAATTTAAGTTATCTGTCTTTAATTTTGGATGGTGGTCGATGTTTAATAAGTCTTTTATTTATTTACTTTTCTAGAGTCGGGGCTATTCAATGTATTAGAGCTTCACATATTGAATAAACGTCTGTCGTTTGTTGAAGACCATATGTTGACTTTAAGATAACTATCTTTTTTGTGTGTTGAGTTTTGTGTTTTATTAATATATTCCCCATATTTATTTGTATTCATGAAAATGGAACAGTAAAGCATTTTAATCCATACCATATTCTCTGAAAAATGCCTGTCGCAAGTCAAAATTGTTGTTTGGAGCTTGTCACTATATAATTTTCGATGAGGTAAATTGGATGTCTTCATTGGCCTAGGAGTCAAAGTCAAAGATTTTATTGATATAAAATCTAAAAATCTGGATTGTCATTAACACACAAACAAAGATCAAACATTAATCATTACAATCAATTATATATCAATACATAACATAAAAAAAATATATAGAGATATATATAATATCTTGTAATTTTTCGATTTTTCCCTCCTTCTATCTATTTGACTGAGGAGGTACAGTTTTAGATACTAGTATTTACAATTTATATAATATATAACATAAAATAAATAGAGAATATCATATGGCTTTTTCAATATCACATCCGTATCAACCCGAGACACCAATATAATCCCAAGAGCTCTGCTCGAGGGATTATATTGGTTGAAGGTTGATACGGTGTGTGATATTGAAAAAGCCATATCATATACACTTTATTATATACATATACCTCACTTAGATGTTTATTTATGTGACATGACATCATACAGGTAAGGAGGTTTGAAATGACGTCATACAGATTATAGGTTTGACATGACGTCATACAGATTATGGGTTTGATAAAGCCTTTGCAACAGTGACTGTAATCGATGACGTGACGTCATACAGATTAAAGGTGTGATAAAGCCTTTGCAACCGTGCTGATATCGATATCATCACGGGTGGCTGATACAGCACGCTTGCCAATGATTGTATTACACATACAATTTATCTGTATTTACTACTAAGTATATAATAACTTAAGTTAGTGAACGTCTGAACTTGTACATCTCATTAATACCTTTTATGCAACATTTACTGACATCATAATCATTACATCGAAATATGAAATAGAATTTTTCAATGTCTGAAAGATTATTGAAAGATGGTAAAATATCTGAAATATTCTGAAAAATTCATTCCTCAAATCATTGAGTTTGGTTCATTTTATGGTAAAGTGTAATTCATCTTCAACTTCAAATTTACATAGGGGCATAATCTGTTTTCTAAATCAATCTTTTTATGTCTGCCTTTTTCAATCATAAGGATACTATTACTTATCCTTATTCTTACAAAGTTTGAAATATCAGCTCTGTCTATATCTAATTTTAAAAAGTTCTCCATATCAAATTTCCTAAGATGAAATGTCACATAAACTGTGCTGATTATAAAACTAATGACGCATGTGAAGAGATTTTAAGGTCGAGAGATATGGCAGGAATTTAATGTTTCCTATACATGTGCATGTAAAATTTGACAAAAGTTGCTAAGTTTATACAATGAACAAATATATAATAGTCCCGGTTATATGACACCGTGACATTTTTGAAAGAGAATTATCGAGCGCATTCAAATTAAAAGAGAGGCATAATACTGTGGAAAACTATCTGGTTGATCATCGCATGCATATTCGAGCCTAAAACCATTTGAAAATCTACCAATAAGAATAAAAGGATAACCGTCCGGTATGTGGTGTATACAGTAACCCAACGCTTCAAAGAAGCCTTTCTATGGGTCATGTATATCAATATAATGGCGGCACGATGATCTTAATGAAAAAGAAGAAGACCACTCTTACAAATCGGTTCATTATTTCACAACAAAATTATAAATCATAGAATATGCATACACTAACCATATGGTACTAGTGGCGTATAGCTGCAGTGTAGCATTGTTAGCATGTCCGTACAAATATTTTTTTAATTTTCAATAAGAATTTTACGATAATCGTTCAGCTTCTGTAATAACTGTAGTTGCTACTTCATGGGGTGGAAAGGGAGGCGCCACTAAACTACCCATTTTTAGTTTTGTTTTATATATGTATATTACAAGTCATTACAACATAAATAATGGGAATCTTCAGTTAAAACCTACAAAAAGAAAACATATGAACAGTTCAAAACATTACTTCATATGAAATTATTTAAAAACGTTTAGAGTCAACTCTCAAATGATTTTCTTTTTTTAAGTGTCACACATATTTTAACTTTTCTGTCACTGTATTTGATATATATGTTTTAACAGGTGGTATTCAAACAAAATTAATCGTAACGGTTTTTTATCTAGGTGGTACTTCAGACCAAATTAATTAAAACGATTTATACAGGTGGTACTTCAAATAATATTAATTGTCCTTGAACGGCTGAACATATCACAGTGTTATATGGATTATCTTCAGTCTTATGAACGGTAAACGACATAGCTAAAATCGGTCAAATATTAAATTACTATATCTAAATTGGTTTAAATATAGCAAATCTTTAATTGAAAAATACGTAAGGGTTCCGCGGAACCCAGTGTCTCGCCTACTTTTGATGTTAGTCGCAGGCTCTACAAAAATGGGGAAAAATATTAAAAATTTTCCTCTAGATACTATCTTTTGATTGTAAGAAGTTCTGTTCAAGTTTGGTAAAAATCAAAGAAGGTTTATGAATCTAATAAATGTTTTAAAAACTTTAACTGCAGACTGTACGTAATGTTAAGTGGAATAAAACTAAGCCTATTTATAAGTAATATACGGAAAAACAGGCTAGCTTTTGATCATAAACAAGCTTCTGTTCAAGTTTGGTACACATGCAGGATAGTTTAAGAACGTTAATAAAATTTTGAAAGCTTTAACCACAGAATGAATGTAATGTTAACTGGCAGAAAAACTAAGTCCATTTATAAGTAAAATACGGATAAACAGGATTTTTTTAACAAAATTTACTTCTGAATACTATCCTATGATCACAAACAAGCTTCTGTCCCAGTATGGTACAAATCCAGGATAGTTTAAGAAAGTTATTAAAATTTGACAAACTTTAACCACAGAGTGAATGTTATGTTAACTGGCAGAAAAACTAAGTCCATATATGAGTAAAATATGGATAAACAGGATTTTTTGTTACAAAAGTTTCTTCTGGATACTATCTTATGATTATAAACAAGCTTCTGTCCAAGTTTGGTACAAATCTAGGACAGTTTAAGAAAGTTATTAAAATTTGAAAAACTTTGACCACAGATTGAATGTTATGTTAACTGGCAGAAAAACTAAGTCCATATATGAGTAAAATATGGATAAACAGGATTTTATTTTTTACAAAATTGTCTTCTGGATACTAACTTATGATCATAAACAAGCTTCTGTCCAAGTTTGGTTGAAATACAGGATAGTTTAAGAAAGTTCAATTTTATTAAAATTTGAAAAACTTTAACCACAGAGTGAATATTTGTGGACGCCGCCGACGACGCCAACGGAATGTAGGATTGCTATGTCTCGCTTTTGCGACAAAAGTCGCAGGCTCGACAAAAATGCGTAGGGGCGATCAAAATCATAATCTAAAAACGACGAAAAATACAAAATGTTAACGTCATAAGGAATAAAAAATACAAGGAGCCGTTACTTTCATGAACCTGACAACACCAGTGACTTCAGCTATGGTTGTTTTAGTCATTTCTTTGTGTTTTTGTCCTTCAGTTAATTTAGTGTTGGTTGATGGTATCTGTTCAATTTAGTCATTTTTCTGGTTAATCATCGGGCGATTTAGAACATAGACTTACCATAATTTTAACTAAATAACATCTATAAACACAGCTTAAGTAAACACCACAAAATAATCGGTATCAAAGAATAAAAAAATCTAGTTTCTTTTTTTAAAAGCTTTCTGACCTCTCTCAAATACTACCGACTTGAAATCTGCTAGAAGTGATGTTTCTGATATTGTTTTCTTTGGCGGCAATATACAACCAACATCCGTTGCTACCTGGCTGGTTTCGTGTAGGCCCGGGAACATTTGGCATTTATTTCCTTATACAAGATAGTGGTTAAATATGTTGGTAGCCGGACCGTGCAGGTTTTTACTTATGTCTTTTACTTTGACCACATATGACCTAGATAGACGGGAGGTTTGTGTACGCTAGCCTATGTTAAGCCTTTACGAAGTCAGGCTATCTGGACATGTGTTGTTCGTTGTTTGTTTTTGTTTGTACGTCTGTTTTTTTGGCGGGCGTAGTCGGGCGTAAGTGGTTAGCGGGATTTGTTGCACTGTGCAGGGGTGTTTATAGGATATTTGAAAGAGGGGTGTAAAAAAAATTTTGGACCTTTTTTTTGCTAAAAAACATAAAATAATTGTGAAATGCACTAATGTATCGTTCCTGACTTGGAGCATGTATATTTTATAGTTAAAGTGCCAGGGTTTGACATTTTTTATGCCGAATTCTCTACATTAATTGTCTATTGTATATTAAAATGATTGGATGGATTTTGAAAAGCAATAGACCAATAACGAGAAATTCCAAATTCTAGAGTATAAGGCGTTACTTAAAATTTCAATAGTCCTAGGCCAGGATTTTATGAACTCGAGGCGTAATTACGGTTGCCCTGGTAGAGGGTCAATGGGGAAGCTCAGAAGCTCTTGGATTTCAACAATTTAGCATCAATTTATGAAGTAGCCAGACTGATAAATATCTCTCTGACGGCGTGCACAAAGTTGGAGGCAACTGTAACAGGCGCTTTTAAAAGTAGTTTTATACAACCGTGTTTAAAATATCTTTTGAATAGGAAGTTTTTTTTATGAAAAAATGATGAATGCTAGCCATTAAAATCCACATTACTGATAAGGTTATCAGAATTAAATCTATAAAGTATGAAACGAACATAGAGAAAACGGCAAGAATATGTGAAACTTGTAACATTAAATAAGCATAAAATAGAGTTTTTGACCTAAAATTTATACAAATTCAACATATTTTCCCGCATTTTCGTATAATAGATTTTTTCGGATTCGGACTATGACGTCATACGAAATTCACCGAAAAAAAATTAAAAAACGGCCATGGTGGATGAGTTTGAAATGTAGTTCGTTATGTGTAAGAAGTAGTAATTTGGAAGGAATATTCGAAAATGGAAGAATCGGTAAGAAAAAATATTTTATTGCTATTTTTTTATTTCAAAATACCTTGATGATCCAAATGTGCATAACAAGAGGTATAAAAAAATCTGCAAAATATGAATGATTCGATAGTCCAGGCTGAACACCTGAATTGTTTTAATGTCCAGCTATTATGTTACAATTTAAAGAAATGACGTTTTAACGCTATTTTCTGAATAAGGTCCACGACATAGTCGCTTATTATTTCCATTACACTGCTCTTAGCATATATTTATTTATATTTCCAGAATGTTCATATGCTGCACTTTGTTGTTTAAAAAAAAAGAAATAAGCTGAAATTTTACGTTTAAAGCTATGTGATAAATTAAGTGTCCAGTGTTTTTGTTACGCGTTTGTTTTCTAGGGGAAAATGCCGACGTCGTAAATGATTGAAGTAATATTCAAGTAATTTGAAGACGTTACGTTTGTGGACTCAGCTTTATGCGCGCCGTCTCTATTTTAGATTAAGTTCTGGTTTCGCTGAACGACACACATGATACAAGACAAACAAACACTGAAGTATAAAGTTCTTTCGTTCTAAATATTGTAGGCTTTAATGTGGATTATTAATATAGGAAAAAATGACGTCATTGTACTACAGTACTAAATTAAAGCAATCATGTCACTGTCTAGTTCCGATAGGTGGTATATGGTACATAAATAAATATGGTGCTTGAACTTCATGGCAAAATGTAGGTCAATGTCACTTAGTTACTCACTAATGGATATTGAAACAATATGATACTACCAAAGGCTATCCAGATGGGAAGTAAAAATGCTATACCAAATATACATGTTACTTGTATAAATGTATCTTAACGCAAAACCTAAAATGAACACAGAAATACTGACGGACTCTCATTTTCAATGAATGGTTAGACTAGAGTGGATTCATTAGAACCATTTTACGCGGATTTCTCATGGCGTAATCGTCAATTATTTTATCATAATTTAGTTTAATGTCTCTGTGAACATAAAGAAGAAGCAGAGCATTTAGACGATCCTCCTCCAGGGTGCTTCTCAAATCATTCTTGATCAACTTAAGTGATGAGTTAGCTCTTTCGGTGGAGCTTGACGTGACGCTCGTCAAAGCAAGTAAGAAGAGAACTTTCATGATGATTGGAAATAAAGTCGAGCATGCCCTTACAAAAGTTAAGGTTGATGTAATTGACTCTGGTTTGTCCGTTTGGTTTTCCCAAAACGACTTCCAGATTCTCATCTCTTGCCTGAATTTTTCGGGCGATATTCAATACAATATTAGCAGATTACGATAGTTTTTTTGTTTTTTTCTGAAAAGGGGGCGTACGCCCATTACGCCCTCACCTGGACTCGCTCCTGCTGTGCAGTATTTTAAGTATAATTCTTGTTATCCTTTTATTATACTACACAGCTACTGAAAGTTAGCTCAGAGCAGGTACTTAATTGATTGATAATGACATCATAACTTCCTACACTTTTTCGTACTGAATTTGCATGAACTATTTGCCACTTGACATAAAGCAAACACCAATCAATCTTGCAACTCTAATATCAGCAACGGTAAGATCAGTCAATAATGACACGATCTTGTTCAATAATTAAAGTAAAAATGTTGAATAAATGGAAAAAATAACTTTTTATCATTTGGGTTTTTGTCTTTAAATGTGGAAATTGATCTGAACGTCCTAAAATAAAAGACGCAACGACGTAACAACAAAAGTGTAACTGTAACCTCTCTTGGTAACAGGTCAACAATATTGCACCATAACTGTTTTTATTGCAGATGTGGTGCCGACATGATGGTGCTTGATAATCGTGACAGAACACCAGAAGATATCTTACGTATAGAACAACCAGAAGGATGGCAAGAGACGTTACACTGGTGGAATAAATTTAAACCAGGTCAGGTGTTCATGTGTTTATTGCAATTGTTAGTTTTTAAACTCTATCTATCTGAAGTAGGTGAAAAAGCATGATTAAATTATGTTCCTGTTCCATAGATTTGCTCACCAGCAAGTCTTATTTTAACTTGATCTGTCTTGTTTTATTCCATACTTTTGATCATGCCAGTTAAATTGCAATAAACATAATGTACCATTAAATTTTTAATATTTACTAAGAATTAAAAAAATGTTTTACTTTTTTCAGATTATCTCAGAAGCTTCTGTACAAAAAGTAAAATAAAAAAAATACCGAACTCCAAGGAAAGTTCAAAACGGAAAGTCCTTCATCAAATGGCAAAATCAAAAGCTCAAACACATCAAACAGATGGAATACAACTGGCATATTCCTGACATAGTACAAATACACCGAAAATCTCAACAAGGAAGCTTTGATAATTTTTGTGTAACATTTAGACGTTTTGGTTAATTTCAGGCCTATACAGAGCAACATTAGAAGATAATCCTGATAGAACCTTGGTGAAAAACTTGCTGAAGTATTGGTGCAGAGTAAACATTGTGAAACATGGAAAAGATTATAGCGTGAAAACTAGACTAAGGCAGAGGGCTAAAGACATTGATCTCGTCTATCTAATAGAGAAGTACGAGAACACTATAGAGTTTGCTCTAGCAGCACTGTCGGGAAAAACACAAATATTGTCAAGCTGGAACAAACGAATAGGTAATTTTTGTCTTGCCTGTTGCAGCAAAATAAAAATAATAAAACAACAATGCGGGGGTTTACCAAATTAAGACATGCATATGATCAGAGCGTAATTAAAATAAATACAAACATACTTCTTAAACATCTCACATGACTAGAAATTTAACAGTGAATAATGTAATTACTTCAACCATCTTGGAAATGAAATATTCAGATGCAAATACAATAGCAATCCATATTTCAGAGATTTATTTGCATAGCATTTTCCTTGCATCCCCATTTAACCAGAAAACAATAAGGAGTTCAAAAATCTATTTAAAAAAAAGACATTGAATGGTTACAGACCGAATGGGTCTAATATACAGCATCTGCCTTACACTCTTATTGAAACTGAAATGCCGGGATACTCCTTTAACAGTATGACATATGTTGATAGCCATTCCTATATCCTTTTTAAAAAACCCACCTAATCAGAAAACCTGACATTTGAAAACTGTTCAAAAGTTAAAATCAATGTAGGCAATATGGTCAAATATACTGCTTGCAACTGAGATACTGCGATGTTGATGGAAATGTATGGCAAATATCAATGATCTATCACAAATACTTTTCTGGAGAGGACCTAATCGGGAGAAAAATGTCGTTGATTAAGAATGACAGTTGATGACATTATCAGAAAAGTAACAACTATATCTTGCTTTGCAACATTCCTAAATTATTGACTTTTGTGATAGTTTAAATCAAAACACTAGCAAAATACTTTTAAAAGTCATTAGAAAAGAAATGGATGTTATGCCAAAAGGTTAAACTTCATGGAAAAAACACTGAATAATAAGCCACCCGATAATTTAGTTACCTCTGCACTTTTCAAATCTATTGGAACAGTCTATTTTATTGCAGAAAATAATCCAATCATAATGAAGACTATAAACTTAAATGTGTGTGATTGGAGTTACCAAAGAAGCCCAGATTCTCTGGAGGTTCCAGTGCCATTGTTGTTCTATATATGGAGAATGAACAGAGTAGACATGACAGAACTATTATTAGAGTTTGGTGTTGATTCTGCATTGTTATATTCTACTGATCCATCCAAGGAACAAGTCAAACCATTATTCTTCCAAGTAAATATTAAAAATGATTCAGTCTTTTGTACAGCTTGAAAAATGAAATCAAAGCAGTGTCAATGCTGTAAGCCTAGTCAATCTGACTTGATCACAAAAAGGAGCATGATCATACATGTACATTATTCCATTTAATAATTTCTTTACATATGTTTAATTTTGGATAACTGAGAAGGAATTCTCTCTATTTGTACATATTTGAATAAAGTGTGGGAAATCAACTTACGCTGAATTTATTCAATGAACTTCCACTAGCATAAGATAATGATGAAATTATTACAATAATTTCTAATCAACTGTTTGAAAATGATATCTTACTTTTTACTTCAAATCAAAAAGAGTAATATTTTATTAACTTTAATTCACATAGGAATTATATGCAAGTATATTCAACTAAAATTGAATAAATTGGCATCACTTCAAAACTTTTTTTTTTACTTGTGAAAAGTTTGTGATAGATTATTAAAATGGTGTTTGATACTTTCTGAAAGTCATTTACAAATCTCTCATGGTTTGATTACATGCCTTAAAATTCAGAATTCTGTCCCATCTACAATTTGGATTGATGACAAAGAGCCAGATTGGCTAGCTGAAAAACAGGTATTGAAAAAACCATGGAATTGATTTCTTTGTACATATGGATCTTGAATAAGCTTCATCAGATATCCTTGAGACCAAAAGTAAATCTTTATCATATTTAAATGTCATTGTTGCATTCTTTAAATACCAGGTACATCAGTAGATTTTAACAATATTTTTGCTTGATTCAAGCATTTAAAAATAAACAAAAAACATATAGAACATATTAATTTTCATATTCTAGAGTATCAGATATATTGGGTATATTTGTATAACACTGTAACAGACACCAATATACAAACGGCAATCCATATCAGTGGCCACCATATGATAATGAGCAAAAGCCACATAGAAAGATTTCTAGAAAGGCAAATAATGAGAGATGACTTAGATATTATCAGTATACTTTTTGAACAGACAATTATATGAACCACTAAAACTATTTTTAAGATCTTATTATCTATAAATACATACTTTGCTATTCAGTTAGTGTGTGGTGAACAGAAACCCAGCGATGAAATAATATATAGAACCTTACAAAAATCTGATCTTTCTGCTAAAAACTATGATGGACAGACATTATTGTATGAAGCAATTAAACACAGATCTTCTAGTCATCTTGTTGAATTTTTGTTAAAAAGAGGAATTAATATCGGAGCAAGAGACAAATATGGACAGACTGCCAGAGACTTTGCTCTTTCTTTGAACAAAAAAGGAAGTAAATATGTAAAAATAATTGATCAATATGTTGTTGATATGGTGAAGGACAGTAATATCCAAGGAGTAGAAGCTCTGATCCTACAGGGGTATGACCATCTTGTGGATGTTATTGATGAAAAGGAAGAATTGGGAGTACTAAGTTTGGCAAAGACAACTGGATCTCAATATCTTGTAGAAATACTGACTAAAGTAGAAAAATCAAAGGTATGGATGGAGATATCTGTTTTAAACTGCTTGTTCCTTGCCAAAAACATAATAGTGAATAAATGCTAACTTTTAAAAGGAACATATTCATGAAAATGTATTGACAGATAAAGAAAATTTCAAGTTTCACTTTAGTTTGATGAATTGATTAAATATTTCTACAGCAAAATTTGAGAGATGATTGAATTAAAATACCTTTATTTAGCATAATACATAAAGAAAAAAAATACTAACAAAGCGATAATATAAAGGAAAACTATTACTTTAAGAAGATGTATATCCTATGGCATATTTCAGGAGCATGTAGAGAAAATGTTTAGAATAGCACACAAAGGGAGATTAGCAGAACTACGGCCATTACTAGGCAAGAAGTACTCATCAGCAGTTGACATTTGTGGAAGGAATGTTTGCCACATAGCTGTAGTCTATAAAAGGAGGGAATTCATTAAATGTTTCATTGACAATTATACAACTTTACTCAACAAGAAAGATAATGTAAGTTTAATATTATTTATCATAGAATAAGTATACTATTATTTATTATAGAAAAAGTATAATAATATTTAATTCCATTTTCATTTTCCGTCTGTATACACCTTATCTCTATTTGTCCATCATTATCGGACATCACAAAGTTTTCCGTAAAATTGTGACCTCACAATAGAAATGTCTGATGCCACAAAGGAAAATGATTGTTGTATGATGTCAATAGTTCAAGTGTTGCAAATACTAAGGTCAAGTGTTGCAGATTCCCAAAAAGAGATAAGGTCTATTGCAAACTCAAATCCATTTTGCATGAAACAATGTTTGCCTCATTAAAGGTTTAACAAGATGAGCTTTCTTACTTACAATAATAAAGCCAGAAATTTGAAATTTGATTTATGCATTCAATTTTTTTTTCTAAAATTAAAAATTGTCAATTCTACTAGTTATTATTTGTGATTGTTTACAGCTTGGTAGAACACCATTCCATTATGCACAAGTATTGTTAGAAGGGGATGAATTAACAGAGTACATGTTACAGAAAGGTGCTGATACAACTATAAAGGATGTGGTAAGTTTTTGTACATTTTTTGTATGCATGTGAATTTTAAAAAAATTGTCACCCTTAATGTATGTAGGAAGTACAATAATACCATTTAATACTCTAAAAGATAAATCAAATGAATTATTTTTAATTTAACACAGATATATTCAGACTATAATTTTTCACCTTTACATGTGACACTAAATACCAATCATATTTGTACTGAAAAAGTAATACAGATGCAGATTGTATTGGTTTGTTCCAAAAACACAAATGTTCTGGAAAAAAACCCAAACCATTTCATAAAGAGAAGTTTTATGAAAACAAATGAAAGATATATATGTGGAGTATACTTTAATGAGACAAGAACCCATCGACACTAAAACATGTACTAGGTAACCATGTTTAAATCTCAAAAAACTAATTTAACCCCCCCACATCTTCATGTACCTGTCCCCTACCTGTGTTATGTTAGGAACCTTTCCAGTTGTAGTCTTATGCCTTATCTTATTGTTTTTTTGTTATTTAGAGAATTTGGTGTTGATGATCGTTGGTAGTTTCTGTTCAGTTTAATTCAGTTACAACTGTTATAGACTCTGGACAGTTTATAGCTTGACATATTGCATAAACACCTTTTTTGTTGAAGACTGTATTTTGATCTTGAAGTGTCTTTTTCTTGTTGTGTTTCTGTCTCATTGACATATACCGCAAATCTCCTTTTAATCATCTGTATTGTTGGTTTCATAGTATACGGAGATTTTCTATAAAACACACAAAATACAAATAGTATTCTGATTTATTCTATTTATTGATTAAGCATTTTCTGTAAAACCCTTTTCAAGCAGAGTATAAAAAGAAATAATACTGATAAATACTGGTACATTTTATTTTAATTAAACCATTTTCATATACATTTATATATAAAACAATTTTCTCTTCAACAACCTTTCCAATGCATTTTTCAAACATTTGTCCATACAATACAATTAGAAATGTAGTGTATACCACTTATATGTTTTATGCTAACATGTATTTTTCCTTTGATAGCTTGGTAGAACCCCTCTCGATTATAAGTGTAGTACCTGTGGACAAAGATCTTTCTACATGCGACAGAAAGAAGTAAAAAACTATGCAATGGATGTCTATGTAGCACAAACAAATTTTGAAGAAAGTCTTTCTACAGCAATAAAGGTATTAATTTTTCAATCCGAAAGTCAAAATAATTTCTAAATAAAAAATTTACATATTTCAGTAAAATCATGTTCCTTAAATACTTAAAAACAACAGTACTGTTTTGTAAAAGTTGCTGCTGTCAGTTTGGGGTTTGATGATATTAATTCTGTGTTACAGGAAACATGAAAAAAAAAAAACTATAACGTCTTGTTTTGATATAAACAATGCCTGTAATAAATGGCACAACACATTCATAAACATCAAAGTTGATAAAATCTAATCTATACATTCTTCAGAATGGAAAACTAGATGAAGTTACTTCCCTTGTTGGTGGCTTGAAGAGCCAATCAAAAGACACAGATTATTTATCTAGATTTAACATTTTCTTGTTCAATTGCCTGGAACATAACCAAGAAGAGATAGCTATATTCCTTATACAAGAAGGAATGAATACCAATGTTTTCAAACAGGTATGTAAAACTGAATATTTTTCCTAAATCATTATTATATCATAACTGAAAATCTGAAATGTGATACACACTTATGGTAATTAATATTGATTATCATGTTTTGAAATGTTAAAATATTGAAAACAATTCATCTTTAGCTCTTTATCACAAAATGAATGCTAACAATGTACAAATCTATCCTTGATAAAAAACAATTACATTATTTTGTCAAAGGAAAGTTTATATGAGACTGGAATACAGCAAATGAAAAAAAAGAAGACTTTTTGAAAATCCCTGTGCTTGTGAAATAGATACAGGATATTGACTTTTACTCTTTAAAATTTAACCATTTTACAGTATGATAAATGTAACCCTAATGACCAACTCTGTGCAATGTTAGAATGTGATCACAGTCCAAAATATTTCAAGGATGTAGCAAAACAAAAGAAGTGTCAAAGAATTCTTGATTTTCTGGATGAAATATTTAAAGACTTGGTAAGGTTAAATAATATTTTTTCCAATTAGAGATTTTAATAGCCAAACAGCAAATTTAGCTAAAAAATTATTGTTAAATGTATTACACAACAGATATGATAATGCATGTATCTTTTATCAAAAGTGAAAAACACTGCATAAATGGAGTCTTCATAAAATTTGACCTATTAGTTATTTATGGTGAAGATGTTGCATATTTAAATGCCGGTTATGTGATTTATTTTGCTGCAGATATTCAGGCAGTGATTTGATATTTTCATTCTTTCCATAATGAGTAATGACAGTGCTAAAGAGCACAAACAGATATCTCAATTATAATTAACTTAATTAAGAACTTGTACCTTTGTTAAATACAATGTACCTTAGTTTTACAAAACTGCATTTTTTAGATTATTTCTCAAAATGAAATGTATTACTATTCAAAGTGAAAAACGATAACATATTTTACACCAATAATTTGCTTTCCTGTTTTCTTTATAGGAAAAAGAAATACAAGAAAAGAAAAGAGCAGATTTTATGGCATTTTCTCAGTTTGGTCTAGTGTAGTGTCTTATAGTACTTAAATTGAACATTATTGAATCAGAACTATGTAATACAGCTGACTTAATTGAAAAGAATTAAGTTCTGCATGACATTAAAAATGGCTGTGAAAGTATAAAATATCAAGTGAAAAAAACACTAATTGTTGCTTATCAATGCATTTTTCCCCGACATTTAGAACTTAACAAAATGCATGTTTTCCATAGATTTATTTTAGGAGCAAGTCTGCAACCACAAAATAAATACAACTAGATAATGACTTTCTCAAACAAAGAAAATTGCATCAAAGAAAATTTTACAGTATCTGTTACAAATCAATAAATAATTTCTCAAGCCAGATTTTCATATTTGATATTCAGTGGCTCCAAAAGTATGTTTCACACATAAGATCTATGTTTGACTTTGACTTGATCTGAATGCCAGTAATGCCAGACTTTACTCTACAGATCAGATACAAATAACAAAACTATAACTTATTTAGTAAAAATTTATTTTTTAACAAATGTCTGACTATTACATATACAAGATATCCTATGAATGATTTAGATCTAGTATGGTTCAAAATTACCCATATCATGATGGTAGTAGTCATTGACTGTGTATCTTGTTGAGGACCATTAAACTATCAGTCCCTTACACCAGCTCTTCAGACAAGATAAGCAAAAGACAAGAAAACACATTATCTATATAATTTTACATATAGAATACAATTTCATGTACTTGCATATCCAAATAAATGTAGTGATTGACCATTTCTTAAATTGATGAATATTTTGCTGACTAGATTAACTTATGACAAATTCTTTACTGAATTTATTAAAGGAAAATTCAGCTTCTTGGTCAATGATGTATAACTATGTGACACTGTCAGTATCAGTATATAACATAAGATCTTTTACCGATTCAATAGTTTTTAGCTTTACTTCCTTTAACCTTTTAACAGGTCAACATCAATATCACAGAATGCTTGTAACTGTAAGATTAAAATTTCAAACTTTCTCTTTTTTCTTCAAGTCTCTGTTTTTCTTTCTTTCCTTTGTTTTCTCTTTTATAAATTTCTGTTTCTTTTGTTCTTCTTTTTCTGGATCCTATAAAATTATTTGAATTTATAATTGTTTTATACTATTGTTTATTGTGTAAAAAACTTTTTAAGATATACATGTAAAAATGTTTCCTTCATGTTTTCAATTTTTTGGCAAATTTTTAACTCCTTGATATTTTTTTTTAAAGCTTGCACTTTAAATACACTTCAGGTTAAATATTTAAAAAGTTTTCTTTTTTCTGATATAAAAATACTGATTCTGGACATGTGTTTGTCTGCAGTTGATATATCAGTCAATGCAAATACACACTTGACTATGCAAGCGAATTTATCAGACACTGCGAACAGAAGAATGTTAAAAACTGTGAATATATCAGTCAGTAGTAGGAAAAGAGTTAAATCGATTTCCAAATCATAAATTCTGATAAATTTTTTAAACTCAAACTTACTTATCATATGACTCCACACAAAATCTAGTCCTGCCATTAGGACAATCAATAAATTTTCAATTAAAAGTTAATAAGCCAAATTCTACTTTAACTGTTAAGAGGTATATAGATTCCACCATTGCATCAAGTGTATATATTTCTCCACTCAAGGCCATAAGAATTTAATATTTAAAGTGCGAGGCTTGCTGAGCTTTTTAAATAATTCGAATTTAACTGTTGAGAGTGAAGAAATATTGTAATACACAAGTTATGGTGGTGGAATCTGTTTCTCTAATGATTTTTAGATGATATCTAAACAAATTTTATCCTTCCTTTTCAAAGATTTGCAGAAAGTTGTGTTCTACATATGCGACGTCATCAGACATGGCCGCCTTTTTTCATGACATCACAATATGAAATTCAAAAGAAACCAAGAAATTTGACGACATAATTGAATTTTGACCAATCCTTTGCTGAGAACAAAGTTTTCTCTAAAGATGAAAAATATTTTTCTCACACCGATCAAAAAATGTGAAAAAAGCATGAAAATTAGAGAAATTGAAATTAACCTCTTCTCACATTAAAGAGATATGTGATGGGAAACTAAAGAGTCTCAAGAGTATTATTCCTTCAATAATCTGTCAACTATTTACAGTAGTAAATAAGGGTATGAAATGTTGGGTACTTCGGGAATATCTGTAACAGGTTATCTTTCATCGCAAAGATTAATAAATTGCTTCGCTGAGTGCAGCTGGATACGACCGCAGATGTCCAACCCTGAAAAGTTGGGCCAAAATGGACACAATATTCACGCTTTATACAGGTCTGAATTTGGATTGTAACTAAATTTTTGACACATAATAGGTTTCTGACACAGAATAACTGTAGTCAAAGAACTTCAAATTGGTTATATGATTTGAATTTATATTCAATTTATTGCTTTTGTGCACTGTTGCGAATTGACCCCCCCCCCCCCCACCTACCAAAATTTTTTTATTTTACCCCGGTTTTTTGCTTTTGTGCAATACACTATGCTGTTGAATATTACCCCCCCCCCCCCCCCCCCCCCCCCCAAAAAAAAAAATATTTAAAGAAATTTTCTTTTAATTTCTGAAATCTGAAATGAGAAAAATTGTCCCCCCCTCCAATTTTTTTTCACCTCCCCCCTTTCCCTTATTCCCCACAAAAATTCTTTCCATCACAATATGGTCAGTATCTCAATTCAAATTTCTAATGCAGTTTGCAACCAAAATTACCCATTTAAATACATCATAAAAGTTTTAAAATACAAAATGACATACATAGTCATGGCTAAAATTAATATTAATTAATAGTAACTGCTAAAAATAAATTGACAGCTAATCACCTCAAGAAAATCATAATTTCTTAATACATAATTTACAAGCAGTGTAAGGGAGGTAATCAAACAGTGTTCTTTAATTTGAATTGGATTACCTCCCTTACACTGCTTTTAAATTGTCTCAATTGTCCTTTAACCAGAAAAACCCTTGTTTTTCCCCTTTTTTTGCCCCTAATTACTAAATGGTTTGTGCCATAACCCCCCAAAGTCAATCCTAACCATCCCTTTGTTGTATGGAAGTTTGTGGTATAATTTCAGAGAGATTCATACACTATAACACAAGTTATTGTCTGGAAACTACAAAAATGCTTATTTGGGCCCCTTTTTTTGGCCCCTAATTCCTAAACAGTTGGGACCATAACCCCCAAAATCAATCCCAACCTTCTTTTAGTGGTTATAAACCTTGTGTTAAAATTTTATTGATTTCTATTTTCTTATACTAAAGTTATTATCCCGAAACCATCTGTCTTCGGACGACGCTGACGACAAGGTGATACCAATATACCACCAAAATTTTTTTAATTTTTGCGGTCGTATAAAAAGTATTGCTATATCTATTTCTCAAAAAATTTGGAGATTTTTCTTGTTTGATTATTTTTTAAATAAAAAAACAAAATGTGGGATGACAAAAGAAAAAGAAGTGAAAAAGAAGTGTGTGCCAAACAAAACTTATCTGTATATGTCTGAGAACATCACCACACTAGGTGACTAGGTGTTTGTTTAAATGTTTTGTATATGGTTTTCCACATGCGCTATTGTATAGTGTTTTTTTCTGTACTATTGTCGAGGTAAAAGTTATGCAATATTGAAAATAGCTTCTCGTGTGAAATTTGAATAATTATTATGACATACCTTTCCTTCCATTATCATTCTTTTCCTCTTATTTATTTCTTTCTGTTCACCAAAATCTCGCTCATCTAACCTCTGCAATAAAAAAGAAAATAAAACTGATAATGTACAGCAAAGATTCAGTACTGCAAATACAAATAACAAGAATACCTATATATGACAACAACACTTCAAAGAGTCTGCAATTTTATTAAACTTGGTTCACATGTTTTGTCTACCAGGCAGGTGCCATCAGGACAATTTACATACAGAAATTAAGAACTGAAGTAAAAAGCTAGGTACATTAAATTTTGACATCACAATGTGTGTCGCTCTGGGTGAGAGAAATAATGAAAAGTGAGTTTAGATTGATAAATAGAATAGATAAATATCGAAAAACAAAGTTTGTTAAACAGTCAGTTTTTGGTTTGTTTTGCTTTATGATGCATGGCATTATTCTAAAGGCTTGGTATCTAAGGTAGGTTCTCCCCATGGTCCCTACAACTTCACAAGGATTCTTTATTCATCAACCACCTAAGTAAATTATTTAATACATATACACCAATTTATGATATTTTACAATCTGAGCCTCTCTTTTAGATGTTGCTACTTCAACCAATATTTTCATGACTTCTTTTTCTTCTATAGGCCATTCTTCCATCTTCTTTTCTAAGAATAAAATTTGAAATTTTCTTTCCAGGATAGCAGCAAAGTCTATTCTACACAACTAAACACTAAGGTTGTAATAGACAAAGGTTTTTAGCATTAGGAATATTTGTTATCCTCAAAAATGAACAGTATCTGTCATTGAAATATCATTTTAAAAAACTAGTTTACTCTATCTTCAATTATTTGCGACTGGTTTTTTTAGTTGATTGCTGCTGTCTTTTATTTTCTTTCTTCTTTTTTTGCTTTTTTTTTCTTTCAGCTGTTTGCTGTAGCCTTGTTTTTTCTCTCGGTTGTTTGCTACTGTTTTTTCTCTTGTTTTTCTTTTGCCACTGCAACTTATGGTTTTGAAGTTTTCTTTAATTTGTTTTGTTCTTATCAACACCACAAGAGTAAAACAATAACTGAGTGATCAATAGTGAAATGACTTACTGACAAAAGCTTCTATCGAATGTACCAATTTCACATCAAATTGTGTTACCAGGGTAATGGATTTACCACATCGTCCTGTAAAACATTTATATTCTATTAAATCTTTGTAAGGATATAAAATTTAATAAAGTTTTCATATGAAAATTAATAAATTAAACCACATAAGTGCACACGCTGAAATGTCTCGCCTGTCTTTCAAAACTTTTGACCTTGTTGTTTCAAAGAATTTGATTACAAATCAGTCATTATCAGTTACCTTTTCCATCATATCAGAATAAATATGAAATTTATATAAAGAATCTTCCAATACTATTCCAACCATGTTTCAGAAAAGAAGAAAATGTTTTTGTGCATATGGTCAATGAATATTAAAGCTTGGAGACATCTGCTTTTTATTGCAAGGGAGAAGAAATCTTGAAAGTGACATAGCCCCATCATGAACTACCTCTTCATTCAATGACAGCAAACCTAATTTCCCTTCCATTTATTAGTGACAGTGTTAAAGCAATCAATAATCATAAATTATCACAATCAAACTTGACCTCAACTTCTATCTAAAAGGATTGGTTGAACAGTTTCAAGTTATCAAAGGAAACTACAAATAACACCATACATTTGACCAAACCTTTTTGTAATATACCATACAGGCAAGAATGGAAGTTTCATCCAATTCATGCTAACTAACCATCAAATATCATTGAAATTCACAAAGAAAACAATGAAATTTCACCCTTACAAAATCAACTTATTCTACAGTAAAAGAAAGTAAAAAGTTTCTAAACATGATACACAGTTTATGTATCAATGTAGTATTTTTGCTCTTACCTGCTCTAGCAGTACGTCCAACTCTATGTACATAGTCCTTAGGTCTGTTTGGTACATTATGGTTAATAATCAAATCTACGGTTGGAATATCCAATCCTCTAAAATTAAGTGTTTTTAATGTTTAACAGGAAAAATGATACATGTAATTCCAAACACAACTTCTTTCAATTTTAGAGAGTAACAATTTCTCAACATAATATTCAGTTTTTTCTCTTTAGGGAGTTTTAAATTTTCTTCACCCTTTTTCTGCTGATTTTACCACAAAAAAAAATCACTTGTCATATCTATAATAACAGAACAGATGGTAAATATCTTATCAAAATATACAGTTTAGCAGAGCTTCAAAATATTATTTATATTTTGGGGAAAATCAGTAATAATGAAACAGATACTAATGCGTTCTAATGGATAAAATCATTTCAAATCTTATTTGATTTTTAATTATTATCTAAGATGAATAAACTGCTTCGCTGAGCGCAGCTGGATACGCCTGCAGAGGTCCAACCCTGAACAGTTGGGGTAAAAATGGACACAATATTCAAGCTTGATACAGGTCTGAATTTGGATTGTAATTAAATATTTGACATATTATAGGTTTCTGAATAAATGTAGTCAAAGAACTTGAAATCGGTTATATGAATTGAATTTATATTCAATTCAAGATTTCTTCCTGTTGTGCAATACACTGTGCTGTTGCGCAATGCTTAGTAAATCTGTTGTCAGACTATAAACAAATAAAATCTTATAACTCGGAAACCTAAATTGGAAAATTTATAAAAATCAAAAGGGAGCTTACAAAAATAGATATAAACAATTTACCAAAGTTTCTTATTCAGCATTTTTGAGTTATTGTCCGAAAACTGGAAAATCCCCCTTTTTGTAATGAATAAAACCCCATAAATCAGAAACGTATGGTCTAAAATTTATAAAAATCAAAAGGGAGCTCATGTCGATAGTAATAAACAATTCACAAAAGTTTCATGCAAATTGGTGAAATTGTTTTTGAGTTATTGTCCGAAAACTGGAAAATCCCCCCCTTTTTTTAATGAATAAAACCCAAAACTCGGAAATGGTAAATCCGTAATTTATAAAAAACGAAAGGGAGCTCACGTCAATAGATATATAGTTTCATGCATATTGGTTAAAGTGTTTTTGAATTAATGTCCGACATGTTGACGACGGACGGACGGACAGACGGTCAACAGTATACTATAATACGTCCTGTAAACGGGCTTATAAAAAGCAATTTCAAATTGTTTCCTTTTTGCTAGAAGATCCAATGTATCTTTAAAGAGAGAAATCTACTTTACTGAAGTTCTTTGTTCTGTTTGTCAGTTGTAAGATGAGTGCCCACATTTTCAAATAAACTCTACCATGGCTTTCTTAATCAAAATTTATGTCACATACCTACTGGCTACATCAGTAGCAATCAATATGCTGACTTGACTTGATTTAAACTTAGCAAGAGAGGCTAATCTTTCCTTTTGTCTGATCATGGAGTGTAACACCACACACTGCATTCCAAGTTCTGATAATATAATCCCAAGAATCTGTGTGTATCTGAAAGCAATCAAAATTGTTTAAAAAAAAATTTCTGACAAAAAAAAAACCATGTAAATTGTCAAGTATAACTAGGCAACTTGTTATTCAGAATCTAAAAGTTTATGTGTGATATTTTCTTAAATGTACATCTTTACCTTATGATTGTTATATAAAATCTTAAACTATGAATATTCAATCAATAATGTGATTTTATTTTCTTTGGTTTATGAACAAAGAAATTATGCTTATTCTTTAGATCTAAAAATGCAATTTAAAATTATTTTTGTCACAGACCAATCTTACTAAGATATACTGTGAAACTTTTTTTTTATGGATCTTGGTAGCTCTTTTTAACCAACAGAATATACATTTGAATGATAGTAAAAATGGAAGGCACTAAACACTGTGTCAATGAGGCACTGTCTTAAAAACAATAATATTTCTTACAATTTGTGAATCAAGCCGTGATGACTTTAATGATTCGGATTACTAGAAGATGCCCGCAAAAAAGCGGTACAATTGGGCAAGTGTTGAAACAAAGTGTGTGGACACAGTAAGGATTTGGACACGGTTAATGCATTTAATTCTATTTCTTTAAAGAGATGAAAATGAGGAACATAATGCAAAAGACCCCATTCATCTCGGTTGGAAAATAAAAATATTAAATACCCTAAGAAAAGTGTGGCAAAGTGTGATTTTCAGTAGTTTTTACCCTTTTAACTCAATAACCATATGAGCTACGTAAAATCCGTATTTCACGGGCAGTATGTCAACTGAGCATGCACGAATGCATATAAGACACGGATTGAGAAGTCTCCGAATTTGGATATTTTCTCAAAAATTAGCGTTTTCTGTGGAAATAAGATTGTTTCAAAGATAAATTTAGGAAGTACAAAACACTACATTTATACGTCATATCACAAATATTTCCGACTTTGTATGGTTTCAGAGGAGTTGCGGCTCAATGAAATCGGTCTCTTCCTTTAGTAGTATAGATGATAAATAGCAAAATATAAGAAAATAGAACTGAAACACTGTAACATCTCTGAACTGACCCTAAATAGCAAAGATTCAGGTTAACCATTTGTTAACTGTATCTCTATGTATGAATTGTAAGACATTCAGCAAATATTGTTCAAACATCTGTGGATTCATTTATTTTTGTTGGATTGATCAAAAAATACTGATAAATGATTCAATGCACAATTATATATATATATTTCTCTAATTTTATGGAAATTTATCCCTTTCCGAACCCATTGTATAAAAAAATTTAATCAACGTGTGGTTGCCAGTGATCTCAGAAGATGATTGGATGAGTTTAAGGGTCATAACCTTTCTCAGCTCACTGGATGCATCAAAATATGCTAACAGGTGTTAATGAAACTGACAACTTTATAGAAAGTGGAAGGCACTCGAAGGGGATTTTAGTTTAGCTGAAAAGGAAAATTTATTTTTAAATCATTAGAGAAACAGATTCTTACATAATTACTCGTGGATTATCGGATTTATCCAATCTCGATAGTTAAATTATAAATTTTAAAGTCCTCGCCAAGGCTCGGACTTTAAAATTGACAGTTTAACTATCTCGATTGGATAAATCCGATAATCCACTGGTATCAATGTAAGAATCTATATATATTAAACATTGTACCAGGTTGGCTTTGGTGTAATGGTGAAATAGTTTATCACTAAACAAATTAATAAAGTGAGTCTTCAATATGAAATGTTTCTGAATATAAATTACAGTATAAAACTTGGTAAATGTATTACCAAAGTTGGCATGATATCAATTAAAAACTCATACATGTCTTTGGAAGTACCATAAACACAAACTTGAGTTATAATATAAACGAATACTCAACTACCAACAAAAGTTCATGACACCTTTTAACATAAGATCATGTGGTTATTTTTAATTGAACATTTGAAGTTATGGTTTTGACATTGAAAACTATGAAAATTTGTATCCATGTACCAATGAATAAAAATTCACAGTTGTCTAATTGATGTCTATCAATGCCTGTAAGAGTGACTCCTGTTCCCCAAATTTTTCCTTAGAATATAGTAGTGGTTTGATTATAAAACCTCAATATAACTTAAGAGTCTGTATGTGTGTAAATGAATAATGGCCCTCACCCTTGTGAGTGGGATCAAAAAGCTCATATGTTTGTATTGATTACTTGCATGTATATGTGTATTGGTGAATATAATAACTGAACTTTTCTTGTTTTTCTCTGTTTTTCTTACTTGCAAGTATTGGTGAATATAATAACAGAACTTTTCTTGTTTTTCTCTAGATATTTGTCCAGGGTATGAACCAAATAGGCATCCTTCACATCTGCAGGCATCAGGATATAATACTGCTCCAACTCTTCGACAGTCGATTCTCTGAAAATAATGTGGGAACTTATAAATAATTCTTTAATAAAGTGAATCCACCATATTTTCATTTACCAAAAAGAAACCATTTAGTTGAAAAAGGGATGTATTTCTCTATATTTAAGATTTGTATCAATACTTTGCAAATAATGCCAAAAAATATATAATCTTATTTGTTCAGATTTAAATTTACATGTGCATAGCATTAAAAGAATACAAAAAAATCTGTCTAAAGCCTATAATACATGTGTTTCTTATTAATATGGGATTTGCCATTACTAAAACATATATATCAATTCTCTAGTGTTACTTACTGTGATATTTGTTGCCAGAAGAAAGGTTTTGTCATGGCTAAATCTTGCATGTCTTCTAAGTTCTTTGTCATTGTAGCACTAAAAAGTAATGTTTGTCTCCTCTTTGGTAAAACTTCAAATATTACCTCTAGCTGTTCACCAAAATCATCTTCTATCAATCTGTCTGCTTCATCTAATACCTTTATAAAACAATAATAACGTTTTTATCATATAAATTTTATCTATCATACACTCTACTGGAAAAGCTGGAATATGTTGTTATTGGAATGTCTGGAGGTCTAGCTATCTATACCTCACATTACCTGTAAATTAAGAAACACAGGAATAGATTTTATTAAATTTATAAATTACCAGATGAATTTTGTGTACATTTTAGTGTTGAACCATTTATTTGTTTCCTGTTCTATTATTTATGAATAGTAGAGCGTCTAGATGTGGGGTCCTTCATTTCTGTATTCTTTAATTTTTTAGGGAATTTTTCTCTATTCTTTATACTTTTTGCCCATTATTCTCTATTCTTTATATTTTAGCACCTCATTATTCTCTATTCTTAATTTTTTTAGGTTCATTTTTCTCTATTCTTTATAAATTTTGCCCATTATTTTCTATTCTGTAAACCTGCATCCACACCCTCATAGTAGTGCCAAGAATCTGTATGTGTCATCTCAATCTAATGTGCTTTTGCATCATCATGCACTATATATGGTAAAGTTTCAATATTTTCTTAACTAAATTTTATCAATACCTCTGGCATACTAAATGATAGTTGCAAGATGGTTTGGTACATGAAACATATTATGGAATTATTTACCAGAAATTTAATCTTCTTTAAACTAAATGTATCACAGCTTTGTAAATGATCTGCCAGTCTGCCTGGTGTTGATATAACAATGTGTGGTTTTACTGATAAATCTATTCCTTGCTTCATCATATCTGAAATTAAAGACAAAATTGGTTTATTTTTTAAAAAACTTTTAAAAACCGCATTTGTAGAAATTGATTATCAATAAGTCTTTAAAGCAAAGATATATAAAAGCAGCAAAAAGTAAAATTAAGGTTTCGGAACCATATTAATAGCAATAATGTATCCAACTCATCAATTTCTGTAATACTATTTTAAATTGAAAAGTTTCTAGAATAGATACCAGGAATATTGAAGTCATAATGTTATTCTTGTATTTGCTTTATGATATCAGAGGAATCATGTGGTATGTTATGGTATACGTAGATGCCTGTATCAAACGAAAACTATTCTGAAATACTGCACATAGGCAATCAAAATAAATATTCTTAATAGGATAAATAGAATTCTTTGTTTGGCCATTAAAATTTGGGGTTTTGATTGAAAATGAAATCAACAAAGATTTGTAAACAACAAATAAAACTTTGAATGCAGTAGAATATATAATGAAGTCTAAATTAGTGTTATACCTAATCCTCCAGTTATAACACTGACTCTAACACCTATTGGTTTTCCTAATACATTGAACTGTTCTGCTATCTGGAAGGCCAACTCTCTGGAATATACAAATTTAATGTTAAATATTCGTTACACACTTTTTTAAGAAGGAATAGAAAGAAAAAAATTATTTGTGAAGATGTTCATAACAAATTGCCCATTACAATTTCTTTTTTCTCTCAGAATTTATTCATATCTGTATATGTTGGCCTCAGGTCTTGTTCCTAATATGGCAATTTTGGAAAAGGCAATCTAATTGATAAAATAATCTTCAGTGTTAAATTATAATCTAACAATTTGTACAATTATCAATACTAGAAAATATTAAAATTATATACCTAGTTGGTGTTAATACCAAAGCAAATATTCCATAAGGATCCTCAGACAGTTTCTGTAAGATTGGTAATGCAAATGCTGCAGTTTTTCCACTTCCTGTCTTGGCACATCCTATACAGTCTCTACCTGCATTATAAATATTGTATTAGGTAAACATGTCATTAATACATTATGGATTCCTTGGCTAGACTAACCATGCTTTCAATCTATACACAAAAAATATGATAAATTATTTTTTTTCAGATATATGTATGAGGAAGATCAAGTGTCTTATATCATGCATATCTATATTTTTAAACAAAATGAGTGAACATAGACTTTTAACCTTTTTTTTGCAACTACCATTCCGATGGATAATCCAAATCCTGTACCCAAGTGCCTAAGCAAAACAGAAAAAGTATAAAATAGTTTATTAGTAATATGTTTTCTGTTTCTTTGCACCTTTAGACAAAACTTACATAAGTAACACTTTCTGACTTGGTCATCAGTTCCTATCAAGAGGTCATTTATAAAATCCATAGTACATGTATTTTAAAAGTACAAAAGGTCTTTCATCAAAGTTTCATGTATAGTGTAACCAACATTTAAAACAAAAGTTTTCTAAAAAGATCAAAACTGGAGTTCCGTTGCAGAGGAAATACCGTACCAGACCACAGGGGCTTGTATCATAGATGTTTTTGGGGCGGAAATATATGCCAGTCGACTGGTATGCATCCTACATTGTGTTTAAAGCGGAAATATATGCCAGTCGACTGGTATACATTCTACATTGTGTTTATAGCGTACACAATGTAGCTAGAACGCATACCAGTCGACTGGCATATATTTCCACCCCAAAAACATCTATGATACGAGCCCCTGTGTACAGACATCTAGAAATGAATATTTGGAAGAGACGGTATGTATAATCAAAGGCCGACGATAATGCTGTTTTTTCCAGAAAAATGTGAAGAAGTAATGGGAGATTGAGCTGAAAATTCAGTCCATCAAGAAGCCAGTGTAAAAAAAAATTTCTATAAACATGATAAACATGATAAATGTAAATATAATAGAATCATGTGCAAAACAGTGTAGACGAGACCATTGATTGGCGCGCTAAAATATCCCATTGACTGGGCCAGATTAGGTGAATGTTTGTCTGTAACGCCCACAACTCACGACGTATTTATTATAGACATTTAAACTGTGGGGTTGTCAAAGGGTCTCAGTGCCTAAATAAAATAATTCGAAAAACTAATCAGGATTAACCTTTGTGTTTTGATTTATATTGAATACTTAAACGTTCTTTACTTGTGTTTTTGTTATGTTTTGATAATCAATTTTTATGATATCGCACGTTCTTTCAACAAAAAAGGATTTAACTGGCTTTAAATGTTAAAATGGATGTGTTGATTATTAAATATCTTTTTTCGGACGTCAAAGCGATTTATTACAATTGCGGTTGTCCAATTATGTCATCTTTAAACTTTTATCTGGTCAAAATTTTATTTTAGAACGAATGCATGATCAACTTTAAAAAGTGTGCAAACACAAAACATATAGACAAAATATACTTCTTTCCTGTCTTTTTCGTACTTGCAAGTTATTAGACAGTAAAAAGGCTATTTGGATCAAGCCTTGTGAAATTTGCATTTACATTTTTGAATAGGTAAAATGTATAGTTTGGTGAACTTTTCTGCTAACTACTAAGCTTGTGAAAAACCCTTGGCAACAGAAACATATTCAGCTTTTTTTTTAATCGACCCAATTTACATAGTAATGGACAACTTCGTACATTTTATGATCGCAAATAAAATATGTATATAATATACTGTGCACTGTAGTTCGTATATATACTGAGACCCTTTGGCAACCCCACAGTTTAAATGTTTATAATAAATACGTGGTGAGTTGTGGGCGTTACAGACGAACGTTCACCTAATCTGACCCAGTCAATGGGATATTTTAGCGCGCCAATCAATGGTCTCGTCTACACTGTTTTGCACATGATTCTTTTTCTGGCTGTCATTGAAAATTTCTGGAAAATTGGGTCTGAACATTGAACAAAATTTGCTCTCAAAGTCCAGCCAAAAAAATGGCTTTAACCTTGTGACAGCATATGAAGATGTAACAGCAAATTAAAAATACCTTTACAAGACGTCATAATTATTTGGACTAGATTTCTTCAAAAACTGTGGAAGCTTTTAAAATTAGTATAGACCGTCATTGGGAGTCAGTAATGTATCAGATAAGTAATTGATGAGGACACAAATAGTTTTTCTACAACTTTTTTAATTGTGTGAAATATTGCACCAAACCATGCAGGATTGATGTTTGTATCAGTTTTGAAAGTGTACCAAAATTAGGTGGACTAAAAAGAATAGGATCCTTCCGTAACGAGTCCCACAACGATCTTACAGGTACAATATAGGTTCAATACGCAAAATAGATAGTGACTTATCTACATGTATGTGCAAGATTAGTCTTTTCTTCGGATATTAATTCTCCCTCTAGCAAATCCAAGGTAACATTTAAACAATTTGATAACTTTTGAAAGTTTTGTTCTCTGAAAAAACAAAATTTCAGAAACACGTGTCGTGAAAATACCATATATTTCTACATTACCTTCGAGAATTGGCGGGACACAGTTTATCTGAATTGGAGTCGGCTTGGAAAGCCCCATAGCTTTACACTGAGTATACAGCCATTCGTTAAGGCCAAGTTCTATGAAAGTATTTTCCATGCTGCACTCAAAAAACAAACAATCAATTTTGTTGTTCAATGTAAAAACAAATTTTCTTCCTTACCCACGATTTTCTGTAGTTTTAAACACTAATAAGACACAGACTAATTCCGAGAAAAAAGTAAAGAGCGGACAGGCTAATAGAATCCGGTAGTAAAAGTGAGGCCCAATATGGGAAATGGGAAAAAATAATTTTGTCTGCTTTACTTTGAGGGGCTCTTTAAAATTTCTTTAAATCCTTCGTTTTATTTCTAGTTGAGCTTTTGTTTTCTATACACCATTGAGACTGCTGACTTACTGTGATAAATATATAGTAGCATTTTGATTTTAATTTTAATTTTATGGTCAGATCATATGTTGAATGGAAATTGTGACGTCACAATGCATTCTTAATAGCACAAAAACCCATGAGACGAGGATCATTTCAATCTTAATTTTAATTTTTAATTTTTAATTATGGATCAGTAATCAAAACTTTCTTCAGTGAAAACTCCTCCTTGATTATTGATATCACAAGATACCATCTGATGAATATATGTAAATAAGATTGCAACCAGTATATAAAAGTAACTACATATTATTGATGTTCCTCATCTTGACTGCTGTTGAAAGTCCTCAATGATGAATACTTCAATAAGAAGAATAAGAATATTTATAGAATCCAATTAGAGGGCCCGTTTCCGAGCATATACATATATATATAGTATTGCTGTCAATAGCTCACGCTTCGCAGGACTATCAAGACAGAGTACCTGTCATTGACTTGAGGTATGAATTGAGTGTGATAGACCTACAAATATATCAGTAAAAAGGTGAAAGGCCCTACTGCTGTCATCTATTATAGTCCCATGTTTAGGTCCTTTGTTTTTTTAGGCAAATATGAGCTATTGCTTTCAATAGGATGATTGTTGATTGCTTAATGCCCAGTGACAAATATTTCATGCATACTCAGAAAGAGTTTTTTATAGGAGTCCCTCAATAAACTGTTCACATTTTGTTCTCTTTTTTAAACAGTTTCTCATCTATAATTAAAATTCCGTGAAATCATGTCTCTGGGTGGATGCCAAAGGTTCTCTCTGGGTACTCCAGCTTCCTCTAACAATCAAAGCTGGCCGCCATGATACATAGCTAAGTGTGCTGAAAAAGGCATAAAAAACACTAACAATCAATCAATCTTTGGATGGTCCTCTTTCAAAATCATATCATGCAGCCCTATGGATACCAGAGCGTCTGTTTGGTTTATTTGGTGTTAAGATCTTCGTTAAATACTACAATCAACTATGATTATAAACCGGATACCCAAAAGAACATTCACACATAGTTTGATTCAAATCTGTGCAGTGGTTTCAGAGATTTTTTTTAAAGTGTTCACAGACAACAACAGATGCCAAGTGATGGCAATAGCTCACATGTTCCGGTGAGTTTTAAAGGCTAGGGATTTGAATATTGTTAATTATAAATTTTCAAACTTCTCTGATGTCTTATGATTTGAATATACTGTAGATAATTTTAAAATATCCACATTAAATAAAAAGTCTGATCATTTTAGTTTAACACTTGGTGATGGAGTGTTCCTCAAAAACCTTTTACATTGCTAATTAAAAGCCAAAATTCTGAAAGTGTACATTCAATAAATATTCTTATTTATTTTCAGTTTCTTTCAGTGGTTCTGTTGATAAGAACTAAATGCTATACATATTAAATGGGGATAGGCATTGGATGTAATCTGAAAGGGGATAACCAAAATAATCAGTTACTGATTATTTTGAAACTGGTTTTGTAGTACATTGTACCATATAGGTTTAATTACATTGTCCATGTGATATCAGAAGTTAGAACAGCCTTGAGGGTGATCTATCTTGTTAGAAAATTATGCATGCTACATTTTTTTTGCAAACTCTAAGTGAGTCTCTAACCTTTAGCACAGACTGGGGAAAGGTAATGAAGGAGTGATGCTGCAAACAGCCACTACCAATGATTTCAGAAGGAGTGATGCTTCAAACAGTCACAACCAATGATTTCAGAAGGAGTGATGCTTCAAACAGCCACAACCAATGATTTCAAAAGGAGTGATGCTTCAAACAGTCACAACCAATGATTTCAGAAGGAGTGATGCTTCAAAAAGCCACAACCAATGATTTCAGAAGGAGTGATGCTTCAAACAGTCACAACCAATGATTTCAGAAGGAGTGATGCTTCAAACAGCCACAACCAATGATTTCAGAAGGAGTGATGCTTCAAACAGCCACAACCAATGATTTCAGAAGGAGTGATGCTTCAAACAGTCACAACCAATGATTTCAGAAGGAGTGATGCTTCAAACAGCCACAACCAATGATTTCAGAAGGAGTGATGCTTCAAACAGCCACAACCAATGATTTCAGAAGGAGTGATGCTTCAAACAGCCACAACCAATGATTTCAGAAGGAGTGATGCTTCAAACAGCCACAACCAATGATTTCAGAAGGAGTGATGCTTCAAACAGTCACAACCAATGATTTCAGAAGGAGTGATGCTTCAAACAGCCACAACCAATGATTTCAGAAGGAGTGATGCTTCAAACAGCCACAACTAATGATTTCAGAAGGAGTGATGCTTCAAACAGTCACAACCAATGATTTCAGAAGGAGTGATGCTTCAAACAGCCACAACCAATGATTTCAGAAGGAGTGATGCTTCAAACAGCCACAACCAATGATTTCAGAAGGAGTGATGCTTCAAACAGCCACAACCAATGATTTCAGAAGGAGTGATGCTTCAAACAGTCACAACCAATGATTTCAGAAGGAGTGATGCTTCAAACAGCCACAACCAATGATTTCAGAAGGAGTGATGCTTCAAACAGCCACAACTAATGATTTCAGAAGGAGTGATGCTTCAAACAGTCACAACCAATGATTTTAGAAGGAGTGATGCTTCAAACAGCCACAACCAATGATTTCAGAAGGAGTGATGCTTCAAACAGCCACAACCAATGATTTTAGAATCCACATGATTATGAGTACTTCATTTACTGTGGATTCAGTATTAATTATAGGATACCAAATTTCGTGAATTTCGAGGGTACAGGTGAACCACGAAAATATATGTTCAATGAAACACACATCTTCTGTAGGCTTAAACAGACTTTTGTTAAACCACTAAATCAAATAGTTATCTACAAAAATACAACTTTTCCTTAATCCACAAAAATATATGAATCCACAGGATGTTATCATTAAAAGACTGATTGGTCATGCCCTGTAATTGTCTCAATTCTGATACAAATATATCAAATAAATCATATTTTATTGTAATTGTATAATGGAGTTAGTTTTAATTTCATGTGTATGATATTTGGTTTTTGGACTGAATTTCAAACACAATACATATCTATTTATTTATTGTATATCTTATAATAAAAAAAGGATTATCTTTATAACAGACAACATCGACTAGAAATAAAATAACAAAATATTGCATCAGTTGGTACTGACTCTATACAAATACATGTAGTTAAAAATATCTATAACATACATAAACAAATACTTTATATACTCATTAACAATACTGTGCATTCATTTCATTTGTCATTAACTGATATTATTAATTATAAATGTAACTAACATATGGTTTCTTTGTACCATTGTTGAACTTTGAACTTATTATTGGTTTGCAACTATTTAACAATATAATTAATATAAATTTGTATTTAACCATTTGCATCTGAATTAGTTAAAAGGTGTTCCATTTAAACATATTAAATACATAGACACCCCTTTAAATTGTAATAGATACATGTAAAAGCACTTTCAGGATTTTTCCTGTCTTACTTTTTTTTAACAGATTTGTTAACAATTAAAAATATCAGTGATTTCAATGTGTTTCTGAGCCACTAATGATCAGTATAAAAAAAGAGCACACAATTTTGGTAATTATATATTGCAAATGGTATTACACAGGTTAAATAAGATTTATTAAAATAGGACAGAACAAGCTTGTTAATAAGGCAAAAATCACTATTTTCATTGGTAGGTCACAGAATTTCAAAAGGGAACAAAACTCTATAACGTATAACTTCTCTGGTGACTGAGATATATAAAGGGGCAGGTGCTAACCCCTTCCCTAAACACTCAACACCTTAAGGATGTAGTTAGGTGAAATAAAAAAAAAAACTTGAATTTAAAATTGTTACTATAAGTCAGAAGAGCACTAGTTAAGGAACAAAATAAGCTAAAAATATTGATAGGTTATGGAACTGCTTTTTGAGATATTTGATTTTTTAAAAATGGCTGGAAAAGGCTGACTCTGACTTTTATCTTATATTTAGTATTGGCATTATTTGGGTCTCAAATCATAAGAAAAAAAATCTAGAATAAAGGTCGTTAAAAACTCCCATCATCATAGAATCTGCTTAAATTTTGGTCACAACCTATTAAGGAGTAATTAAGGTCTTCTATGAAAAGAAAAATGGGTGATATGGGGCAAAATATTTTACCCTGTATCATAGGGAAAAAGCCAAGGAGTCTGAACATCTGACAAAAAATCATAAACCTGACCCAACTACATCCTTAATCCCATCTCTTTGGTTTTTGAGTACTTTCATGTTTTTGTGGATTCATTAAGTTTAATAACCATCATCTGTACAATTTTAGTGGTTTAAATGGAAGGTTCCATTTCATGGATGTATAATTATATGTTCTTTTGTTACCATCTATAAAGCCAAAAAACAAGTACTTCAATTGATACTATGGTAATGTAATGATTTTTGTTTTCCCATATATGGAATAAATTTTTAACATTCTTAGTTCTATCAAATATAATATTCTTTTCCTAATCATGCCATTATGAGAATATGAGAAATTTTCAGCTTACTTTTAATATTTAAATAAAAACTGGATTTTTTGTTTGAATGGCAAATATGTGAAAACAGTGGTAAATTTATAAAGCAGAAATGAAGAAGATTCTTGAAAACTTTCAGATGAAAATATATTTATTTCAAATTTGAGCTATATTGAACATGTTTATATAATACTTCAGCTAATCTACAAGTTGTCAAATACCAACAATTTTTTTTAACTTTAACCTTAATTGATAATGTTGTTTTTACAGAATTATTGTCATGTTTTAAGTCTCTTTACTGTCAGCAGAAACATAAAATATATAGTAAAAAACACATATATAAATATATATCTAAAATATAAATAAAGGAATTCAGATAAAAAACAAACAAACATGGATAACAATGAAACAACTAACACATTTAACTAATTCAGCATTATAAGATTGATGCTGGCTGAAATATATGCTTCAAACTGTAATTCAGCGTAGTAAAGTGTTAGTTATCAATACATAATAAATATGTGGATAAAAATCTCAATTACCATCTTTTCCTATTCAATGGTAATTTATTGTATAATGTCTGTCTAAAGTACATTTCTGGACCAAACCTTGTTTAATAGCTTCAATTAGGTTGTCAAATATTTTTTTTTTTTAAATTCCATCCTTTTTTAGTTCTTTTAGCAACTTTTAAGTTGTTGGTATTTTTTGCTTATGTTTGTGCACCAGACAATCTAAGACATACTTTTTCACAGAAACTTGGATAGCAAAATGTCCAGTCTGTCCTATTTCAACTGGTTTTCAGTTCATGTGAAATAAAAACAGATTTTTTTCTTCTTTTTTCAAGTCTTACTATAAAGATATTCACTTATTTAAAAGTTGAGCATTCAATTGAAAAAATATATGTATTTATTGTTGAATGAAATTACACATTTTTTGTAATAATACCTTCTATTTTATTTTCCTCATATTCTTTAAATCTAATGAGTTATGTTTTAACTTTAATCATAGGATCTCATAAAAAATTGCATGACAAAACACCAATTGACATTTTGGAAATCTAATTTCTCAACAAGCAGACAATTCAGATCTAAAATCTCAGAGAGAAAGCAATGAGTCTAACAGTCAATAATCATCAACATATCATCAGAGTACCAGATACAAAATATATCAATCAAACTTCACTACTACTTGTATTTTACAATCTTTTCAGTTAGATTCGATCTAATTAGCATTTCATTTTAATATCAGATAAAACTAATTTTAAATTTAAAGTTAATTGTAAAAGGGTCTGGTAGGGGTATTCATTATTTTTTTTTATCATAATTATCTATTTTTTGTTTGTTCATTTTATCCTATTCCTAAAATATTAGCACCCAATAATTTTTTTTACCATTTTTCTCTTTTCTCTCCTTTATATTTTTGGCCATAACTGTATTCTGTATACCCCATCCAGACTCTCTTCTAAAATTCCTGACACTGATTTATCTGAATGCCTGACATCAGCAACATTCCTTGATAAGACATTACATCAAATTTTTGTAATAACGATGCACATGGATAATCCACATTCAGACACTGAAGGGTATCTAATAGCCCAATAAACTTAGTCTGAGGTAAAGTGTGCATGTACAGCATCTACATAAAATATGCATACATATATTAAATGAACAATAAAAAACTGCTTGACTGTTGATAAAAATATGATGATGGTGTAATGTAATATTGATAGAAAATGTGAAAGATTATAGGTCATAGTTAACTCATACTGCAAATTCAGAATTTTTGCAATTTTTTTTATTTATGCGAATAATGCAACTGGGTGAATATCACAAAATACAAACTCGCTTTCTAATATCTGATACATGTATCTATATGCAGATTTTTCTGAAATCTCAAATTTTTGTCTATTCTTAAAAAGTTGCAATAATAAATGCACACAATAATTTCTGAATTTACAGTACTCTTATTGTTGCATCAACTGTTACATGCATAATTCATGATATAAAACTAAAAGACAATTTAATGTTCAAGAGACAGAAAAGATTAGTGTACTAAGAGACAGAAAAGAAAAAAAAATGTGTTCATATTGGATTTATACTTTCAAAAAGAACTAAATTATAGTCTTGGTCTTGTCTTCAGAGATTCCTTGTTTGAAGATGAGATCTTGAACATCTGGTGGTTATCATGGATGGTCTAGGCCCATATCTGTAATGAAGAATTTGATAAAAACTATAATACATTTTACAAATATTCCATTGAATGATAAATTATGATGTTGTGTAATGAAGATTTTGAATCAAGTTTTATGAAATCTATTAACTGCACTGATATCTCTGTTTTCCTATGAAAAATCCAAAAAATCTATTAGATAAAAACTTATAACACATAAGTTAAACAACTTCTCTTCCTGTAGCAATCTGTGAAAGTTTTTTTAGTCTCTGATGTGAATTCTGTAAGTTGCTAATTAGATATATGTAACAAGCTCTAAACAACATTAACGATCCAAGAAGTTTATGCCTTAAAAAACTAATATTGAGTTCGCAACCTTTTCTTTGACAGAGTCGGTGAAAGTTTGGTTGGTCTCTGTCGTGTGGTCTAAATACAGTTGTATGGTAGACTAAATACTGTAAATTCAGAAATTATTGCAAGGTTTTTATTAATGCGAATAATGCGACTGGTTGAGTATCGCAATAATAAGAACTGGTATTCTGATATTTGATACATATATCTTAATATGGATTTTCCTAAAATCACAATAGTTAATCTCACATGTGTGTTTATTCTCCAAAAATGGCAATAATTTCTGAATTTACAGTACATTCTCCCCTTCTAAAAACATACTGTAAACCCCTGTTTTGCTGTTAGATATTCCAATGAAAACTTATGAACTGTGCAAAAGGAAACAAATAACACAGGTTTTTATGTGGTTTTAGATTTCCTTTTCCTTCCTTTAATACACTCATTTTGACGTGGTTATCCAGACATTTTGAAATCTGGGGCCAGTGACAGTCATTTCCTGATGTCTACTCTTTTTCATCTTTTTGCTGGTATAAATATAAACAATGAATTCTGTGTATTTCTTAAACAATCATTTAGCCTAAAGAAATTTTCTTGACAGCATTACATTGAAGAGTATGACATTTTTTAAAAGATATATCTATATATATTTGTACCTTTAGAGTATAGTCCCAACTTCCTGTGCAGAGAGCAGTGCCATCTGGAGACACACCCAGACAGCTTACTCTGTTTTCATGTGCATATAAAATTGACACCCTGTTTCCTTTTAAGACATCCCATATATTTACTGTGTAGTCATTGTAACCTCCAAACAAAAGACGACCTAAAAATAATTAAAAAAAATCACGAATAACACAAAATAATTTTCCATCCAACAAAAGGGCTTAATGAGCTTAAACTTATTTCAGCTATCAGTTTCAACAGGTATGCAGATAAATGAAGAGAAGCCTCTATAGAATTGATTGAACAGACAACTGGAAGAATGAATAGTAAATCACTATATCAATAAATGTGGAATGTGCCCATGGGAGATGCCCCCCTTTGCATATACCGTTAAAATTCGTAAGGGTTCCGCGGAACCCAGTGTCTCGCCATCTTTTGCTGTTAATCGCAGGCTCAACAAAAATGAGGAAAAAAATCAATAAAAATATTCCTTTAGATACTATCTTTTGATTGTAAGAAGCTTCTGTCAAAGTTTGGTATAAATCCAGGACATTTTATGAATCTAGTAAATGTTTTAAAAACTTTAACTGCAGACTGTATTTAATGTTAACTGGAAGAAAAACTTAAGTCCATTAAAAAGTAAAATATGGATAAACAGGTACAAAATTTTAACAAAATTTCCTTCTAGATACTAGCTTTTGATCATAAACAAGCTTCTGTCCAAGTTTGGTACAAATCCAGGACAGTTTAAGAAAGTTATTAAAATTTTAAAAACTTTAACCACAGAGTGAATGTATTGTTTCCTGGCAGAAAAACTAAGTCCATTTATAAGCAAAATACGGAAAAAATGATTTTTTTTTTAACAAATTTACTTCTGGATACTATCTTATGATCATAAACAAGCTTCTGTCCAAGTTTGGTACAAATCCAGGATAGTTTAAGAAAGTTATTAAAATTTTAAAAACTTTAACCACAGAGTGAATGTAATGTTTCCCGGCAGAAAAACTAAGTCCATTTACAAGTAAAATACGGAAAAACAGAATTTTTTTTTTTTACAAAATTTACTTCTGGATACTATCTTATGATCATAAACAAGCTTCTGTCCAAGTTTGATAGAAATCCAGGATAGTTTAAGAAAGTAATTAAAATTTCAAAAACTTTAACCACAGAGTGAATATTTGTGGACGCCGCCGCGGCCGCCGCTGACGGAATGTAGGATCACTATGTCTCGCTTTTTCGACTAAAGTCGAAGGCTCGACAATAAAGAGACATAACTCTAGAACGCTAAAAGTGACACTTTGTGTATGAGTTTCATAATTACATTTGGTTGAGACAAACTTAAGTTAGAGAACAGAAACGAAAAAATTCAGCAATTTTTCCATTTGTAAAGGGGCATAACTCTAAAACGGTAAAATTGATGACACCAAAATTCAAACTTGATCTGTGTTTTGTGGTGATAAGCATTGTGTATAAGATTCATAATATTTGGTAGAGGCAAACTTAAGTTACAGAATGGAAATGAAAAAATCAGCAATTTGTAAAGGAGCATAACTCTATATAGGTAAAAGTAATGCCACCCAAATTCAAATTTGATCTGTGTTTTGTGGTAATAAGCATTGTGTATAAGTTCTATAACATATGGTTGAGGCAAACTAAAGTTTGAGAACAGAAACCAATTTTGGGACATACAGACATACAGACCTACAGACGGACAAGGGTAAAACTTATTATTATACTTCACGTTAAAATGCAAGAATTTGATTGGCTAATATGAGGAAGATAATTTACTCTATCCCATGGCTCAGCAGGAGACAATTATTTGAATGTCACCCTCTCGTGCAGACCAATCAAAAATCGATAATCTGAAGGACAATGAATTGAATTTACATCAATAAATTAAAGACAATGCTAAAGTTCTACGTTTTGGCCTCAGAACTTTTTCATATACAATCAAAATAAAAAACATACTAGTATTTTGCTTCATTTCTGTTATTTTTCTAATAACTGTAATGTTGTTATGAAGGTGAAGTCATAGTAAAGTACTTTCAATTTAAAATTTAACAGTAAAAGACAATAAAGATAGAACATTCAGTATGATAAATTAAATAGCACATAGCTGAGGGAGTGATAGAGCAGACTGTGCCCCTTGAAAGAACATTGTCAACCTCGGCTTCGCCTCAGTTGACAATATTTTCTCGGGTTAACAATCTGCTCTGGTTTATCACCCTCTCAGCCATGTGTTGTTTATATAATGCCCCCTCCACTAAGATGGGGGCATAAAAAGTCTACAAATGGTGATATAATCTCAGATATGTATTACTAGCTCTTGTACAATTACATTCATTCCTTAGTAACTGTAAATATTGATACACTTGGCTATATCTAGGGTGTTACTTCTTGTCAATACTGAGATTATACTGAAGTCATATTTTTCTTTTATTCTGTCTTTATCGTTTGAAGTTTTGTTGAAACATTTTACTCCTACTAGCATGACTTTTGAATTTAATCGTTTATCACTGATTGAAACCTTATTATACTCTATTAATATGTATGAAGGTGAATACAGGAGCTGCTCTGGCTCCAAAAAAGTTGGAGCCAGATAAATCGCCAGCTGCTATATTTTGTCACCAGTTTTTTACTTTTCCATTTTAAATGACGATTGTTAATATTACCGTTACAGTCAAGAAATGAAAATTTGACATGGAAAAATGTTGGCGCAAGAAATATAGCCAGTAGCCGTATTTTGTCGCCAGATGAAATAATAAATCGCAATTTGTGACATTGGCGAAGCTCAGTCCCTGGAATAAGATCTGAATTAAAGTGTTGTAAACATATACCCCACTGTCACAGGTTGGTAAGGGAGGGTTGAATGCTCACATACGAATTAAACCCTTACACATTTATTAAGTGCCTGTCCCAAAATGAGAGCCAATGAGTCAGTGTTTGACTTTGGCTGCTGTATATCATATTTGTTTTTCATATAAGTCAGGTTGTTGGCTTTATATTTTGTCATTTAGTGACCTATGGTTGCTTACATCTATGTCCTGTGGTCTCTCATGGATAATTGGGTCATTGGAAATCATTCCACATTTCATTATGTTTATACACAGTTTAGACAATTATACAAAAGTGTCCATATCATAGGTATAGATCTAAATAGCCCTTTGTCTGATCAGCTGAGAAAGAATTAAAACAAGAAAAAAATTGATTTCTGAACAAAATGCAGAAAGATGTAAATGAAAACATGCAAATAAAGTTCTGGACATAAGACAAATTATTAATATTTTTTTTCTTTCATAGACAGATATATGAAAAGAAGGTGGGTGGATTTTATTGTTACTCTACATACTTCTTAGAGTCTGTTATCACAAAACAATATTTCCAAATGACTTACCACTAACAGAAAAATCTACTGAGTTACAACCAAATATTAAGCTTTCTTTCTGGTAACAGTTAACTTCTCTATCTGCTCGAAGATCAAATAACCGACACTGAAATGTAAAAAGTTAACAAAGTAACAACAGAAGTGCTCTGATGTGAGTAAAAGAATTATCTGTACCAGTATTCTTCTCAGAACTTCAAATAAACAACAGTGAAATATAAATTAAAGCAAAAACAAATAACATCAAGCTTTCCTTATGATGATAAATTTCTGAGTCCACTCACAGACTGATAAATAATACTCTAATATAAGTAAGAAATTATTGGCTTACATATAAATGAAAAATTTCTTCACGATAGCAGTTACTAGATAAACTAACTTCAACACCAGTTCTATTTCTGTCTAAAATTATTTTAAGGGTAAACTATACCTCAAATTGTTTTACTGAAAACTGTCCCTGCACATGAAACTTAATATTTTGTGGACTGACATGGTCTATCTATGAAAAGGTCTTTCAACACAAGTCGGTAGGACACAACCAGAATGCATATATTGTCATGCTTAAATGAATAACCATCATTTATATTTAGGATATCAGGAAAACATGAAGTTGGTGTCTGACATATCTGAAAAGCCTGAACACATTACAACTCAACACTGTTGATCTGCTGATCAAGTATGAAGTCATTCTGTTCAGTAGTATTGGAGAAATGTGTGAAAACATTTTTTGAGTTCATTCAACATATTGAGAAATTCTCCAAGTATTGGCAAACAAAAATTTGATATCTGACAGACCCGAAAAGTGTTCATACTTTACAACTCATAACTGTCAAGCTGCTTACAAAATATGAAGTCATTTGTTTGACTTTGTGAAAATTGTGATGAAATTTTTTATTTTAATGAATGGATGGACAAAAGGACAAGGTATTTTACTTACAGTACTGTCATCAGATCCTGTCGCAAAAGCATCACCACTGGGATAAAACCTCACACTGTTGATGTCTGACTGGTGACCTTCAAATACTTGTACACAATCACCAGTCCTCATATCCCAAACCATAGCAACCTTATCACAACCCTATAGATAAATCAATACAGTTAAAATCATAAAATCATATTATATCTTACATAAACTATAATTTGCATGTAATAAAACAAAAAGTTTTCCAAGGAAATAAAAAAGAATAATTCCATGAAAATAAGAGATAAGTTGAACTTGCGAATAAACTTCTGGTAACAACCTTTCTTATCTTCCACAAAAATCTAGTTAAACAACCGTAGAGCTGTGCTGTGTGATTTGTACTAAATGCTTTATGTTCAAACAATGCCCCATTACATATACTAAAACTTGAGTATTTCACCTATAATTTTATCACACTGAAATACTAAAACTTGAGTATTTCACCTATAATTTTATCACACTGAAATAACATTCTTTGGATATGTAGTTATTATCTTACACTTTAAAATTACACAATATGTATCTTTAACACCAGTAAATTGATCCAAACAAGGTCCAGCTAGTATGAGACACGGACAAAATTGACTTCAATCTGATGTTTTAAGTCCCATTACTCTGGAACAACAAAACCAGAAAATTATCAAAATTGAATAGTTAATTGCCTATCCCAAAATCAATAAAAATTTTGAGCAAATAGATCCAAGCATACTGGAGTTAGTGTGCAATATTAGAAAAATTTATTTTAATACAAATGCTGATCGTGAACAAACAAAAGTTTTCAAACTCAAACGTGAGCTTTCTTCAATCGCTTGAAATATTCCATACACGTTTCATGAAATTTTATTTATGCATTCACTAGCTTTTAAATGAAGTGTGGACAGTCAGAAAGAAGGATGGCCGACCAACAGTATACCACAGCTTTTATGAATCTGGAAGACTTAAGAGAATGACATATTGTGTAGACACCTATCTATTTATGATGCCTGTACATGTATTTTGTATTTTGCCCTCTAGATGTCTTTTGGTTATTTTTGTTGTTAGATTGCTGTCTCATTGATGTATACCCCACATCTCCATTTATTCATACAGTATACATCCCCACTTGTCTACAAAGGATGTATAATTTTTTATTGACATTGTCTCTTCATTTTTTATGAACTGAATTTCTAGAATTAATTCGGGATTCTTTCAAAACAATGTTTACCCCAGAAACAAACAAATTTCCAGTTTCAGAAGGTGACAGATCAATACTCATAACATCTCCTGCGTGACCATGGAAACTTTGAATCAGCTGACCACTTTCTACATCCCACAATGCACATGTACTGTCACCACTTCCTGTCAATATCTGAAATAGGGTCATCATTTGGTTTGTATTAATTCTGTATATTTCAGATAAGTTATCAGTTCTTTACATCCTGTTTTTTTCCATGATGGATAGTTGTCTCTTTATCAACAATACCTCATCTCCTTATTTTTACATTAAAGGACAATGGCAAAAACTCATAGTACTTTGAAATTTATCAATTTCTACAGACTAGTCAAGTTACTTTTAGAATATCTATGAATGAAACTGTAAACATATAAAGTAGATCGGATACCTCTGCTTTAATCATTCATTACCGATTATAAAATGAATACATCAAAAGTCCAATTACATTGGTTAGTTTTTATAAAAATATTTGTTTTTCATCAGTGAAAAACATTTCTGTTATAGCATTATTGTCAAATTTAAACAGAACAACACTCTCAAAAAAATTTCTGATTCCAAGCTAATACAAACTTTTTTTCTGTTTTAAGGCATCCCTATGTTTAGATGTGTTTGACCTTTTTTTTTGTTAGAATAACATTTTCATATTACTGATTGTAAAAATAGAAGGAATAGCATCCTGCTTTCAATCTTTCAAAACAGGATACTTTTTCATCTATTGCTATTTGACCCAAACTCAATTGAAATCATTGTTTCTGGACCTATTTCCTTGTATTGTTCTTACCAGAAATTTACAGGATGAAAAATCTTATTATCTTGAAATACATTCAGAAAGAATGACTTCAAAATGATTTACTTATACTGTACCAATACCAGAAATTACTATGATTCTGTTCAAATACAAAATTTAAAACAATTGCAATAAAAATCTGACCAACCCATTTTAAGGTTTGTAACTAGAATTTGTTTTTCTTGGACCAAGTCTTATAATGGTAACTTTTTTGTGTGCTATCTACCTGTTTATCTGAACTTGTAAATGTACAGCAGGATAGGTAACTGGTATGTGTGGCAACAGCTCTCTTCTTTGTTAAAGGATCTTCATCCATTGACAGAGGATAAATAGTACATTTATTGTCTAACCCTCTGAAACAGTTATAACAACAAAATTAACACTGACTGTTTTTGTTTTGTCACTACATGTATAATTTTCCAATGTGATCCTAAGTAACGAACATCTATATTTACAACTGGCACTTGAACTGGTGGGAACATTAATTGGAGCATCATTTCATAAATAATATAGAATAAATTTCAAGTTTGTACATATGCCAAACCATTTCAAAATTAACTACATTTTGTTTTACTTTTTAACAATTGTCTGAATAAAGCACATGCCATGTAATACGAGAAATATCGTGGGCATCTCCTTAATAAAATATCTTTAAAATTAATAAAAAGGAAAAAAAACCAAAAGCTACAATGTGAACATTTTGTTCACTAATGATACCCCGGCTTTCGGTATTTGGTAAACAGGTGTTGATGAGGGATGGATGTAAATATACATCACAACAAAGAGCATGCTCACATGAAGGTTGTTTACAAATTTCAGAAAGTCTTGATCTGTAGTTCCTTAGGATAATGCGATCAAAATTGTATGCATGGCCATTTCTTGTAAGAATATATAAATATTGAGTAAACAGGAAGTTGATGAGTAGTGAATGTGAAAATGTATCACACAGTAAAGCATGCTCACATGAATCTTGATACTAAATTTCAGGAAGCGCTAATTTCTTAGGGAGTTCCTGAGAAAAATACTACCAAAATTTCATACATGGCCATTCTGCAAACCAATATATAAGCATACAGTAAACAGGAAATGGATGAGCAATTAATCTGAAAATGCATCACACAGTATACCATGTTAACATGAAGCTTGATATCTAATTTAAGGAAGCTCTGATAGTAGTTACTGAGAAAAATACAACTGAAGTTTTTGGGACGGACAGATCATCGGACAGATGGATGTAAGCCTTTATGAGTGGTTGTATAAAAAAGAAAAAATTGGTAAAACCCAGGGCTCTCTCTTTTTTTTTCATGTATAAACCCTCTCCCTTTTTTTGACTTTCAATTGTAATCATTTTTAATGAAACATATTCATACTTACCCACATGCTACAACTTCACCAGTAGGTCCATATGAACATGCCATTACCCATGTTGTTGGCATGGTAACTGCATGTTCCTAAAACGAACACAATAAATTGTATATAAGAACATACGCCACGGTGTAACAGATCATAATAATCACATGGAATAGGTTCAACAAAGATTGTATTGTTCAAATTCTCCTAAAAAAGTTTCAAATTTTGAGTGGGATATTGTTTTTTGCATTACAATGTATATCACATCATGATATCCAATTTTATCCATACACATGTGTTACCCTTACATTCATATTCCTCAGGATAAGAAAAAAAATGTTTTCAATTTTAAAGTATACCCCAGAGGCCCCACTTGTTTTTAGACATTGACAAAAATTTCCATGCTCAGAGGATGTAGTAAAAATTATAACTTTCAAAAGTGTCTCCAAACTGGAAGTGACTGCCAAGAAGATCTGAAAATCACTTACACAATACAACTCAACATAATCAACATACCAAAGTTCCAAACCAAATATAAAATCATTCCTTACTACAGAAGCTGAATAATAATAGGTTACAGTTATTAAAGTTACGGAGGGATAAATGGACCGACAAACAGACAAGAGTATTACAGTATAACATCTTCTCTGTGAGTGGGGTGGGGGGTAGGGGGCTATGATTATTTATGCAGCAGCAATCTGATCCCTTTCTATTTGATTTCAGAGTGACTATCAACATTTTATTACCATATTTATGTGTTTGTTTTTTACATAACGGAACAACTGAAACAATAATTAATGCTCATATGAACATCAACAAAATGTAATTGACAAATGATAAGGATAATCATATCATGTTATGAATATAACAACTGATTCAAATGTTCTGAATGGTGATAGACTTGTAGATATTTTAAAGTGCCAGTCTTTGTAAGAATCAGGCAATTAAGAAGAATTTCAAAACATGGCCGAAAAAACCCACCGACCTAACCATCCTATTTTGAAGTTATCAACATCCTGAGTTAGAAATGATAAGTCTTTTGTTTCTACTTGTCTGCTAATTCGTGAAATCTCTAGATAACTTTTGGTTAGAATGATAGCAAATTTTGGAGTTAGCTCCCCTTAATTTTTTAATTTTAGTGCATTTCAACCAAATTATATCTTGAATTACCAGAACAGGAAAAGGAAACGAATCTTATTTTCATGCACCACTATACATTTTAAACATAAATTAATGTCAACTTGGGTGGGTTTTTGTTTGTCATGTTTTCACCACTGCCTGATTCTTAGGCAGATTGGCACTTAACTTATTGTCAAGAATACATCTCCTTTTTTCCCCTTATTTATACAGGACTTAACCCATAGATAATCACTACCACTACTCTTTAGCTTAGTGACAATACTGGTTTATTTATACAGGACTTAACCCATAGATAATCACTACCACTACTCTTTAGCTTAGTGACAATACTGGTTTATTTATACAGGACTTAACCCATAGATAATCACTACCACTACTCTTTAGCTTAGTGACAATACCGGTTTATTTATACAGGACTTAACCCATAGATAATCACTACCACTACTCTTTAGCTTAGTGACAATACCTGTTTATTTATACAGGACTTAACCCATAGATAATCACTACCACTACTCTTTAGCTTAGTGACAATACTGGTTTATTTATACAGGACTTAACCCATAGATAATCACTACCACTACTCTTTAGCTTAGTGACAATACTGGTTTATTTATACAGGACTTAACCCATAGATAATCACTACCACTACTCTTTAGCTTAGTGACAATACTGGTTTATTTATACAGGACCTAACCCATAGACAATCACTACCACTACTCTTTAGCTTAGTGACAATACTGGTTTATTTATACAGGACTTAACCCATAGATAATCACTACCACTACTCTTTAGCTTAGTGACAATACTGGTTTATTTATACAGGACCTAACCCATAGACAATCACTACCACTACTCTTTAGCTTAGTGACAATACCGGTTTATTTATACAGGACTTAACCCATAGACAATCACTACCACTACTCTTTAGCTTAGTGACAATACCGGTTTATTTATACAGGACCTAACCCATAGATAATCACTACCACTACTCTTTAGCTTAGTGACAATACCGGTTTATTTATACAGGACCTAACCCATAGACAATCACTACCACTACTCTTTAGCTTAGTGACAATACCAGTTTATTTATATGTAGGACTTAACCCATAGATAATCACTACTACTACTCTTTAGCTTAGTGACAATACCGGTTTATTTAAACTACCATTTCTTTAATAACTGTACACTGTATTTACCTTATTAGTTGTAAATGCATCCCACACCAGCATCTTCCCATCCTGTAATGATATAAATATCAATAAAATAATTTTTATTTGAGATAATTTGATATTTGAAAATGATGTTTCTAATTTTAAATATTGTTTGTGATTTATTCTACAATAATACTAGAAGTACTTTCAGATTCAAAAGACTAACATTACTGTGGATTCATTTATTTTGTTGGTGCCAATTTGCTTGGATTAAGGAATACTTGAATTTACACAGATATTTGATTTTATGGTATTGCTAATGTCTGCCTACAAGCACATACAAAATTTGAAATTCTTTGTACATTTAAACATGTAGTTCACCTCTATCCACAAAAATTAGTATTAAACAAATAATAATGAATCCAGAGTAACTGATATGTTCACTAGCAATCAAATATCACCAATAAAATACAATGAAACACTAAAAATATTTCCTGTTTAAAACAGAGGATTCTATTGTCATTAGAACAGAGTACTAAATTAGACAATGTTTCAAAAGGTATACATGACTTACAGTTGTATATGTACATAACTTCTTAAAAAGAAAAAAGATTCACATGTTTACTTCTTAAAATTTCTTAATGTTAAAATCATGTATCCTGAACTTGTGTATTACTAATTAGAACATACATTGAATGTATTCATTGATATATATCTGGTTGTTTTAAATCTGCTATACGAGGGTTGTAATGCGGGTACCTTCATGACGAATAACGGTAAAAATTCTTTACAAATGACGTTAACAGTAATATTTGGTGCATGACGATAAAATGTACACTTCCTTTTAGACAATAATAAAATGCTCCTCTGGGCGCAGCTTGATACGACCACAGAGGTCGAACCCTGAACAGTTGGGGTAAGTATGGACTCAACATTCAAGCTTGATACAGCTCTGAATTTGGATTGTGATTAAATATTTGACACAGCATAGGTTTCTGACACAGAATGAATGTGGTCTAAGAACTTAACATTTTTAAATTTACCTATTATGGTCCAATATCCAAAATCTAAATACATGGTTAGATTCAGCATATCAAAGAATCCAAAGAATTCAATTTTTGATGAAATCAAACAAAGTTTAATTTTAGACCCTTTTGACCTCAATGTGGACCAATTTGATAACGGGGCCCAAAAATCAAAATACATGGTAAGATTCAGCATATCAAAGAACCCCATATATTCAATTTTTGTTGAAATCAAACAAAGTTTAATTTTGGACCCCAACTTGGACCAACTTGAAAACTGAGCCCATAATCAAAAATCTAAACACATGTTTAGATTCAGCATATCAAAGAACCCCAAGAATTCAATTTTTGTTAAAATCAAACTAAGTTTAATTTTGGACCCTTTGGACCTTAATGTAGACCAATTTAAAAAACGGGAACCCAAATTAAAAATCTATATACACTGTTAGATTTGGCATATCAAAGAACTCCAATAATTCAATTTTTGATGAAATCAAACAAAGTTTAATTTTGGACCCTTTTGACCTCAATATGAACCAATTTGATAGCGGGGCCCACAAATAAAAAATCTAAATACATGGTTAGATTCAACATATCAAAAAAACCCATATATATATTCAATTTTTGTTGAAATCAAACAAAGTTTAATTTTGGACCCCAATTTGGACCAACTTGAAAACTGGGCCCAAAATCAAAAATCTAAATACATGTTTAGATTCAGCATATCAAAGAACCCCATATATTCAATTTTTGTTAAAATCAAACTAAGTTTAATTTTGGACCCTTTGGACCTTAATGTAGACCAATTTGAAAACTGGACCCAAAAATAAAAATCTAAATACACAGTCAGATTCGGCATAACAAATAAATAAATGTGGTCAAAGATTTTACAAATCTAATGCGCCATACTGTGCAATTAACGATTACTTCTTGAAATTTTTCAATATTTGAAATTTGAAAAAAAAATAATATTTGAAGAATAATTCTTTTTAATTTCTGATATCTGAAATGAGAAAAATTTGACCCCCCACAATTTCTTTTTACCCCCCCCCCCCCCTTTTCCCCCAAAAAAATCTTTCCCTCAAGATATGGTCATAATCTCAATTCAAATTTCCAATGGAATTTGCAACCATAATTACCCATTTAAATTTACCATAGTGCTAACTTAATTTATTTTATAATAGAATTTAAAATATGGTGTCATATCTATCATATGGATTTTTTTGTAAAAAAAAAAAAACCAACATTTGCAGATATTTTTACTGGTCTTCCTTTATAAATATGCATTTCTTTAAACATTATTTAAAATCAGTGTAAGGGAAGTAATCAAAATGTTGTATTTGGATTACCTCCCTTACACTGTTTTAAATTGTCTTAATTGTTCATTAACCATTACTTTAAACATAATTTAAAAGCAGTGTAAGGGAGGTAATTCAAATGATGTATTTGATTTATCTCCCTTACACTGCTTTAAATTATGTTTTGTACTAAAGTATTTGTCCATTAACCAGGACAACCTTGTTTTTTCCCTCTTTTTTGCCCCTAATTCTAAACAGTTTGAGCCATAACCCCCAAAGCAAATCCTAACCATCCCTTTTTGGTATGGAAACTTGTGGTATAATTTCAGAGAGATCCATACACCGTTCCACAAGTTATTGTCTGGAAACTAGAAAATGCTTATTTTTGGCCCCTAATTCCTTAACTGTTGGTACCATAACCCCCAAAATCAATCCCAACCTTCCTTTTGTGGTATTTAACCTTATGGTAAAATTTCATAGAGATCCATTCACTTAAACTAAAGTTATAGTGCGAAAACCAATGTGTCTTTGGACGATGACGACGCCAACGGCATACCAATATACGACCGCAAAAAATTTTTGCCGTCCTATAAAAAAAACCGGCTGATTTTGTCAAATCATGCTAAATTTATTCCAAAAATGACAGTTACAACAATTATTTGAGACCTCTGACAAATCACGATAAGGATATTTTGACGAATCACAGTAAAATTTTAACCAATTTGATGCTAATGGAAGCCGAAAATGACCGTTTGACACCTGACGGTAAAGGGCATTCCTACCCTCCTATACTGAAGTTAAAACTGACTAAAGTGAGCAAACAGTGTGTCTTTTGTCCAATATGGCTACATACCTGAGATGAGATGACCAATATTACTAGTTACCTGAAATGAGCTAGCAATGTCAGAGTTGCTACTCTTATGACCAATAGAAATATAAACTTGAAATGAGCTAGCAACTAGTTGCTACTCTTATGACCAATATAATTACATACTTGAGATAAGCTAGCAATGAGTTGCTACTCTTATGACCAAGATAAGTACTTAGTACTTTGGACCCATTAAATTTATAAAGTGTTGTTTTCATTTTTTGAAATGAGCTAGCAATAAGAGGTTACTCTTACGACCAATATTACTACATTTTGTACTTATCTGAGATGAGCTTACAATGTTGTTATCTTTGACCAGTATTACTACATACCTGAGATGAGCTAACAATGTGTCTTTTGTCTCTTGACCAGTCCATACATAAAACTTTTCCATGATGACCTTTTAACATTTTCCTCATTTTCATGGTAAAGTTGTCTATCTTTGGTATTTTATCTGTTGCTGCTCCCACTTTAATGAAAATATTCATGTCATTATACACAGTAAATGACAGATCAGAAAGCCCAACACAATTTTAGGGCCAGTAAATTCAAAAGTTGAACACTGTATACCACTTAAGGAATATCAGTACTGTAATTGAAGAATCACTGCCATCAATTGGAGATTTGACGGTCGTAAATGCAATTTTAACTGCCAATGCAAAGGGGAACCAGTAAAATGGATATTTGCGACCATCAAATTCCAATTAATGGCGGCAACCCTTCAACAATAGAATTTTACATTATCAAATGCCTTGGTTATAAATGTGCATTTGTAAATTAAAATGAAATATTTTAAATGTCAATCCAACATTTATCATGTTTATCTACATTTATATCACATCCTATTACCAGCTATCTGTTTTGCAGATGCAATAGATTACACAGATCAAAATCTTCTGTACATGATTGCAACTTCCATTGTACTGCAATCCGGGCAAATCAGAACCGTGAACAAACATCTGCTGTGCAGTAAAGCAAAAACGATTGTTTTTTAAGGCAATCAGTGACATGGCTTTTGTTGTATTTGCTGCATTGATAGCCGGTAATAAAGTGTGTATATGCTGCTACATGATAAACATGTAGTACTGACAATTGAAAATTTTATTCAGATTTTTATTCTTTATAATGACACAGATCACGATTAAATTTCTTCACTTGTAAATGGTGTCAATCTGAACAGAAAAGTTTATCCCTGCATTTATATGAACAAGAACACTTCTTCCTAATAGACAAAGCTACATGTACATACATTCATTGAGCATTAAATGAAAAAATTAACCTAATTTTACATTATCAATTTCTTCTCACATAAATTTCATTTCTTTCATAACAGACAAAGAAGGCAATGTAACAATTGTTCGTTGAAATTAAAAAATATAACCAGAGACTATAGGCTCTTTCTGGAATCATGTCTTTCATCAGAAAAAATTGTCAATTTCGCACGCCTTTATGACATCATTTACCAGATAGAAGGCGCACCTGTATCCCTACTCTATTCAAGTTTCAAGCACTTTAAGAATCATTATTCTGCAATGGTAGTCTAGAAATAATTTATGTTCCGTAAGTACGTAATCTTAATTCCAGTAAGATTGAAGGGAGGGTGACCAACTTATTAGATTTTAATTTCCCAAATAATTTGTGCAGTATAAGATCAAACTTTTTCACCCGTTCACATGTGTTGGAAGTGATGATGCCTACATTTTGGTCATGTGGTGATGGAAATCACATTACAGATTCAACTAACTACCGTATCCCGGAACTGGCGTTTATCTTATGTTGGTGCAACAATCACCTGGACACAATAATAACAACAAAAAAATAGAACAGTTCGCAAATTTTAAAGAGAACACCCCCCCTCCATCAAAAAAATAATAAATATTAACACCAAGGGTGACATGCCAAGTAAATGGGTGATAAAAATCAAGCGAATATCATCTGATTTGATGAGGGGTCAGTACTTTTACAATGGCATTATATGTCTATGGTTCAAAGAGCCAAAGTCGCATGCAAAATATTACCAAAATCTGTGAATAGCCCATTTACTGTGAAGCTTGACCTTAAGCAACGCTTACGTTATTGTATTTAAAACAAGGTAACAGTAACTAGACCTTGACAAGTACAGAAGCAGGCACTTGTACTGTAGCTGAAAGATTATGACAGAAATATTATTGAATGAGGAAGTCGTGTGAATTATTTAGTTTCAACTTATTTGTAAACCCAGTTTTTACATACTTAAGACATCGCTAAGCTTTGCTTTTTCGTCCTCTAATTTCTTTTTCAGAGATTCAGCTTCTCTTTGCAGACATTCAATTGTTTCTTGATTGTCAACTCGCAAATTTCCTTCACAGGCCATTTTCTGTAATAGATAATAAGATAACCCTAGAGAAATTCTGCGAAACGGAAGTTATCGATACTCGGAACTACTGTTTACAAAGTGTGGGGCTCAACAAAGGAGTCATACAAATAATTATAAAAATATCCGCTTTTTCGGTTAAGTATTTAAAATTTTAATACTCATTCGATAAGTGGAGTGCTCCGATAAAACGGAGGAATATACCAGAACAGAACAGAACAGAACAGAACAAATATATAAAAAAAAAAGGTTATTTTTTCCAGACAATATCACAGGGACTACGCTCAGTTTATGAAATGTTATCTACGAGGTTTTATCATCCCCTGGAATATCAAATATTCCACACCAAAGCAAATGGACAGTACTATAAAAGACGAATCCTGTTCCAATCGCCCCTTTTCAAGTTCGCACCCTACACGATTCGCAACCGGGTCCGTTTGCGCCCCTTTTAAAGTATTTTTTAATCGTGTTTTAGCAGAGACATATATACACATGTGTATACATGTCTCTGGTTTTAGCTAGGGTATTGTTATATAATACAGATAACCAGTTTTTTTTAAAATAAAGTTATATTCTTAAAACGTAAACCGGTTTCCTTAGGGTGTTTTACACAAAATGAACACTATTAATATATAACTATATATTCAAGACCATTCTATTAACTTGAAAGGCATGAATTTGACAGACACAAGAAATTAAAATGACATACAGATATAGCACTAGACATGAATAGAATATCACAGTTATAGACACTAAAAGATTTACAAGTATAAGCACTAAAAATTATAATTTGATAAAAATAAAATTATGGAAATTGTCATGTTATTTTGATATTTGACTAGATTTTAATAATTAAATTAAATAGACTAGATTTTCACTGCAGCCTAATAACTTATGATGACACGCAAAAGTTAATGAAACTTATGTCCGGGTGGGGTCCTTTTAAGAAGAGACTAGTCACCACCAGTTCACACCAAGGTTGACACATATAAAAAACAAAAATCATGTAAAATTATGTAGATAAAGGCTCAAAGCCTCAGTAAAATAAATAAAATTAATAAAAAAAACAATTTCACTGTTCAAGATGAATTCAAATTTATCCATCAAATATGTTATACTTGTACTTTAAAATAATATTTCTTTGAGCAGCTTTTAACTATTTCTGGTAGCGAGTTCCAATCTTTTATTCCATTATAAAAAAAAGTAGTAGATTCACACCTTTTAATCCCTGATACATAAAAATTCTTGTTTCATTTCTAACAAAATTAGTATGCAAGTAATTTGGGCATATATTGTGAAAAATGTTGATAACATGATTGAGTTTCAGTTGTTTGACTCTATTACTAATATTTAAAAAAAAAACAATTTCTCAAATTTCATATATGTCACACTTTTTCTAGTATGTAATTGCAGAATAAATCTCACAATCTTATTTTGTGTCACTTGAAGTTTATTCTTCATTTGTTTTGATATACCTTCATACCAGCATGCACAGGCATAATCAAAATGACATTGAATCAGAGAAGAGCACAATGTTTTCCTAGATTGAAAATTTAGACACTCTTTGTTTCTGTATAAAAACTTAAGCCTTTGATTGACCCTTTTCGCTACAAAATTTACAATAAAATCACCAGTCAGAAACTGATCAATTATTATTCCCAAATATTTTACAAAATTTTTGGTTTCAATATTAAAGGAGATAGCAAAATCACCCGATATTAGAGCAGGAAGTTTTCGACCAGGACCAAAAATTAAACTGTCCATCTTTCCCAAATGTAGGGACAATTTATTGTCAGTTAACCACTCATGGCATTGGCGTAGCTTACGTTGAGGCAACCAAAAAAAAAATAAATAATAAAAAACTTTTCTTTATAATCTTTTAAACAATTTTCACAAAATGCAGCTGACCCGCTACTAAACGCTAACATACCGATTGTATTGTCTTGTTGCCGTTATTGATTCATACCCTTTGCGAGTTCAAGACTTATGGAAACATTTCCCTCCTCTGATTGGAAATCCCGATCCCTTTGCGGTAGTTTTCACTAATCATAAAATGTCGGAGTCAAAGAAATCGATCAAATTTATATAATGCTACCCCAATCAAAATCAGTAGAATAGATGATGATCCAACTCACGAGCCTTCCCCGATCGAATCACTTGAACATTCAGATAAATTATTAATTTTGTGTGAGAATTATTTCTGTTTTATGAGGGTCTGGTGAGGTTTGCAAAATACAGAAAAATGCCCTGAAATTAATCTAAACTTAACAGAACAGAGATTATAAATGGTGCTAAAGATAAAAGAAAGGAAAATCAAATTATGGACAAAAAGAATTAAAACATAAATATTTGAAGACCTCCATTCAAACCCTCATATATAACCGATTACGTTTAGAATTGAAATATCGCTGTGTGTTGACGTTTCCCCCTACGTGTAGTACTTCAATTAGTATACACAGAGCTTCATTGACTTTGATACCAATTAAAATAAAATATACCAATATCAATCATTGACATGCATTGAAAATAACTTGTGTATTGTTTTATTCTCACTTTTTTAAATTTATAGTTTTTCACTAGCAGGGAATTTTAAATAACTAAAGGAGTCATTAAATCCAGCGATATGAATAGAATATATGTCTGTTAGTTCATACATATGTCAGTTTCTATATAAAAATTTCAATCAAATACTGTTTTTATTTATTATGAAGACTTCAAAAAAACGTAAATGTTTCCGTTAGTACGTCACCGGTTGTCCCTTTCAAAATGAATCTGAAGACCTTCCAAGAAATATCAGGACAAAACACAACCAATAAAAGTGCCGTGGTGCACTTTAAATGTAGCATGTCTTTATTTCCTAGTTAATCAAGAAATGGTGCTAGCGTGATGTCTGGTAATGTTTCTGGTACTAAAACCCGCATACAGAAAAGCCAACCAAGAGCATATTATCAGCATTGCAGAGTGAAAGTTTTGAATCTTCTTGTTGTGTCTACTTGTAAAGCGCTAGCTGAGATCCGGAATTTGTTTGATTCTGTAAGTCAGCTGACATGGTTTCTTGGTGGATCACAGCTGTATTGTTGACTTGCTGTGTCATTAAAATATACCCCATACCCATCTCCTTTTATTCGTAAAGAATTTAAAATCTGCGGGGAAGTTCACTGAAAGGATTCAATTTGAAAAAAGTGGTAAATGTTTTTGAGAACATTTTTGTATTCATCTGAACATTCAAAATGATGTAGGTACCAGTAATCATCTAAAACATCTGTAGTATAACTTAGTGTAAGGCTTATTAACATTATTATGATGAAGTAAAATAAAACAACTGCTATTTTTTAATAGAATCTTCTTGTTCAAATTTCAAAACCTCTACAGCTTAAAGGGGGCCTCCGCCCCCAGACCCCCTGCCTCAGTAATAACAGATGGCATGCTACGCCACTGCATGGCATGACTCCATCATTCTGTATGATTTATGCGAGATGGCCCAAGGGTCTACATTGGAAAATCAAATTGCAGTATCATCTCCATATATCAAAACTTTACAATCTGAGTCAATGCTAGTTTGAACATCATTGACACATATCAATTCATGACATATAGTACAGATTCTCTCTGGTCTATGTATATTTTACCAACGCCCCATCTCGATTGGAATACGTAAGTTTGATGTCCTTAATTTCCACTGGGGTAAAGCTGATGACCGTAATTGGATTCACGGTCATCCCAAGATGGCGGATGAAAAATTAGTTCAATATCTGTATTGTCTGTTAAAGTGTTTCTATATTGTTTTCTTTCATGACAAAGCATACATTGGTATGATGTAAATTTATAAAAGATTCACAAAGAAATCACAAATTACTACCGAGAAATGTGTATGAAACAGGAAATTTGATTTGAAAAAATCGCTAAGATGACCGTAAATCATCATTAAAACATTTTCAAGATGACCGTAACATATAACAAGGATGACCGTGATTGGTAAAAAGATGACCGTAATTTGTAAAGGATGACCGTAATTTATAAAGGATGACCGTAACTTTTAAAGGATGACCGTCAATTCTAAGAATATGCGTATTTGTATTCATAGCTTTTTGTTGAGGTTGTCTCGGTTAGCGGATATAAATATGTTTAATCAATTTCTTTTTTACTATTTGCCGTATTTTGAGTTCATGACAATGATAGTAAATTGCATATTACTCGTAAACAATAAAATATTTATTGATAACGACATTAAAATCTTAAAATTGACAGCAAATGACAGGTAGTCTTTTAAAATACCAAACAAGGGGAAGATGATAACACGCAACAATCAAAATCAATATGTCGAAGAAAAACAAACACCCCGAGGCCAAAAGACGACGATAAAACATTAATTAGACTAGGGATGTCAACTCGGTGAAGATTTACTAATCGATTACTCGTTGGATTTACCGAGCGATACTCGAGTACTCGCTGGGTAAAATATTTTCAAAATTGAAACACAAAATTATACTCAATTTATGTATTGTAGGTCGTTGTCTTATGATCGTAAAACCCTCAACAGTATTACATTTGTACCTAGGACTAGATAATAGTCTAAGATTTTGTATACAATAATTAATAGCTCATTTACTACATGTACTAATTATGTAAACTGGTTATAATCTAATTAAGTTATTAATTTTAAAATATCTATAGAAAAATTATTACTCAAACAACAGTATTAGGGAACCGTAAAAAAACACCTTTAATGATCAACAAAGGGGTGATGATTAGAACTTTCTGATGCCATTAATCATTTTATGAGGGTCAATACAAGGTGCAACGGATTTGTTCTTATTTAAAAATATTATCTTGTCAACAATATCTCAAATTTGTTAGGTAACTAACAGTCCTGCTGATGAAAATATATGCTCTGACGGTACAGAGGTGCGCGAGTAACTAAGATGAGTTAAAAGCTTAAGTGTTATCCCTGGAACAACGTGATACTCTTGTTCATATATCCTACATATACCTCTGTTTATTGGAGTTAAACGCAAACATT